AGGTATCCATCAGAGCCGGGTGAGTTCCTACATTCCCGAATCCGGGGGGGGGGGGGGTCCAAAATATAAAATTTAAGGGTTGTGGTAATTAAAATCGACGTTAACATTATAATGGGTATGGATGGCTTTTTATGAAGTCCAAAATTTGTATTATATATTGTGTACACGATTCCTTCAGTAATTGACACTTGAACGTGAACACCCTACCCTCGTCTCCACCCTCCCTAGTCCCTACCCTACCCTCGTCCACCTTTTCTCACCCCATTTCTTCTCATCTCCCTCACCCCATCCCACCCTGCCACGCGCCGACCCCCACCCGCCCCAAAAAGTGTTTCTTTCAGACTTTTTTCTCCGCGGTGGGCGGGGGCATTTGATATTTTGGGGGGCGGACTAAATTTTCCAAAAGGGGTGGACACTGGTACATATTTAATATTTTCTAAATAAATTCCATTTCGTTCGGGGGAGGGGGGAGGGGTCGGTAAACTTTCTTCCAGAGATGCCTGGAAGAAACGCTGTTCCCAAACACAGCAAAAAACATGTATCTGTACTTGATTTTTTTCCCCTAATCTCACAATTCGTTCATCCAATTCACCCCCCCCCCTCCGACTCCTTCCACTCTGTGGATAAAGGCCACTGCATATGCAGATAAGTGAAGAGAAATTTACTCTATACACGTCTTCAGAACTGAAAATGGTTAGAAAATAAATACATTTGAATTCTCTTGTTTACATAATTGAACCCCATTACCCTTCACGTTTAGTACTTGTATAGACTACAAACAACAATTTCTCCCACAATCCCCGGACAACCTTCACCCTGTGCCTTATATATTCTTCTCAACACCATGTCTAATATTAATTTTAAAAAATGCGATATCCATAAAGCACGTTTTAATATTGAATCTATCCCGTAAAGAAAAACGACGCACAAAATCAATATTTACACTACGTTCTCTCATCGCGCAGGTGCTATAGCCTTCCTTATTTAATTTCGCTAATTAGGAACAGAATTCAATAGATACCGCACGTATCCCCCACCCCGTTACCATGTATGATTATTCTAGCCACTATGAGTAAGATTCTAATGATTATATTCAAGCTGGCTGATTATACAAACCGAATGTAGTATAGGAAAAAATGTAAAAACATTTTTATGATTTGCATTTATGGGTCGTCCATAAATGACGTCACACACCTCGGGTGAAAGGGCGTGCGGACTTCTATGATCACGTGGGACGAGTGAGGGTGGGGGGGGGGTTACAAAATGTGATGTGTATACTCAACAACTACCGAGGTCACTAAATAATTCCCCCCCCCCCCCGATCGAAATGAAATTTATATAGAAAATATATACTTTTAACAGTGTCCGCCCCCCCCCCCCCCCGGAAATTTTAGTCCGCCGCCCCCCCCCCCCAAACCCTCCAAAAATTTCAAGTGCCCCCCCCCCCCACCCCGGAGAAAAAAGTCTGGAAGAAACACTGGGGGGGGGGGAGGTTAGGTTGAAGCGTTATGTCATATTAAGGAATGGGGTTGTCCATATATGACGTCACGTTTTTTGTACGACCCCCCCCCCCCCCAACCTCCATTTTATTAATAGCTAAATATTAGTTTATAAAATTACATTATAAAATGCAAATGTGTGTCATCACACTTTCCGAATCCTCCTCCCCCCCCCCCTCCATCGTCACACATCCATCCCCATCGTATATTGATGAGCCCAACAACAAATCCCTGATTGTCATGTCACCCCTAGCAACACCACCCTGTATACCTCGTCGCCCCTAGTAACACAACTCTGACGTCACGTTACACCCTAGCAACACGACGCCTGCCTGTCACGTCGTCCCTAGCAACACAGCCCTGACGTCACGTTACATCACTCCTAGCAACACAACCCCTGCTGTCCAGTGCTAACACACGTTGAGTTATCCCAACAACACACATGGTAACACACCTTTGCGCGGTAACATCAGGGAAATGACATTCTGAAACCATTGATTAAAACATAACATAACCTCCTAACATGACTAAGCGTCGTATTATTTTATATCCATAGTTAAATCAATGCGGAATTGGAAAAAAAAGAAATAAAAATGAAACTCATTCACAAAGAATGCAAGCTTGAAAATATTCATAGCTCTGTTGTTTTTTTTTGGTGTAAAATAAGAATATATAGATGCGTATGTTAAGTTTGACAACGAAAGTCTACAAATAGTTTTATGTTTAGGGTTATCTACATTGTTGTGTTTGTGTATTGTAGCAGTTGGGTTTGTGTTAGTGGTAGTTTCTATAACAACACGCGGTAGTCTAAACCAGGTGTACTGGGTACACGAGTGACTGTCTGAGATGGGTGCATTTAGTTGATTCCGATGATGAACTGGCATGAAAGTTATTCAAGCATGAACTCTGACCCCGTTGAATCGGTGACATCTGTTTCTAGGGTTAGTGTCGAGGAAAGTTAAGGCTGGGGATGCTGTATGTTTATATTTCGTCTCTATGAACATGTAATTTTAGGGGTGGCTCATAAACAGTGTTTCTTTCCGACATTTGAAACTTTTGGGGCGGGGTGGGGAGGGGGGGTAGATGTGCCCCCCGAAAAGAAGTCTGAAAGAAACTCTGTATTTTCATAAATGATCCCCCACACATTCTCTTGAGAGGAGTGGTCGGGGGGGGGGCATTGTGTGCCGGAGTATGGTGTACAGAAAGAGAGACATTACAACATTTTTGTAACCTGTAATGAATGAAGAAGCGAACCTTTTAATTTAAACTCTACAACATTGGCCTTCTATCATGTATTAAACTCAAGAAAATGTATCATGTATTAAAATCTAGATAATGTATCATGTAATATAACTCAAGAAAATGTATCATGTATTAAAATCTACAAAATGTATCATGTAACCAATAGCATTTTCGATATCAGGACTGGTTTTAACAACTGTTTTTTTGCTCAGTCACAAAACAAAAACACAATTTCAGACAGAAAATGGCACCCAATGAGCAGCCACAAATATCACATGCTCAGCCAGCACATGATGGTCTGACCTAATTTCCCCGAGGTCGCTGAAAGTTTTTTTTTACAGGTCTAGTGCATGTCTGCTAAACAGGTCACCGGGGGGCAGTGACGATGCACATTTTTCTCATTCTGTGAGGGGGGGGGGGGGAGGGGGGGAAAGTATTAAAATATGAATGTAGTATATCGTATGCGATATGTGGATCAGATGCCTAAGCGTTTAAATACCTAACAGTAACTGTTTATTAGTTGCAGTGAAGGATATGTTTGCATGTAATTATATCTTGGAGACTAATGAGATAGGAGCGGAAGGTTAATTTTCTGACAAACATTTTTTTTTCCAAAATTTAAACTGAACAAAACTTAGTCAGGGTAACTCTATAGAGCAGGGGCAAAATTAGTGTGTATTATATGGGTGGACAGGAGTAGATTGCTGGTATTTGTATGTTCTTTTCTGCAGACTTTATACGCACAGACACAAAGGCATACATACATACACACACAATCGTGAATATATATATATATATATATATATATATATATATATATATATATATATATATATATATATATATATATATATATATATATATATATATATATATATATATACATATATATCCGCTCCCCTAGCTAGTCTGCTGCATATGTGTTGTATCCCCACGACTTAATAATTACAGCACATATTTAAACATTCCGTGTTGTGCGTTCCCCTCCCCCTCTCCCTTCCCCAGCCCAAGCTATGCACGGGTCCCGTGTGTAATCACTACATGTCAGACAATTACGTTTGTCCTCCGATAATTAACTGCATGCTAGCGCATGCCTAGCCACCGTGTGAGGGAGACCTGATAACAGCAATTAGAAGTAATCATTTCGTCCAGTTATCTGGTTCTATCATTTGGCCTTCACCTGTTATTTTTTTGTGATTTTTTACTTTCTCGTATACGAAGTACAGAGGAAGTATTGTAATCGTGCAGAAAATCGAAAATCGCAATTTTAACAAATCTCGACGTTATACACATCCCAAAAACATATTTCTGCAATTTTGTCCGTATGTCTGTGTGTGTATGTGTGTATGTCTGTGAACACGATAACTTGTATACCGTTACAGCGAGGTTGATGAGATTTCATATACAAGTATTATTTCAAATTTGTATTTCTGTATCGATTTTTCAGCGATTTCCGGTAAACGGATGTGGAACTTCGTAAAAGCAACAAGGGGAACATGGGGAACCAAAACATGGAGTATTTTTTAGTGCATATTATAATTAGCTGCACTGATACGGCATGATATAAATTATAAACCCTCTCAGCATGATATAAAATTATAAACCATCTCAGCATAATATAAAATTATAAACCATCTCGGCATGATATAAAATTATTAACCATCTCGGCATGATATAAAATTATAAACCATCTCAGCGTGGTATAAAATTATAAACCATCTCAGCATAATATCAATTATAAACAAACTCTGCATGATATAAATTATAAACCATCACAAATTAAATGAGACTTTCGGGTCTGCATGTCTATGTACCACTGTATTAAAGAAACATATGTTGTACCGGTGACCGGAAAGATGCGCAACGGAAAACTGCGCACTAAAAAAACAGTTTTTGTTTTCTTAAATCGCGCATTTATATACAATAACAAAGAGTGACTACATGCACATTGTAACATAATAACAAAATATTTCAACATAATTAGGAAAAAATTAAAGAATATTAGTTTAATTAGTTTGTATTTGCGCAGTTTTTCTCTGCGCAGTTTTCCGATTGCGCATTTTTCAGGGAACCGTTGTACCGACTATTTGCCGTGTCATAGACATAGAAAAACCGATCAGTCACGAAAAAAAAAACACGATTGGTCACGAAAAAAAACGATTGGTCACGGGAAAAAACGATTGGTCACGGGGCGGAGGTGAAACAAAAACACATTCGGTCCTTAATAAAAGGGCGGTAATTCACACAGTCCACACAGATAAACAAAAAAAATTCCAACTGCAAACAAGTAATTGTATATCTGGCTTTGTGACTTTAAATTCCTTATTTCCTTTGGGACATAGACTAAATAAATGCCAAAAGGATACGCCATTCAACAATTCTAAAGTGCGTTCAAACTTTGTGTTGTCTTTTCATAATTAAGGTAAATAATAATTTTGAAATTTTTTTTTTTTTAATAAAAAAGAAGGGCATCGTTCGCAAACTGCTATAGATTGGAATTTTACTGTGTGTCTTAAATTAACAAAGTAACCTCATGACCTCTTCATCTTAGTTTAGTCAGTCGAGAAGAGCACATTTTTTTGTTTATCTGTTAGATTCTCGAAGCTGAGGCGTAGCTAAGCTGGGGCTGAACTCCCCCCCCCCCAAAAAAGATTCAAAACTAAATCAATGTAAGCGTTTAGAAGAGGAGAAAAATCTTTCGTCTATCACTTTAATACAAATATAGACAAATAATCGTCAAAACTAGGTTTTTAAAAAATAATTGGAGACGTATGGTAATGTGTGAAAGATACATCCAGTAATGACAATACATTTTGATTGGGTAAATATGTATCACTAAGGCACACTCTCCTTCCTTGTCTCTTTCTGTCTCAATCTATTACTGTTAATTAGACCACCAGTAAGCATATTAGAACAGCGTGATAACCAAAATTTTAATTAATTCATAAAACAATTAATTAGGCATCCAATTAAGTCAAATTTAATGTCATAATTTCGCTCGCGCGTTTCGATCTAGACAGACTGACGACAGACAGAGGAAGTGAGTTAAATAAAAGCTTTTAAAAATGGGACTGCGCGGCCTAGCAATGCAGTAGAGAGCTAGACGGTTAGTAGAATGTCCCTGAGTCCACCCACCTCTGATGGGCATTCAACTCACGTTAGGAAAAGCAAAGGCGACTGGGCATAGTGCTGACCATACTATCCCTTCATATGCCGGGGTCTCTGAAACAGATGAACTCTATCTGCCTCATGTGTCTTGGATAGTAACGGTAAAATATAATAATCAAAACGGCATGTATGAAATTCGGTTATTACCAAAGTTTTGTGTTTCATCTAACAGAATGGCTCACTCTACACTAAAGCTATTTTATTTCGACACGGAAGGTCGGGCGGAAGTCGCTAGGATTATTTTGGCGGCCGCTGGGAAAACATTCCAAGACATTCGCTGCAACGAAGACGATTGGCTGCAGCAGAAGACCAGAGCTCCTTACGGACAAGTTCCGGTCTTGGAGGTGGATGGGGTGGCATTCGCCCAGAGTTTAGCCATCAACGCCTTTCTGGCTAGAGAGTTCGGTTTCTATGGCAACACGAATTTGGAAAACTTTAAAATTGATGAAATCGTTCATCTCGTCAATGATTTTATGACTGCCGCCACTAAAGTCTTGTTCCTGACACCAAACCAGGAGGAACAAGCCTCGGGAACACGGGAACTGAAAGAGGAAACCGGACCTCGGATGTTGGGATTCCTGGAGAAGTTCCTGAGAAGCAGCGGAAGTGGATATTTTGTCGGGGATAGGTTGACGTTAGCGGATATTTGCGTGTTGGATATTGTGACTGGGTCCTTCGCCTTGCTGTTGGATGTTAACAATAGCTACCCGCTGCTAAGAAAAAATTTGGAGCTAACAAAAGCCCACCCGAAAATTGGAGCGTACTTAATTTCGAGAGAGACTCGAGAATAAGTATTGGACATGCACACACACCCACACACACACACACACACACACACACATAGATACATACACACGCATATATATATGTGTGTGTGTGCGTGTGCGCGTGCGTGCGTGTGCGTGCGTGGTCATGTGCATGTGCATGTTCATGTGCATGTTCATGTGCATGTGCGTGTGTGTGTGCGTGTGCGTGTGTGCGTGTGAGTGTACATCCATATACTACTGCATTTGACGGTTTAAAATAATAATACATGGTTGGATGCTGTGATTTGTTTTCTGAGGACTTCGCGAATGTCCAAACGAAAAATTACTGCTTTAAACATAGTTCATTAGGTTTTTATAATTATTACAGTATTAACAGACCTATGCTGAAGATAATGGTCTGTAATTTTTAAATACCTCAAGTAAAGTATTCCCAAAAGAAAAAAAAAAAAAGCTCGTTAATTGTCGTTCGGACGTCAGCCTTTTAAAATCTAGACAAGTGAGTCAGCGCATTCTTGATTTTTGCAGGTGTTTAAATATTTCCATTCAAGTAAAACAATTAACACCGTTGCCTTTTCATATCTGACCTAGTTATTCTTTCCGCGAGCCTATGTTGACGTAGAACACAAAAGTAATCACAATGTGGTGACGTAGTGCACACATAAGCACATTTTTGTTATGATTTTTAAACAAGGTGACAACATTAAATGGATACTTCAGACGTCGGTTCATTGCACTAAAGAGGGACAGAAGAATGACGCTGAAGTAGCGCATACGTACGCAAAATTTAGTGACGTATTGCACAGCTAAGCATAATCTTAAAGGGGAGAGAAATGTAAATTATGTGCTAGCACCAGAGGCGTAGCGAGGGCGGGGCGGGGGGTGCGGACCGCACCGGGTGACACCATATAGAGGGGTGACACCAGGGCAAAAAAAATGCAAAATGTGCAGGAAAAAAAAGGCCTTTTGCAAATCGACAATTATTACTAGAGAGGGTGGGGGTGACACAATGACGTAAACGTGCTCACTATAGTGTATATATATATATATATATATATATATATATATATATATATATATATATATATATATATATATATATATATATATATATATATTGTTTCTTAGGGGAGGTGTCACCACGAAGTGCCGCACCGGGTGACACCCGACCTAGCGACGCCACTGGCTAGCACTAACCCATAGGCCACTCACCTCAATGATAGACAGCTCTTGTGTACTCAGGAGAGACCGGACCACGATGAAACCGTCCTCTGAGAAGTCGCTCAGCATCTGTTCGCTGACCTCTAAGTCCTTACCGTCGTAGTGGTACTCGTTCAGGCCAGGCATGATACAGCACTGTCCATGTTAAATATTGGTGTAATTGTAACAATAATAATCTTTTTTTTAATTGCAGAAAAATTGCAAAAAATAATTAAAATAATAAAATAAAATTAAACTAAACGTTAAGTAACCCTTGCAAACCTAAGAGTTAATGGGAGAGATGAAGTAGAGTTCACCTCTACATATGAAAAGATAGATGTGGTCAGCACTTCCTTAACGTGAGTCAGGTACCCATAAGAGATGGGTGGACTCAAGGACGTCATACGGACGCAAGCCAAGGATCTGAACTCAAGAATTTTGGGTTAGCAGTCGAACGCGCTACCATTCGAACACACCATTTCCAACCCTAACCCATAGGATTGCTTATGGTAAAATTGATATGAGGCACACAGTATACATTTTAGTCCACATCACGTGATAGGAACCAGTGACTTTGGGACACAAAAACTATAGTTTTGGTTATTGATTTCATTCCAAAAAAAAATACTAACACATTCGGAACAATAGCTTGTTAATTTTACTCATTTTAGAACTAAGCAGAGTTTCTTCAAGAGCCCCCCCCCCCCCCCCCCCCGGAGAAAAAAGTCTGGAAGAAACACTGGAACTAAGGTGGTGATATCGACAAATATATAAACGCATTTTTCACTATTTAATTAGTTTAACCTGAGGATTAGGTACGTAGATTCAATCATAACTTGTACTTTTCATTTAGTTTTTTTTTTACAATGAAAAATTTAGTTTTCACGAACTAGTCTTTATCACATGTGTATAAATTACAAGGCTATTTGGTATCATATTACACCTTTTTAAGGTAGAAAAACATTTTAAAATAACCAATTTCTGAATTTATTTTCAATTTATCATTGATTTTTGTAACAGTGTTAAATAGCAATACTTAAAGATATTAACTTTCGTGGACTTCTACACGATCTTAATTTAATCCATGAGACGCGTGCTAGCAATTGCTGTTCTTAGAGTAATAGTAACCGGGAATATCAACAAATAAACCGGGAGTGATATCCCCTAAACTTTCTCGAATATTCTTATGTAAAACATCAGGGGATGGCAACTCGGGATACAGACATTATTTTTAAGTGAACGCCAAACAAAATGTGCATAATAGTGCAGAATATTATTAGTACTTTATAAATTCACATGAGTTTTTTTTTAGAAATCGTAAATAGCGTAAATTACTACTTCCGGTCAACGGAAATAACTCAGAAGGCAGAGAATTAAAGCTTTTACTTACATGTAAAATTTGATGTATCTATCTGGACTAGTACTCAAGTTAGAGGATTGTGAAAAATTGAAAGTAGAAAAAGTTTCACTTCTGGTTATCGGAAATCGCTCAAAAGTTGATACGGATCTACAAAATTTGATATAATACTTATATATGAAATGTCATCAACCTAGCTTTAATGGTACACACGTTATCGTGTTTACAGACACACACACACACACACACATGCGCATACACACACAGACATACGGACAAGATTGCGAAACTATTTTTTTCCGACTAAGGGAGGTGTAAAACGTGGAGATTTGCAAAAATATCGATTTTGTTTTTGCACGATTACAAGACTTTCTCTATACTTCGTATATACGAGAAAGTAAAAACTGAACACATTTCTTACCTTTCGATTACTACAAGCTTGCGATAAGTTACCAGTGATCGTCTATGTGATATACCGGAAACTTTGCAAAATATTCTTCAAACGGCTGTTTTTTTTTCTAATTAAAAATTATTACCTCAACGCTGATTAGGTCTGATAGCACAGCGTGTGTAAATTTTGATAGTTTAGTTCAATTCGGTGAACTTCAATTCACCTTGACCTGGAACAATTATTACAAAAAATGTCGATCTTGTTGAAGGTGCAGCGGTCCCCTACATTTTGTTCAAGGTCACCTAATTTCTTCCCAGCGCTTAACTAAATTTTGTTCAAGGACACCAACGCTTAACTAAAATTTATCGTTTTTTGGCAATATATATATATATATATATATATATATATATATATATATATATATATATATATATATATATATATATATATATATATATATATATATATCTTTATTCATTTTTACTTCAGCGAATATGTAGTATAGTGGAAGTATTGTATTCGTGAAATCGATATTTTTACAGATTTCGACGTTTTCCATTATCCTGGATCAAAGAAAAGAAATTTAAATGTTTGATGTTTTGTAAGTGTGTGTATGTGTGCGTGTGTGTGCGTGCGTGCGTGTGTCGCAATGCGATTTTTTTTGGGAATCGGCGAAACATGCTGATAAGGCATGATAAGAGAACGTACGTCATTTTGACGAATGTTTAAGTGCAGGTCAGCTAATGTTATGTAACTATCGGATCATATCTTTATGGACAGAAGAAATATTTTGCTCCAAAAGCATTTTCTATCATCATTTTTTTCACACTGTCGTAACGATAACACTTTTACGTAAAAATTGTTCACATATATATAAACAAAATTAAGACTAGAAAAACCTAATTATGTTGATTTTTTTGCCATTTCTTAGGCTTTGCAAAAGTATTTGTAAATCATATATTCAAACCGCATAAATTACTACAAATCACCCATGATAGCTACAGAAATCATTACAAATGAACTCTTTTGTGAAATAAATCAGCACAAATCCCCAAGCTAACGGAAGCGCGTTGAGGGGAATTACAACTACTAAGCTTCTATTTGAAAAGATAAAATCTTTAGCTGCTGTACTTAATTATAGACTAACAGTTGTGTTATATGAAAAACAAAATTGTGTATACACAGTATGGTTAAAGCATACTAAACGATCTGACTTGGGATGAAACCTTACAATTTATTCCGGGTAATTACTATTTTAAACTGGGATACAATTCATCCGGTACCATTAAAACACACAAAACAAATGTAATTTTACAAGAACAAAACAAAGAACAGATTTTTTATTTATGGGTAAATTCTTTTTTTAATTGAACATGTGTATCAGCATCTAACAACAAAAGTAAACATATAACCACAGCCTGTAAACGATCACGTGCGTTTTCCAACAACTGTTCTCAGATTCATCAAGTTGAGAACCCTCTGATAAAGTGAGACAACGCCAGGCCTTGGCATTTGGATCAACCTCGAGTTGGAATCGATCCTCATAACCAACCGGCTGTCCCCGGTAAACTTCTTCCATGTAACCAAACTATTGCTGTGTCCGGCTGGGGTCGGGTCGCCGTACTTGACAAAGTTGACCCACATCCTCTGGACACTGGCGCCGACTTTTCTGTCCCTGTCGGACATGTAGGTGGCGTCGGGGTTGTAGAAGACGAACCGTCGTTCTGCGGCGTGGATGACCCCGTACCACGCCGGCTTTTTGTTTCCGCTATGCATGTAATGAAATTTATAAAAGAAATGGTTGTTTGCGTCCCCTGTGGCTGCCAATGTTTTGTTGAGCTCGAGAAACTCGCTAGCACCAAACGAGATGTCAGCCAAAGCCGAGACGAGATTCGACCTCAGCTGATACGGGTCTGTTTCGTCGTCCAGGTACAACTCCTCGACCACTCTCTGCATGGCGTCGTTGTTGACGAACGACGCGAGCCTCCGGATGCCCCGGAAATAACGCCGGAACTCGCTTCGGGTGATTCCGTCGTCTTCGTCGTCTTCGACTAGCCAAGACATCTCGCCGGAGTTGTAGCCCCTCAGCGTGTCGACAGCGTTGAAGTCTCTGCTGTCCAGGAGGTTCTCCGGGTAGTCGGGTAAAAACCCGAACTTGGTTTCGACTCTAGGAGCAGCGATGACGTTGGTGGGGAGGTTGTTGCCGACTTCTGAAGCCGCGAACAAAAGGCGCCTAGCATCAGCAGACTTGAGACAGGCTAACAAGGAAGACGAGTTTCTTTTACCACAGCCTAACTCTGCTGCTATTCTGTACGTGAAGTCTTTAACTTTGAACAGAGAGCCTGGTCTTTCTATGGCTGGCGAAGATAAAGAACATCCGCTTTCCATTATGGCGCGTTTAAAAAGACCTTTCGCCAAAGGGGAGACGACTAACAATCCGACACTAAATCCGCCAGCGCTCTCCCCTGCTATAGTCACCTGACCTGGGTCTCCACCAAACACCTTGATGTTTTGCTGAACCCACCTCAAGGCCAGGACCTGGTCCAGCATCCCATAATTCCCAGGCATGACGTCATCGCCCGTGGACAGGAAACCGAAGGGCACCAGACGGTAATTTATCGCCACGTAAACGACGCCAAGCCGCGCTAGAGTCGCGCCGTTTCCGTCACTGAAGTAAGAACCGGTTTTGTAACTGCCGCCGTGAATCCAGACCATGACCGGAAGTGATCCGTTGACATCCGGTGTGAAGACGTTCAGATAGAGGCAGTCTTCGGAGCGGCCCTCGGACATCTTCTCGCCAGGAAACTGAGGGCATATCACACCAGGCTCCGAGGCGTCTCTGGTGCCAGACCATGGACCGGCTGGGGTCGGGGGTTCGAATCTCAAGTTTCCTGTAACGAAAATTCTGTAGTAAAAAACGTGAAATATTTTTAAACTTTCTATTAGAACTCTTCAGCGCTGTTTCTATACATTTGACTCCTGCCTATAAATGATTAGTGTAGTGAGCGCTAGTTTAACATTTTTAATTTTTAAAAAATTGTAAACAGTAAGTACAAGAAACCGTTTAGCACTATTGTAATAACTTATGCTGTTGAAAGAGAAACGAATTTGCCAGTAAAAAGTAGCTTTTAACCTCTTTATAGTCGCCCATTAACAAAGTTGATCTAAGGCTCGCTACATGCAAATGCTGTCGCATTTCTGTTCATCTTACAATTTAATTAGTTAAATCAAAACTCATTAAGTATATATTGAGATCAAATGTATACCTAAATAATGTATTAATCTTGATTGTTATAAACCCACTGACCCTCAGTTTATCATTAAAATATTCCCTAATATTTAGTGGTCAAAAAGGCAGGTGAAGTGGAGTTCATCTGTTTTCATAACCATGGCGTGTGAGTGTAATCAGTTTTATACTGAATTACTTTGCCTTCCCTATCAGGTATCCATTATGGCTGGGTGGACTCAGAGACATTATACTGACTCGACTCCTGAATCATACTCGAGACTTTCAGAATAGCAGTCGTGTACTCTACTCTCCGACCACACCGTACCGTGCTTGCTATCGTTTTCTTCTTCGTTCTTAATTTTAGTGTTGGAAGGGATCCCCTCCAACACAATTAAATATACGTGTCAACTGGTTATGCTTCATTTAGGCCATTGACTCCGATTTCAGCCTGCTTTTCTTTTTGGATTTGCTTCCACAGCCTCTGTCCAACCAAGAACAAACTACAAGGCAGTAGTTGTTTGATTTTGGAGTTGTCTCTCCCAGAAGAGTGGCTGTCCCCAGCTAACGAGCCTCATCCCCCCGAGGGTTCGAACCATGAGCTTTACCGACTCGGACACGCCGACCCCTGTATATAATATCAAACTAGATAGAGAACAACTCACCTGTGGGCGGCCGTGCGTAAGGAATCTCATAAAACACCTGTACCTCCCTCCCTGAGTTGAACTGTTTCGTCACACCTCTCAGCTTTCCTCCATGATTTAACTGTACCACAATGTCTTCCCCGCGTGCTACAACAGCCCTCATCACAACAACAACAAACGTCAGCACGAGAGAAACCAAGCTAGCTGCCATCTTTCCAACACGAGAAACTGATGTTATATGTTTCAGACACCGAGTGTCAAATATGTGTATGTGGATAAAAAAAAATGTCTGGATGTGTACCTGGACAAAAAAAACGTCAGTGGCTGACATTTACTTTTCAAGTTAGCATCCCGACCCAGTGATTGTCCCAGGTGAAAGAAAGACGGACCAGGTATGTCGCACGTTTGGTCAACACTCCTCACCTTTGTGCTAGTGTCCGATGGACAATAACAAAAAAATAACCAGAAAACATGTTTTTACCTGGCTTTTTTATCTGTGAAACTGTATGGGTTGTATTCGTGTGTCTAGCTACACATTAGTTTTATATGGAGTGGCTTTGTTCCATCTGTACGCTTATAAAATGAGAAAAAATCTTCATGTAATTATGACACAATACATTTAAGTTCTTTTTCAGACTTGCTGGTTCAAATGAGTATATTAAAATGATGTATCTGTAAAAGGTTATGAAAAAATTGTGTTGTATGGTCTGTACAATACCAAGCCGTTTAAATTTTCCCGAGTTAATTTGAGTACTTATTAAAATCCCACTAAATGTTATACCTAGTACTTAGAAATTAGAACTTTAAATCAGGTAACTTACTATAAAAGGTAAATTTTATAATAGAAGACATTAAATATGCATTCATTGAAGTAGCAGCTTGCAATCTATCAGTGCGTCCAATAGTCAGTTGATGCTAAACATATACGTGGACATCTCACCAACTGGAAATCTCTATTTACGTCCAATGGTCAGTTGATGCTAAACATACATGTGGACAGCATTTGATACAAGGTCAACTACCTTTTGCAATTACAAAACACAAAGCATTCGTTTTTTTTCTTTAATAAACGTGCATGTTCATTTAATAATTTCAAATCTAAAGCTAAATCATATTTGTATACACCATTTATCAACTATTAAAGTTGTTATTCAGCCAAGGTTCTCAGATTCATCAAGTTGAGAACCCTCTGATAAAGTGAGACAACGCCAGGCCTCGGCATTTGGATTAACCTCGAGTTGGAATCGATCCTCATAACCAACCGGCTGTCCCCGGTAAACTTCTTCCATGTAACCAAACTATTGCTGTGTCCGGCTGGGGTCGGGTCGCCGTACTTGACAAAGTTGACCCACATCCTCTGGACACTGGCGCCGACTTTTCTATCGCTGTCAGACATGTAGGTGGCGTCGGGGTTGTAGAAGACGAACCGTAGTTCCGAGGCGTGTGGAACCTCATACCACGACCCCTGTTTGTTGCGGCTGTCTTGGTAATGAAACTTATAGAAGAAATGGTTACGCAAGTCACCTAAAACTGACAAAGTTTTGTTCAATTCCAGAAATTGACACGCGCCAAATGACATGTCTGCTATAGCAGAGACAAGATTCGATCTCAGTTCATACGGTTTGGTTGCATTAGCAATATACATCTCCTCCACCAATTTCTGAATGGCGTCGTTGTTGACGAATGAAGCCAATCTACGGATACCCCGGAAATAACGACTAAACTCGCTTCGGGTGATTCCGTCGTTTTCGGCGTCTCTGACTAGCCTAGACATCTCACCGGAGTTGTAGCCTCTCAGCGTGTCGACAGCGTTGAAGTCTTTGCTGTCCAGGAGATTCTCCGGGTAGTCGGGTAAAAACCCGAACTTGGTCTCCACCCTGGGGACGGCGATCAGCTGTTGGCCTATGTCTCCGCCAGCGTTTGACGCTGCTATCAAGAGATTGTCTGAACGTTTCAGGCATGCCAAGATGTCTAGAGAGCTTGAAACGTTACATCCGACTCGCGATGCGACGTTAAGTGTAAAATCTCTTGCTTTGATCGATGAGCCTGGTCTTTCGATAGCAGCCCCGGATAGTGAACACCCGCTTTCCATTATGGCGCGTTTAAAAAGACCTTTCGCCAAAGGGGAGACGACTAACAATCCGACGCTAAAAGCCCCAGCGCTCACCCCTGCTATAGTCACCTGACCTGGGTCTCCACCAAACACCTTGATGTTTTGCTGAACCCACTTCAAGGCCAGGACCTGGTCCAGCATCCCATAATTCCCAGGCATGACGTCATCGCCCGTGGACAGGAAACCGAAGGGCACCAGACGGTAATTTATCGCCACGTAAACGACACCAAGACGCGCTAGAGTCGTGCCGTTTCCGTCACTGAAGTAAGAACCGGTTTTGTAGCTACCGCCGTGAATCCAGACCATGACCGGAAGTGATCCGTTGACATCCGGTGTGAAGACGTTCAAATAGAGGCAGTCTTCAGAGCGCCTCTTAAGCATGATCTCACCGGGTTTTTGTGGACAGATGACCCCAGGTTTAGACGCGTCCCTGACCCCCGTCCAGGGGGCTGCTGGGGTCGGGGGTTCAAACCTCAGGTCTCCTGTAAGACAAAAATTATCAAATGCTGAATTACTTCGTTACTTTCGAAGTCGTTATCATGTTATAATTTATTAAGATCTTAATAGGCCCAGATAGTGTATCTTCTGTTAATGACAAATAATGGAGTCTGGTCCGCTGTCTATGATATGAAGGACAAGTCTGTTCTCTTTATCTATCTGCACAGGTTTATCAATCTTGAAATCGGTTATCGACTTAGCTCTGTGCTGATATTTGAAACTAGAACTGCCGTATCATTCATCAAAATGTCGTTTGATTTCTCGAAGCTCAGTTAAAAATTCTCACTTTGTTTTCCCATAGTGTCATGTTTAAAATCGTCTAAAGCAGATAGACAAGATAATTCACGTCATAGTCTGAGCCTAATGCCATTGGTTGCTCCCTAACATCGTGTGTGAACAATGCTAGTTGTGCTAGAAACCTACGTACAGCATCGTAGTATAGTACCGACTTTTATTGGCACTATTATCGCGGGGTCAGGGTTATTTTCTAGGCTAGAAATAGAATATTTCAGCAAAAATATATAAATTTAAAACCCATGGCGTTTTTGGGAGTTTCGAATCTAAAAAAAAAAAGTTCTTTATTTTAAAATCTTTTCACACCTGATTAAAGTTTAAGTTCCTTTTCGAGCCTGATGATCCACAGGGTATGTAAAACTTAGTTAACCTGTTTCTGTAACGTTGGCATATGAATTATAGTGTGCTCAGCACTATGTTAAGTCATCTTTACTTTCCCTAACGTAAGTAAGGGTACCCATTAGAGCTGGGTGGACTCTGGGACGTGCCACAACCCCAACCATCGACCTGAACTCCACATTTGATTAGGTATTCTACAATGATCTGCAGTTATGTACATTGTATATCATAAACATGCATTAAAGATACAAAAATAACAGAACTACAATTATGATTCCTCGTGATCTATGTTTGGACATACCCTTACTTACACGCGAGGGTGGATTAAGTATCAACTCACCTGTGGGCGGCCGTGCGTAAGGAATCTCATAAAACACCTGTACCTCCCGCCCTGAGTTGAACTGTTTCGTCACACCTCTCAGCTTTCCTCCATGATTTAACTGTACCACAATGTCTTCCCCGCGTGCTAAGACAGGCCTCATCACAACAACAACAAACGTAAGCACGAGAACAACCAAACTGGTTGCCATCTTTCCTGAACGAAAGTTGATGTCGTATGTTTCAGACACCGAGTGTCAAATATGTGTTGCCATCTTCCAGAACTGGTTTCAATGTTTCTTTAACAGCTGTATAATATGTGTGACATCATCATCTTTATCGTCATAATCTGAATCGAGTTTTCTTCGCCAGGTGTTTTTGGAACTACCTTTTTATGCTTGCATGAAGGATTCAACTTTCAGGACCATCATGCTGATGTTGCTAGACGCTTTACATTCCAAGCACTATCCATCCCCATTCCCTCCCCTTGATTACATCGAGGCAAAAAAAATAATAATCTCATGTACCGACGCCTGCTTGCGCTGTAACTTTGTTGACAAAGTAATTACTGTCATCAATTAATACAAGAACGATGAATCAGCTAGAACTATGTCTAGCGAACAACATGTATTAGTTTGTTAATAGTTTATCACGTGATGTGATTTTAGCTAACTTTTTACTCACAGCTCATGTCGTCAATAAAAAAAAAAACACATTGGGAGTAGTGACGAAATGATGGTGGGGGGTAAGCGGGCAAGAATGTTAATTTGCTAAAATTGTCCTTCCCCTCCGTGACACTAAAAATAAAATCTATTTTTATGGGAAACTTAATCCCGGTTAACTTTCAACCCGAAAGATTTTGTGTGGAGGGTAGGAGAGTGAAGTTTATCTGTACTCGGTCATCTTTTATATGAGCTATTTGGAGATCAAAAGACATTTGCCGCCTCTTTATATAAGCTACTTGGAGATCAGAAGGCAACATGGGTCGGCGTGGTCGAGTCGGTAAAGCTCATGGTTGCTAAACCGAAAAGTCTCGAGTTCGAACCCTCGGGCTTTGAGGCTCGTTAGCTGAGGAGAGCCACCTGTCTAAGAAAAACAACTCCAAAATCAAACAACTGCTGCCTTTTTTCTTCTTGGTTGGACAAAGGCTATGGAAGCAAATCCAAAAAGAAAAGCAGGCTGAAATCGGAGTCAATGGCCTCCATGGCGCATAACCAGTTGACACGTATCCTTGATTGTGATGGAGGCGTGGTCGAGTCGGCAAAAGCTCATGGTTGACAAATTCGAAAAAGCCTCGAGTTCAAACCCTCTGGCAGATCAGGCTCGATCCTTTCCAACACTAAAAATAAGAACGAAGAAGAAGGCAACAAGCGCCCCTCTACTAAAGCTACTTGGAGATCAGAAGAAAGTAGCCGTCTATCTATAGTGGATCAATGAATGTCGATGTAGGTTTCATTGCTTAATTGTTACTTCTTCATTGTCAAATGTTTATTGTGAGATTTTCTTTACCAACTTTTCATTGTCAGTTAAATATAGACAGCTGTTCAAAGTTACTCAGGGTTTGTAGAGCTCCATTTAAGCTCATCATTATTACAGTTTAAGGCGATGTTCTATTTTTGTTAAATAATAACCACACATACTTAAATCCTGTGTTTACTGATATTTCATTTTAAAAATAATTCAACACACCTTAACATTTTATTTTTACAAACAAATCATTACTTAAAAGTTATGATAGTGTTTATGTAAACGAGGATTCATCATTAAAATAGATTACTTATTAGTAATGATCCCCAAAATATAGGGATTTCACCACTGTAGAGATCTCAGCCAATGATAGGATCTGTATTATCAATGACTGACGTCACATGCATCAGGTTTAGCACTCTTTGATAGAGAGCTGACACTCCAGGACGCGGCATCAGAACGAGGCTGACATTGGCATCAATGTTGAGAATACTCGAGCTCTCGTCCTCGTACTTGCTCCACGGCACTAACCCGTCGCTCTGTCCGGCTGGGGTGGGGTCGCCGTACTTGACGAAGTTGACCCACATCTTCTGGACACCGGCGCCGACTTTTTTGTCCGTGTCTGACATGGTGGTGGAGTCCGGGTTGTAGAAGACGTACGGTCTTTCAGCCGCGTGTGGCACCCCAAGCCAGGCCGGGTTCTTGTTGTGGCTATCGAGGTAGAAGAACTGGTAGAAGTAATGATTTTTCGAGTTCCCTAAAGCTGCTATCGTTTTGTTTAGTTCTAAGTACTCGCTGGCGCCGAAAGCCATATCCGATAAAGCCGTGACGAGGTTGGCGCGAAGTTTAAACGGATCTGTCTCATCGGAGAGGTACATTTCTTCAACAATTTTTTGTATGGCGTCGTTGTTGACGTAGGAGACAACCTTAAGAACGCCCCTGAAATAACGGCTGAACTCGTCTCTGGTGATGCCGTTATCGTCCGGGTCTTGTACTGGCCAGGACATCTCCCCAGAGTTATACCCCCTCAGGGTGTCAACGGCGTTGATGTTTTTACTGTCCAGGATGTTTTTCGGGTAGTCGGGTAAAAATCCGAACTTGGTTTCGACTCTGGGGATGGCTATCGTGTCGGACCCCATCGATTTTCCGACATCGACGGCAGCTATGAGCAGACTTTCGGTATCTGCGTTCTGCAAACAAGCGAACACCTCAGAGGAAGTTGTGTGGTTGCAGCCTACCAGCTCTGCAACTCTGAACGTGTAGTCTTTGATCTTGTACAGCGAGCCTGGTCTTTCAATAGCAGCCCCGGATAAAGAACACCCGCTTTCCATTATGGCGCGTTTAAAAAGACCTTTCGCCAAAGGGGAGACGACTAACAATCCGACACTAAAAGCCCCAGCGCTCTCCCCTGCTATAGTCACCTGACCTGGGTCTCCACCAAACACCTTGATGTTTTGCTGAACCCACTTCAAAGCCAGGACCTGGTCCAACATCCCATAATTTCCAGGCATGACGTCATCGCCCGTGGACAAAAATCCGAAAGGCCCTAAACGATAATTTATCGCAACGACGACAATCCCGTGAGGGGCTAAGGTGGAACCGTCCCCGTCGTTAAAATAAGAACCGGTTCTGTAACCGCCGCCGTGAATCCAGACCATGACCGGAAGTGATCCGTTGACATCCGGTGTGAAGACATTCAAATAAAGACAGTTCTCAGACCGTCTCTCAAACATGATCTCGCCGGGTTTTTGTGGACAGATGACCCCAGGTTTAGAAGCGTCCCTGACCCCCGTCCAGGGGGCTGCTGGGGTCGGGGGTTGAAACCTCTGGTCACCTGAAATGTTTTAAAATTTAAAAATGTATATTTCGTTAATTGTATTACAGCAGGAACACTTTGTCGCCATCAATCTATTTGGGGAAAAAAAGGTAAATTATTAAGGGCCTTGGCTAATTGATTACCTTTCTTGTTACGGTGAAGACAAATATTTATTTATTGTTAATGTTTACTTTAAAGCTATTTATTTTAAAGTAGTAAATATGTAAATCTATTTATTTCGATAAGAAAGGGAGGTGATGGTGCAGTAAAGAGGGCGTGGCAGCAGTGAGGTATATTCAAAATACATTTAGGGCCTATTTACACATTATATTTTTCATAGTCGTGAGTCACCCACTAACTTCAAAATGCAGAAGTTGGGTTTAGGGAGGATATTTAGCAGTGTTTCTTCCATACTTTTTTCTCCGGGGTGCACTTGAAATTTTCGGGGGGGGGGGGGGGGCGGGGGGGACGGACAGACGGACGGACTCAAACTTCCGGGGGGGGGGGGGGCGGACACTGTTTAAAAAATATATTTTCTATATAAATTCCATTTCGGGAGGGGGGGGCGGTAGACTTTCTTCGCCCCCCCTCCCTGAAGAGATGCATGGAAGAAACTCTGGTATTTGTATATTTTTTCTATTGTCTGTAATGAAAGATAGTATCAGATCAATTGTGACACCAAGCTCACCTGTAGGGGGTTGTGCATACGGGATCTCATAAAATACGTCTACCATCTGCCCGGAGTTGAACTGTTTGGTCACGCCTTTCAGCTGTCCACCGCTAGCCAACTCGACCACCACATCATCCGCTGTAACACTCAGGACATGGGCGAACAGCGCGACAACAGCGCCGATAGAAAACACACTTGCCGCCATCTTCAGCTATTTTGGAAGATCTCAGTCGATCAACAAGTGTGTAACCTTAATTTTGAAGTTTTTAAAAGTTTCCTGGGATTTAACATTTGCTGACACACTTTAAAATTCTAAATGTGCAGCTTCAATAGTGGGACAGTGCTTTAGACGTCACACTTGAATCCTTATCTTTGTAATTAGTTGTTTGGTTTGTGTTTTTTTTTAAATATCACAGTTCTAGAACAGTACATCGGAGAGGGCCGGGCAACATGTCGGGTGAGAAAGGAGAACGTTTGGATGGAGGACGGGGGGGGGGGGGGAGGGGGGGTGAACAGTCCTGTTGGTGGCTGGACGGTTTGCTACGTGAACGCCATAAAGATAGCAGTGACGTTTTGGACATGAAGAGGTAGCCTAAAGATTCGCTACAAGGAGACTGATAAGGGATAAGCTACAAAAAAGAGAGGTCAGGTTGCAGGGTGAGTGTGACCCAGAAAAAAAAAAACGCCCACATCCCAATTTTAATTTCCATAACGCATTTTTTTTTCATACACCGGGCGGCCCGTCGGGATTTTTTCCGGATGTCCATATTCACTTCCGTCAGCTTGGAACAGGCCAGCCTGTAATAGTAATAGTAATAGTAACAGTAGTGGCGTCGTTAGGTCGGGTGGCACCCGGTGCGGCACCTCATGGTGTCCCCCTCCCCCCTGAAAAAATTAAATTTATATATAAAGGTCTACGCCTAATTGTGTCAATTTGTACTCACATTATATTAATCTAACTATTAATTCAAGTGAAAAAAAGCGTTTTCATCGTAAATTAATAGATTTTGGTGTCACTCTCTCCCCGGTTGTTGAATGACTTATCAGTTATTCCAAATACTCAACAAAACCTTCTTTCCTCTGTAAAGTTTGCAGTTGGTGTCACCTCCCTAAATGTCACTCGGTGCGTTCCGCACCCCCGCCCCTTCTGAGTAACAGACTAATAAATCTCATTCAGAACTGTAACATTTTTTTTTACCCCTTGACTTGTCTTCAATATGTTACAGTGATGGATGTGTTAGGTCTATTGTCACTGTATATTCAATTGTCCGGGTGGTAGCGAAAACACAAGTAATTAGACATTGTGATAATTTTACCGGAAAAATTGCTATATCAAGTTGTTGTTAGCCTACTTTAACTCACTTAACAGTAGTTTAAGTTAAGGAAATATTTGTTGTTAGCCCATTTGAACTCACTTAGGGGTTTCCTCCTCCCCTCCGTCACACATCGTCACAAAAAGCCAGCCCCCCCCCCCCTCCCCCAAAATGACGCCACACATCAGCCCACAACCCCCCCCCCCCCCTCAAAATTGCTGTTGAATTTTTCTTAAAACATCGATATTTTTCCAAAATCTTGTCTGAGTTATGTCATTACTGTCAACATAGAGTATTTTGATCAATTCCAACTACAGTTTATTAAAACCGTTTTCTAAAACGCGAAATAACGTTTTCTAATAATGCTTTTTTATAATGCAAAAGTGTGACGTCACACCATCTGAACACCCCCCCCCCCTCTCCCTCATCACACACCGTCACAAAATTACGGACCCCCCCCTCCCCCCTACGAGTGTGACGTCATTTATGGACGACCCCTATAACAGTAGTTTAAGTTAAGGAAATATTTGCTATTGGCCTACTTGAACTCACTTAACAGCAGTTTAATTCATGGAAATATTTGTTTGTAATAGCCTACACATATACTCAAACGTAGATTAAGCTGAGGAACTATAATAATGGGGTGTGCGCCCGGTGTGGCGCCCGCATGACCGGGGTGGGTTTTAGTCTGATAGAAGTTTGAATGATTGCGCCTTGGAAATCCAGACGCAAAGTAGCATGTTGAGATGAGCAAGATGTTGCTAAAGTTTCTTTCAGGTATCTCTTAGGGGGTTAGTGACCCCCTCCCCCTCCCGAAGAACGTCTACATTTTGTCACTTAATCCCCCCACACCCAAAACAGAGTTTCTTCCAGGCATCTCTTCGGGGGGGGGGGGGGGGGGGGGCGCTACTTTGGCGCTATACCATTTAAAACAGCAAGGCGCCATTTTGTTTGCTAGATCTATGGAAAAAAAACATACTACGTACACAATACACGACTAAATCTACTAAAATATTTTTAAAAAAAAACAACTTATTAATCTGAGGTTCATGCAGTGGCGTAGCGAGGTCGGGTGTCACCCGGTGCGGCACTTAATGGTGTCACCCCCCCCCCCCCCAGAGGCGTAGCGACCCTTCCCGGGGACAAACTTTCAATTTTCGATTTGCACCCCCCCCCCCCTTCTTCAAACTTTCTATTTAATTTTTCTCATATATTTTGCTATTTTTTGCCTTGGTGTCGCCCGGTGCGGTCCGCACCTCCGCCCCCCCCCTCGCTACGCCTCTGGGTTCATGTATAATTAGTACCAATTCAACCACTGAGGTTTTGCCTGATCGATGCATAATTCAGTGATCGACTGATAATTATGCTGCAAATATTTGTAAACTTGCTTACATTTTTTGTCCATACAAAAAAAATAGCTAAATATGCCATGCTCCGTGCAGTTACTTTCTGTGGTATTTCACATAGTGCACTTATGTTAAGGTCATTGGAAAACCGTTTATACAACCTTTTGACCTTTCTGTCACGCAGCCCATGGCTAGAGTTTAAATTGTTGATATTTAGAACTGGAATCAGTGTTTCTTCCAGACTTTTTTCTCCGGGGGGGCACTTAAAATCTTCGGGGGGGCGGTAAACTTTCCTCGGGGGGGCGGACACTGTTAAAAGTATGTATTTTCTATATAAATTATATAAATTTCATTTCGTTCGGGGGGGCGGTAAAAATTTTTCGGGGGGGCTTCGCCCCCCCCGAAGAGATGCCTGTAAGAAACTCTGACTGGAATATGTGATGGCCTTTGTGTTAATACAACTATGTGCTGACTTTTTTTTTAAACAAAACAAAAACCTTAAACATTTTTTAAAAATTAAGTTAAATGGTGCATTGCAACTTTAATGTTAAGTAAAAATTATATTTATTGGAAAGGATTCAACCTCCATAAGCTATACCATGCTACTGTAAGAACTCAAGAAGTATGTTGGTACCACCAAGAGGAGTGATTGTTTCAATTAAATGCCTCTATCTAGGATGTTTTATTAACACAAGGGGTGATGATGTAGACCTAGAATAGAGTGCCTCTATCTAGGCTGTTTTATTACCACAAGGGGTGATGATATAGATCTAGAATCTAGATCTAGAATCTAGGCTGTTTTACTTTTAATAACACAACGTACAATGCCCACAAAAGGGTGACTGTACACTGAAGTAATGCACTACAAATACATTATTACATTAACTGTATTGCTTACTTTTAGATTGTATTAAGACATGTATTGTGTATAATCAGTGAGGGTAATTCTCTTTCATTAAGGGAAGGAAGAAGGTTAACACAAAACACAAAAGACACTAACATGTAAGCCTACTAAAGAAAAAAAACCAGAGAAATATTGATTACATTTATTATAAAACTGTCATAGTACTGTCATAATTTCTGCAAAATACTGACAACTGGTTGAATGACAGGTCAGATACTTTGCCAGCTAGCTTTTTGTACCTAGTGCTCATTAATAAGCAATAAGGAAAAGAAAAAAAAAATCTCTAATTAATCAAGCTTTGAACTAGAACAATACATAAAAATGTTGCTCTTGCAACAATCAAGTATGTGAATCGATTTATAAATAAAACTGTCAAGTTATGAACAGATTTAGGCACTTCTAGCAGCAACATATTTCTTGATGTTCTCCTGCTCTCCCACTGTCTCAACAAGTTTCTTCACCAATGGGAAGTTGGCGATTGAATCTTCAACTGTGACCTTGAGGAAACCAGTGCAAATGTCAAACAGTACAAGGTCAGCAAGAGTGATGCTGTCGCCTACGAAATACCCGGTGCCATTTTCTTTCAATAGTTTTTCAAAGAAGCCGAGAAATCGTGGGCCGGCTTCGGTTTTAACCTCTTTCAGAATTTCTTCCTTCTTAACAGGATCCTGTTCACGGAAGGATTTAGCGAAAGCTTGAATCAGATCTTCTGTAAGATTGGAGACTGTGTCGATCCTCAGTGCGTCTCTGTTTGTCTTGCCGTACAGGTTAAACTCCCGAGCTAAATAGTTAGCCATGGCGTTGGACTGGGCAAACATTTCCCCATCTACTTCCATAGCTGGGACCTGGCCGAAAGGTGTTGTTGGTTTGATTTCAGGCCATTTGTCTCTGGCAAGCCTGACATCTTCAAACTCTTTGCCCACAAAATTCAACAGGAGACGAAGAATCTCAGCTCGCCCGGTGATATCAAAGTAGATGACTTTAATACTTTTAGCACTGGCCATTTTTTTTATCTGGAGAAAAAATAATGAATTAGAAATAGTAGAAGAATTCTGATGGTGCATTATTTCTTAATGTAAAAAATGATGAATCCTATTAATTAGTATTAATTACAAGTAATTACAAGTCATGATAGCTGTTCTGTTTTGGTGGCTGTTGTTTTCAGACACCAGTGCAATAAAAAGGGATGCATTAAAAATTCACATTTTGGAGACAAATGAAAATACAAATTATGTCTATTTGCCTACTAAATTTTTTATAACAGGCACCAACATATTGTTAGACAGCTGGAGTAAAGCTACTCTTTCGATCCATATGTGGATTGGGACTCACTACTTTTGTGATGGCTGTCCCAGTTGTGCACTGTAATGTCCAACAATGTAGTTGAATGTACTAATGTGTTATGTTATCCTTCTCTAAATGTTTAATGTGTGCATCAGTAGTTAGCGTAAAAGGGTCCATATGTAGATCTAGATCTATATGCTAGTTATGTAATATGTAGGCCTAATGGCTAATTAATATGTATACAGTTATACACTATACACTACACTATTGTATAGATCTACCTTAACTAAAATATGCCTTAGTATTTTATATAGACTAGGAATCTTTAGGCCTAATGACCAATTTATTATAAATCTAGATTCTAGACTTACTACTATTATTACTGGACTAGATTCTACTAACTAACTAGATCTAGACTAGATCTAATCTACTGATCTAGATCTAGATTCTAGATCTTGAATCTAACCCTAGATCACTAAACTCTATAATCAAATAATCTATTTATACTATTATCTAGATCCTTGAATCTAACCCTAGATCACTAAACTCTATAATCTAGATTATTCTAGATCCTAGCTAGAATCTAGATCTACTACACTAGACTAGACTTAGACTAGATTCTAGATCTAATCTAGATCTAGCCAAAAAAAATAACTTAGGCCTAGATCTAGTTAGATCTAGATTCTAGATCTAGATCTAGATCTAGATTCTAGTAGTTAGTAAGCTAGGCCTACCGTGGCCGTATTTATTACTATTTATTAGTAGATCTATTTAAATAGATCGTACCGGTACTCGGTGAATTAAAAAGTTTAAGCGGACTGTGTAGATATAGAAGATCTAGATCTAGATATAGATCTAGTAGATCTAGAATCTAGATCTATATCTAGATTTAGGACTTACTTGGATTAGAATTTAAAAACGTAAACGACGCACTCGACCCGACGTCTGCTCAACACTTATCTGGCTATGGATTATGTATGCAAACTTGAGCTCAGCTAGATCTAGACTCTAGATCTATATACGCCTGTAAGACAACGGCTGCGAGACCAACGATTTTTTTTTACCCTGCAGAGCGTTCTATTGACATTTCTACTTAAAAAACTCCACCCCCATCCCCTCTTCTTCTTTATTATACATTTTGACCTATCTATCGCTCACCTGACAGAAAATCCGGTTAATCGTATGTTTGGATATTGGAAGCTACTTTATACAATTAAGATTTTAAACTAGTAATGTTATTCCCCTTCCCCAAGCAATTTCAGAGAAGTAGTTTTCAATAGATTTTTAAAATATAGATCTAGAGGCCTATCTAAAAGATATTGCGTACCACTCCCAATCAGCTTATAACTATTTATTTGATATCCAGGCCTATTATTAACTGTAAAGCTATAATTTTTAAATGAATAAATAGGCCTAGATCTAGTTATTTAATGCATACGATGCATTTCCTCAAAAGTTGTTAATTCATACTGTGAGCTTCAAATATATATATATATATATATTAGAAATCAACACTTAACCATCTACAGCTTTTAAATCTTGTTACAATTCGGTTAACTGCAAAAAGTTTTTCACCTTCTGTATTCGACACCAAGGGGAGGCGAGTCATGTGTTTTACACGTATGATGCACTGTGAAAGCTGCTTTGTCACGGTCATGTCACTGAGGGAAAAAGTGAGGTCAAAGTGGAACAAAAAAATTTAAGATTTTTATTATCTTTTCACTTGATATCTATCAGGGTATTAGTAGATTTACGTTCCAGTTATAGACTGAGTTTTCGGTAGAAATTTTTTTAAATAGAACAATAACTTGAATAAGAGTATTGTTATAGGCAGGCCTAACTAATAAAGTAAATATTTATCATCTTATTAACTCCATATGAACACAAAAATTATAGACTAAATTATGAGCTAATGTTGTTAGTATTACTCAGCAATTTAAGAATACCTTTCGATGGGGAGGGGGGGGGTGTATATCCTCAGACTAGAACATTCTTTTAGTTACTCAGCATCTTTTAAAGTATTCAAATTTCTAAACCTGTTAGTGTTTGCTTATTGGTTGGAGTCTATATAGTTGGTATGTGGTGAAGCTTTTGTGTCATCATTTTTTTTTGTCTCCAGTTAATACAGCATGTGGGATGTGTAAGAATGGGGGGGGATTTCAAATAGTGTGACATCACACTTAACATCTAAAATGTGTCCCTCAGCACATTCTTTAATAGTTCCTATGCATTTTCCATTATGGAATGAGTGTTTAAGAAAATTAATTAGAAAGTGTCACTGTATTAAAGTTTTAAAGGTAGGAGTAAATTCTCTAATGAGTAGCACCTAATGAGTTTTGACAACAATATTGAAAAAAATATGAGTACAAGTCAAAGCTGGCATGAAAATTGCAGCTAAAGTTTATTTAAACATCTGTCAAAATAACAATATCCATGTAAACATTTTCTCCACACAAAAAAATATTTTACTGTCAGTATATCAATATCAGTGTAAAGCTCCTTTACATTTTCAAAATAAATTATTTTTATAATTATTGACAATATCAATGTGCCACTTTATTTTTACAAAAAAATTGTGTATTTTTACTTTTGTCTTATACCATCAAGTACAGCTTGCTTTTCTCTCATTTTACAAAAAAATATCTAACGTGTAACGAGAAATGCCCATAGTAATTACATTTGTCTCAACCATCTTATGAAGATTTAATGAGCCCAGAGTATGCAGCATGAGCTGCCCTACCATCCACTCCAAGCCTAGTATGGTACGACCCACACAAGTAATCTCATCAACTGATAAGCCAAGAGTGTGTACCACTTAAGCACAATCAAACAGCTTGACTATTTATCCAGATACAGCAATTAAACAATAGTGGTAGGAAGTTAATTCATTGACAACACAAACGTTGGTGGTAATTAATGCCAGTAATATAACTTACACACACACACACCAAAGAGAAGTGATCATAGCTTCATTAAACACACATTAGTAACAATGAGGTCGTTTTGAAGTGGTAATATAATAACTTTTCTAAGTGTTATTTACAGACTAACAATTATAATTATTTTCATGTATATCCAACACACATTTTCCAAATTCAAGGTTTAAGTACTATCAAGGGTTATTGCAATTTAAATCTAAAATTGTAAAATGTATAACTAATATATAAATAAATTTTATAACATTTTAAAAATTGTTTCTGTTTTGATAGTACTACCTATTCCTAAAAAAGTGTTATTTTAGATCAATGCAAATTGGATAAAAAATACACTTTGACGATACATGCAGAAATAGATTTTGCTTAAGGTTCACAAGTAAATTAGTTTTGTAAATCTGTTTTTCCTTTCTGTAAAAAGTAAATATCCTTTTCGGACGTGGCAGCCCAGGGCAGGTGAAGTAGAGTTCACCAGTTTCTGTGACCTCTGCATAACTTTCCTTAATGTAAGTCAGGTACCCATTAGGGTTGGGTGGACTCAGAGACATGCTACGACTAGCCTGGGACCCGAACTGGGATAGCAGATGAAAGTTCTACCATTCGACCACGCCCTATTTCCTTTCTGTATCATCTCAAGCTTTCAGATTAAAATCAATGAAAATGGCACATGACTGGAAGGAAGTTTGCATTGGCAATACATTGATCTTGTTCAATGAATATTATTGTCCTCTGCTGCCTCAAATATCATAGCAACAAAAATTATGATATTTTTAGAAAAAGAACAGGTGTTACCGGCAATGTTTCAGCAGACATATTTATTACAGTATACTGGACGTCACAGTAAAAATATTTACTTAGAATTCAAGATGTAGAAATTACAATAAAATAAATCAGTAAACATGTCTACAAATGATGTTCTTAGGAAAAAATTCTTGTACTCAAGTAGAGGACCCATTAAGATCTGATGATCCATAAGGCAGAGTAACTATGGCATTAATTCATTAAGAGCCAGATTTAGTTGTTTAAAGAGAAAACTGTAACTGTAACCACTGCTTAGGGCATTAAGATTTTGACATATTTTCAGGGTTTTAATTCACCAACTTTGCTAGTGGTCATCCACAAATTAATTCACCATTTTTGTGACCATTTTATTTCCCCCAGTGTCACAAAAATTCAGACTACAATCAGTATAACACTTTAGCTTATCCCACACCCTCATCAATTTAAAAAAATTATAAAAGATGGGTCAAGATTAATTTTATTACAAGTCTCAAACATGCAAAACAGCTTAAAATTCACTCTAAAAGATTACTTCTTTAAACCCGAATATGTAATGTAACACTTTATGACCTTTACCCCCTCGTAATTTATGGATGACCCCTAGTATTATTTCTGAGACTATCCTCCTATGGTACTAAAAAATGAACAGAAACAAATTCTTCAGCATGACATCAGCAAAAACCAAGCACCAGGATTTTCTTTTAAATGTTACACGTATTTAAAGAAAAATCAGATGTACACAAAATAAAATTAGAAATAAATATATCAGGAACAAAGTAACAGACAAAAAAAATGTGAAACAAAACATTGTTTTACATTAAAGTGTAATATACATATACACAAACAACACAGGTAGAAGGGGGGAGGGAATGGGGGTCAATTCTAGTTAAAGATTAATGAAAGTAGCTTTCCGGTTTGTACAATCTGAGTTTTCAACTATGATCACACAATTGTCATCCTCAAGAAATGTTTCCTGGGCATTATTATGACTGTCATTACTTTGGGCTTGTGAGGCAAAGTTTGCTGCCTGTGTATGAACCACTGAGGTAGAAGCAAAGGGAGGTGAGAACACTACACTATGAGAGTTGCTGGAGGTTGTGTGTTGTCCAACAGGCAGCACACGTTCGGTGGTGTCATACATGGCGGTACATGTGATTGAAGTCCATGTCTCTGAGGTATTCCCTGTGTGTGACGCAATTTGTGGGGAGGAAGCTGTGGTCTGACATCGTTGTTCAGTAGTCAATTGGTTTGTTGATAAATGCAAGTCTGTGCTGTTGGAAGATGGCACGACGAAATGAGGATTTCTAGGTTCAGGTGGGCTTTTTAAGGCATTGTAGCCTGTGTGACCATTTGTTTGTGGGTGGTGGGATTTGGGAAGTGGACTCTGTGGGTGGGGGCTTGGAATAGGAGAGTTAAGTACTGAGAGGCCCCCCGGACCTGGTGCGGCGGAGGTAGGTACAGGGTTGGTCTCTTTATCAGATTCAGGAATGACGTAAACATGAACAAGATTTCCAGAGGCTGAATCTTCCTGAACTAGAAGAATCTGAATAGAACCAAGGTTGTCCGGAATTCCCAGATGAGGGCCAATAATGGGTACCATGGTTGACGGAATGAGAACACCTTGAACTGGTGTACTGACCCCCTCCATTTCAATCTGAACTTGGGTGGAGCCTGGGATTGACTGAATGTTGGTGAAGGCGGTGCTGTCAATGATGTTGCTACTCTGCGGTTGCTTGGTGGAGAACGCTGCCTCTCCTTGCGAGTCAGTTCTCCCAATGCTGATTGACCTGTTTGTGTTGGGGGTCTCAGACCCATATGGTGGGAAGCCCCTGTCTGGAGACTGCAAGACAAAAAGTACGTTGGAATCTTTGTCTCTGTTACTTTTACTCTTTTTAGCCGGAACTTTGGAGGCTTCTTCCTGTTCTTCATTTCTGGAACAATTAAGTTGAAAACAAAAAATTATTATTTTTTTTATTAAAAGCATTGGTGATGTAATTAATAAAAACAATTTTTAAATTTATTAATGAACTATTCAACTAGAATATTAATATCAAATTAAGCAGCTAACTGAAAACATGGATTTTGTCCTAACCTCTAAAAAATGCCAATCCAGATAAAAAAAAAGATAATAACTAGTTTTCACAATATACATTTTTGTAGAATACTTTAGATAAAACAGACGCTCACTTTTGAGCAAAACATTAAAGTTTTGTCCTTCTATATTTAATTTAAGATAAAGACAAGTACAAACTACCGTAAATCAAGGTTTATGATATTAGCAAATAATTTGCACAACATGTCTATATAGTATCTCTAAATTATCGGCTAGCTAAGTAGTATAAATAAGTAAAATACAATGGATTGTTTGAAAATATACGAACTCATCATACTCTGGTCCCATATCATCTTCTTCGTCTTCTGAATCTACCTTCTTTCCTGAAAGAAATTTTGTTTTTAATATTTACCTAAATTTTGTGAATCTTAAAAATTGTTAAAATGTATAAAAAGAATTACATCCACCTATCCTGAAAAAAAAGCTTATTATAAAAAAAACAACTGAACTAATGAAATTTCCTTATATACATTTTCTATAAACCAAAGATGAATCTAGGTAACCTTATTTTAAATTACAACTTTTGTATTAAGTAATACACCAATATCCACAAAGTATTTTCTAAATCAAATTTTTGGAATATAAATGAAAAATAGTAGGTCCAATAATTATGTATTGTTTGACAATAATAGACCCTTGCTTGTATTCTAGTTGTGATTACAATCTTTGAATCAGGATTTTATTAACAATTTTGATTTTATCAGGTGTAAGACACCATTTTTTAACTTGTATAGATTTTTGTAACTATTCGTTAAGTTGTATATCTAGTACAATTTTCAGCTAGAATTAAATTATAGAATGTTTTTCTTTAAATTTATAAATTAAAATATTATTTATAAATATAAAAACTTTAAAACAAACAACTAGGGATTATAATTGATAATGTGAAAAAACCCATTTAAAATTGTACCTTAAACAGTTGAAAAAAAATGACATTCTAACTTCCAAAATTTTTGCAAACAACTTGTGAACTTAAATCAAAATTCGTAGAACAATTAGCTCTCTGCTTTAAAAGAACGAAAATTGTAGGCTTGTGTTAAAAAGCAGACTAAAAAGAAACAAGTTAATAAAAAGTCTAGTGACAATTTAAGCTGAATTTCCTTATGTTATCTAAAAATAGCTCTGTCGTAGCGTAAAGCACACACGGGGACAAAACACAAGACGTATAATGCTAGGGTGCGTTCAAGCTAGGAAAACGATCGGTTTGTAGGTGTTTATGTAATTTTTAAAAAAATTTTGTGACCGAACGAAAGGATATTTTTGAAAACTTTCTTTGGCAATATTGTTCTAAATTATGTCAGGAATCGATTGGTACATGTTTCAAGTCATTAAGTGGTCTGGTCGCCAAGATATGTGCCAAAAACTGCATTTTTTTGAGGTTTTTTGGCTTTTCCGGGAAATCCAGGAAGGAATTTCGGGAATTTTTTTGGCCCACAATCATCCTCGGAACTTGCTTAACATATTTGCTTTTGGAACTAGTCCTTGATATTGCTTCGTTGAGGAGGAGATCGGACACACATCCATCCTGAACGAGTAAATAATCACAATTGTCCGTATGGAAATTGCGCTAAAAAAGCACAGAGCCAATATGTATGAATGCATTATCCACTTACTCTTTCTTCCTTTCCTTTTCTGTCTTTGTTTCTTTTCTGTCATTTTCTTAGCTTTCTTCTTGACCAAACGCTTTAGCCTCTCCTCCTCTTCTGAGAGCAGTTTTTCTAGAACTGAGGGGTCATAACGTTGGCGATTTGCTAAAGTCATAAAAGAATATGTCAACCATATATATATATTTTCAATCAACATTGTTTATAAAAAGACAAACATGGAAAAGTTCAGTTGTCAATAAAGAACAATCAGCCAGAATGTTACCAATAGCCAAAACATCATGGTATGTGTGGATGTCGCCCCAAAATCAAGTACAATAATGGAGAAGTGTGGTTGCATCCTTTGTTCCACAGGCAGTCCATAGTAATGATGACAAAATTAAAGTACCACAGACACCCTGTCTGAACTTCCAGTTTATGCATTTTACTTTTAACAGCATATGGGGTATTAATACAAATGTTACTATACCACAAAATGCAATGTTGTAAAAGTAAAGCGATGGAAAAGAAAGTCACTAGAATATCACATAATAACAGTATCTTTAATAATGCAGTGAGACAGGATCCAATAATTAAAATACAAAAACTCATATGGTACAACTGAATGAACAGGAATGAACAATATGAGAGCCACTGAAACGAAGAAGGACAAAGATGAAGCCGCAACAGTACACCAAGTCTATAGAACTAAGAGCTGGAGATTGATACAATTGTATTGTTTGATTTACAAAATAACTAATTCCGGTTTTTCCTAATAAATGTAGAATATGATGAGAATAGACATATTTTCAATCAACATTGTTTGCGGTTAAAAAATATGTAGCAAATTGATTGTGTATTTTTTTTAATGTAAAAAAAAACTCACATAAAAAAGAATATCAATAAACAAACGACTTGATTCATTGAGTTAAGTTTAAATGGCTTTAGTAGTTACAATTAAAATTATTTTGAAATCTTCACTGTCATCGTAAGACCCACTTACTTTATTATTATTACTATATTATGTGAGTATATATATATATATATATATACACAAACATATACACACGTGTGTGAATAAAAAAAAATTCTGACTTTTACCCAAGGCTTTATCCACCAGCGGTCTATTCCTTCTTTCTTCTCTTTGAAATTTATTCTGTAATGGTAAATATTATGTATATTATTACAATATATTAACCAAGTACAAATTCCTATTGATACATGGACAATTTTAAAAATAAAAAACAGCTTAAGTTAGAAGCATGAAATTTCTAAAGTGTAAATCTGATGTTACAACAACACAATTTCAACAAACATATTTCTCATTTTGAAACACAACCTTAAAATCAACAACAGTACACTCATTTACCTTTACTGTATTACACAATTAATCAAGCAATTTGTTCCTTTAACAACAATGTAAACACATATCCCAATCACAACCTTTTTTTGTACATAATCTGCTAGCAACAATATATTAGATAACTACACAGCATCTTAACACAATAATAAGATTTACATTCGCCTATGCCCACTGATCACCTGCTATAATCTCCGCATGCAGGAGTTGAATACTCAATCCTAAAAAGCATCTATGTTGGTCAGTACTATGTACTGGTCAGTACAGTTTACCTGGCCTTAAAATCCATTGAAAATAAATCTATGTGCAGTAAAACACAAAAACACCGCCAGACATGCACAAGATTAGAATCGTCAAGGAAAGAGAAGAAAAGAATATAAAAAGACAAACATGGAAAAGTTCAGTTGTCAATAAAGAACAATCAGCCAGAATGTTACCAATAGCCAAAACATCATGGTATGTGTGGATGTCGCCCCAAAATCAAGTACAATAATGGAGAAGTGTGGTTGCATCCTTTGTTCCACAGGCAGTCCATAGTAATGATGACAAAATTAAAGTACCACAGACACCCTGTCTGAACTTCCAGTTTATGCATTTTACTTTTAACAGCATATGGGGTATTAATACAAATGTTACTATACCACAAAATGCAATGTTGTAAAAGTAAAGCGATGGAAAAGAAAGTCACTAGAATATCACATAATAACAGTATCTTTAATAATGCAGTGAGACAGGATCCAATAATTAAAATACAAAAACTCATATGGTACAACTGAATGAACAGGAATGAACAATATGAGAGCCACTGAAACGAAGAAGGACAAAGATGAAGCCGCAACAGTACACCAAGTCTATAGAACTAAGAGCTGGAGATTGATCAGGGATGTGACCAGACCAGGAAAAAAAATTAGGAAATTTTCTTCGGATAATAACTCAATATGTTTTATCTATTTTTTATCGCGGTTAAGCAGCTTCATACCGCAGTTAAGCAGCTTCATACTGTTACTGTACTAATTAATTGTTTAATGAAGTTAATATTTTAAATACAAGAAGTTTATGTTACTCTAAAATAACATTGAAAGTCTTGTCTAATTGCAATTTAATGTTTACCTTATAAACAACTTTTTAAAAATTACAATGTAACAAAAGTAGCAATTAAGTTATATTTTACCATTAAGCTAACTTAAACTGTACTAATCTAGTGTACATTCTAGATGTACTATGTTTTCAATTTTTAAATAGGGGGCCTAATGTAAAAATATTTGTCTTCAACTGTAAAGAGCCTAGATTAAGATTAGTTATAATTTTAAAGTTTTAGGTTCATGTGATGGAAAAATGAAATGGACCAGGTTAGCTAAAATTAGAAAGGGTCTGACGTGTTAACCAAAGTTAATCATTTTGATAGCCAAGCCATGTCGATAGTTATGTTTTTTTTTTAATAAATGTAAATTGTTAGGGGCTATCCAGGTTTTTTTGACGATATTTACCTCCCCTCTCTCCTACAAAAGCCAGACTTCCCCCCCCCCCCCGCCCCCTATAATGACGTCACATCTCAGCCAACAAATGCTCCCCCCTCCTCGAAATTAATTTGATTTTTTTTTAAACATCGATTTTTTTCTAAAATATTGACTGAGGTCGACCAACAAAGGGTATTTTATTCAATTTCTATTACAATGTTTTACAACAGTTTTCTAATAGAGGCTAAAATACAGTTGTTTCTAACATTACTTTTTTTTAAATATAAAAAATATGACGTTACACTATCTTACAAGTGTGACGTTATTTATGGAAGACCTCTGAACGTATTTTTTCTTCCACAAACAAGACACGATCGTAGTCACGTTGAGTTTAGTATTTTTTTTTTAAATCTGTAGGCCTACGAAGCATACGTATTGCAGGAACAGCTATTTGAAATTGACTGTGACGTCATTTTTCCCCCACAAGCAGTACCGAAAACGTACTTGGGGTCAAGGTGAGGTCACAAGAGCCACCGTTGCTACGAGGTGGGGCGGGTTAGTCTAGTCCTCATAGTCACCTTTTGCAAGGATTTCAATATAAATATGAGATTGCGAAATAAAATAGAATCAGAGAGAAACTCTAGATTTAGGCGGGTTAAAATACCGATAGGTAAATTAGGCTATATCGATAGCTAGATTACCAGGCTTAAGAGATGTAAGTTTCATTTGATAACTGCATTATTTTAGATTACCTTTTCCCGTGTTTTTGATAAATAGTTAACTGAAAAAATCAGCGGAAAATTTGAACTAAAAAAAGTGTGCTCTGAAAAATTCGAAAGTCCGCCGAAATTCCGAATCTTAATCTATATTTAATCTTGATCTAGCACCGTCAGACCTAGCGCAATTGACCAATCGAAAAGAAATGCGCATATTCCAGTGTCCGTTTGACCTAAGTACAGTAGTTGTCGATTTAAATTTAAATACGAATAAGTGGAATGAGCAAGTCGGCCCTTTCCGTAGAAGACATTTCCGTGTTTTTTCCTAATTTTTAAAATTTCGTAAAAAATCGACAAAAATTGAAAGTCAGCGGAAAAATTCGGCGAAAATTAAATCAGCGGAGGAAAATCGCAACGGAAACGGAAAAATCGGATTTCCGCTAAAATTCGGAAAAGTCACATCCCTGATTGATACAATTGTATTGTTTGATTTACAAAATAACTAATTCCGGTTTTTCCTAATAAATGTAGAATATGATGAGAATAGACAGTCAACAAAACCATTGTAATTAACTGTCTTGGCATTGTTGTGTCAACAGACTGGCAATTGTTTTCTACTTTTCTGATGGCTATAACAAGTAAATTAATTACCTTAAGCTCCCTCCTTGAGCGGTTAGTCATGAGATTAGTGAGTAAAGAAAAATCTGTTCCGCACATGCTAAGCCCAATAAAAAATCTTTCAGTCTCTGAAAAACGGATAAAAAAGTATTCAAAATAAACTTTATTGGTATAATTATTAGAATAGTTGGCAGGTAAAAGCTACAAATTTAACAAAGCACAATTAATGGCCAGCATACATGTAACATATGGTAAGTTTACTCTTCTGAGGTAATCAATTAAAATAAAGAAAATTGAGAAATCAAATTCGCAAGTAATTTTAAGGGTAAACATATGAAAAAAAATTGAATGAAATAGATAATTTACCTCCTTCTGTCCAAAACTTTGTTTGTTTGTGTTTCCTGTAAGTATTTGTATTCAAATAACGATCTTCATCATCCTCTTCAATTACCTCTCGTGGCGTGTGGTCTTCCTGCACTGTTTGAATCATTAAACTGCCGACAAAATAAACAATCTTTTCAATATATTACTGCAGTAAAAACTTTTTAAACACAAGGTATAAAATAAAATTAACTGCGATGATAAACATATTGATAATATCTAGTTAATATTAAAAGGGGCGCAACTCAACAAATACCTTTCAGTGTTGAGCACAACATTCCCATCAGGACCAATCATAATTTGTGGAGCTGGCAATGACACGCTCTGATTACTCTCTTCCTTGTCTTCCACCGAAATGGGTGCCGCCGCTGCCACTGGTGAGTTTGTGCTGACATTGGTAGTTGACTTTTTCTTATTTTTCCTCCTGTAGTGATGATTTTAATCAGGATTTATTAGCTACAAGTTTAGGGTGAAAATCCTATAAAGGGAAGTTCATGGAGCTACTGATGAAAAATGTAATAGCTAAAATCAGCTTAAGTATTGAGTAACAGTAGAATATGTGGGTAATTGTTGTAGCATAGCAAAAGAACAATTAAATGACCACACGTCATCTCACAAATAAATGATGTTGAGGCCAGCTTTCAATACTTGATTTTATTAGCCCAAAAAACATAAACACCTCAAATTATAAATTTTGGTGCTGAGCTGTGCTTTAAAAAAAGGCCGAAATTCCAATTATAACAATTAAAACAAAAAATTACTGTAGGAAGTTTTGTTGGGGATTCCAGCAAAGTAGATCACTCATTTTCATCTTCTGTCGATCAGGTGATTTTTCTCTGCTGGGAAGAGGCTCAGTTCGTACTTTCTTTGTCTGCAAAACAAAAAATTATACAAAATGGTTTGTTACATGCATTTTATGTGACATAAGTGTTTCCTTTTGTTTTTTAAGTATGTAGGGGAAATGATTATTAAGCAATCTCTTCACATTAAGGGACTGTATAGTCAATTCTATGTCCAGCAGCCTTTACTTTACTTAAAGTTAGCCAAGAACTGCTGGATGGACTTGGTGACATACTACTGATTCAAGCCAGTGTTGCAAACTTAAGACTTCAGAGTTAGCAGTCATGCACTGTTACCAATATCTCATTAAATAAAAAAAGATAATATGACACACCTTTTTTCGTCTAACTCTCTTCACATCATCATCAGCATCAGCTTGTCTTTCTTCATCTGCTTCTAAAGACAGGGCATCAGACATGCAGGAGACATCAACCTCGGACAAGGATGGCTCAGTACTGCCTTTACTCTCCTCTTTGCCTTTAATCTGCTCGAGTTTTGGGTTAATCTCCTTTAAAGTTTGTGTTGGCTCAGCATCGCCATCAGAGACTGAATCCCCACCCTGGCCAAGAATAGATGGCTGTTCATCCTTCACTACAGATGTCTTTGTTACAGAAATTTCTAAATTATTTTCCTCTTCTGGCCTTGTCTTTTCTAAAGAACTGCTGTGAAAAGATAAGATAACATTAAGATATAAATAATGTAATTATTTCTAGAAAGCATTGTTTAAAACAACATCGCTAGAAGTATGATTTGCCAACTGTAGTGCAAGCTAACAAAATATGAGAAATAGATTGAAATACTTGTTTTTTATAGTGGTTTCAACATTACAAATGATATACTAATATAATTCATAACAATAGATTAAATCAAGGACTACTGTCCTGTAAATGTCACTTCATTTTCAAAACAAGAGAGCCAAAATAAAAAATGAGAGCTGTGGCATAAATATTTCTCAATTATTGATAAAATTAAGAATTAAACTATTCATTTTTTCCAATCATAAGGATTGTTTTTACTAATTTTAGGGAATTTTTATTTATTTACACAAAATATTACCTATCAAAATCACTGACTGTGACATCCTGATTAGTTTTTACTTTCTCCAATGATGATACATCATTTTTAGAAGCACTTTCTTTCAAAATCTCTTGGCTAGACTTAGTATTATCAGTGTTGTTATCTGTTTGATCAAGTGAAGTCTGTACAATATCTTCATTGGCAGCTTGTGATTTTGAGGAAGGTGTAGTTGCCTCTGCTGTTATTGGTTTTGTCTTTGCAGGAGCTGTTGCCTTAGAAGGACCTGGCCGAATGTTAGGTTTTACAACAAATCGTGGTCTTCGGGAAACACTTTTAGAGGTTGTCTCAGGCTTGCTTTGATCATAATTTGAAGGCGTTAATGTTGTTGCAGTGGACATTTTTACTGCTATGAATGAAACTACTCTGAAATATACAACATAATTAAATTTAAAATAATCTTAACAGTCTAATCTTATGTAACACATTTGGTTACCAGCCAAGGGGGGATAAGTAATAAAGTTGTAATTCATTGGGTTGCAGCCCCTGTGGGACCGCAACTGTTGATGTAGTTTTTTTGCATGCTCTTCGGTGAGCTATTTTTACCTGACAGTCCAAGGGACAATTGAAGTAGTGTTCACATATTTCTATGACCTCAGCATATGAAGGGACAGTGTTGTCAGCACTATGCCCAGCCGCCTTTACTTTCCCTAATGTGAGTTAGGTACCTATCAGAGCTGGGTGGACTAAGGGATGTTCAACCGACTTGAACCTGGATTCAAACTTGAAACTTTCAGGTTAGCAGTATATTACTTAATCGCTAGGCCACGCAATCCCCAGACATTAGCCATAGCAACTTAACATAAGATTAGTAAATATTAAGTACTATTCATACTCTTGTTGAGTCTACTTAAGAGTAACTAGACTCTGACAAACTAGCACTAGATTTCGATTATAATACAAGTAGACCCTGTATCTGTGCCACAATAATAGAATCTTCTTAAAATTAATGACGAAAATCAACTACCAGTGCCACTCACACAATTCACATTTATTAATTTATTTTGATAAAATAATTATCAAATAATTAATTATTATAGGCCTGTGATGATGCAAGTTATATGTTACAGTCAAGCAGAAGAGAGCAGAGACAGAGTAGTCAGGTGGAACAATAAAATTGCAGAAAATGACCAGTCATGTGACCACTGAAGCGTATGTCAGAGGTTAGAGATAGGTAGCACTAGAGAAGAATTGGACAGTAGACGTGTTTAGTTTAGTTAGCAATTGGAGATAAACTGTGTATCAGTCAAACATATTAGGTCAGTCGCTGTTGAACATTGACCATTGGAGTATGTAGGAAAGTTGCAGTTAGATAGTCACCAGTGTCAGTAGACAATGGTCGCTGTTTATCATATATATTTTTATATAGGGCCTCGGGCCTAGCATTAATAGTATATAATATAGTTAGGCCTATATAATAGTATATAGTATAGGTAGGCCTATATAATCATATAGTACTATATAGCATATCTTGCTCGCAAACACTGCTGTTTAAAGTTTAATTTCTGGCTTAGGTCTAGGCCTATATTTAATATTAAACTATTAATACTAATAGTTTCGCTGTCTGTCTATCTATGTATCTATCTATCTATTTATCTGACAAGAACGCTCTAGAGAAAACACAAGCAACTTAAAAAATGCACAGTAAAGCGGAAGCGAAATATGACGTCATATTCAGCATATAGTAGAAAATAATATCAAGCCGGATAGTGCACACAGTAATATGACGTTATTGATTCTCTAGTAAACATTGAATAAAAAGGCAATTTTGTCTAATCTAAGTGGTTTGCGTGAAGAGTTTCTTTCATACAATTCTTCGGGTAGGGGCGAAGCCCCACCCTCGCGAAAGAACATCTAAGCCGCCCCCCCCCCCCAACTCAAAAGAAATTTCTTCATCGATACTCTATAATAAAAATTACCGCCTAATTAATGTGTCTAATCTTAAAAGTTGTTTGCTTGCAGTTTGTTTCATGCAATTCTTCAGGTAGTGGCTAAGCGCGACACCAGTGTTTCTTTCAGACTTTTTCCTCCCCGGAGGGGGGAACTTTTTCTAATCTAAAAAGTGTTTAGCGTGCACAGTTTTTTTCTCTTCCCCGCCCAGGTTCTTCCTTTAGTTTGTTTGATCTACAAATGCGACCAGTGTTTCTTTCAGACTTTTTCCTTCCCAGCGAGGGGTGGGGGTACTTGAAGTTTTTGGGGGCGGGGATAGAATTTTCTGGGAGGGGCGGACACTGGAAAAAAGTATATAATTATATTTCGATGAATGGGACGGTAGACATGTATTGGGGGTTGTGGGGGGGGGGGGGGGGGGGGGGGTGGAGCCCCCTCCTCCCAAGTAGAGTTGCCCGAAAGAAACTCTAAATGCGACTTTTGTCATGAATGAGATTAGGTGCATGGTTTAGGGATATGCCTATGACTATATTTTGTATAAATTAAAGTACCGATTCTGGATAAAAATCCGTTTCAATGTCATTTTTTCGTTTCCGGTTAAATTGAATTAAGTTGGTGATTTTGGTTTTAGTTTAGAGAAAATTTTAAATAGACAGCACTATCTACCTAGCGCCCGTTGTATCCTTCCTCAACGGGCCATTTTTCTCGTATTTTTATATTGCTATATAAGGCCTACTATATTTATTTATTATTCAGGTAAAACCTTAGTTTAGCGTCGGTTATTATAGTATAGCAATAAAAAACAGTAAAACAATGCCAAAGTCTGTCACACACTTCCGGAATTCACCGGAAGTACTGTAAACCATACTTTATTTGGCGCCATCTTTTATTTTTATACAGAATGTTTAAAATTTGGATAGATTTATTTTTGTAATCATTTTTACATTTTGTAACCATTTTTACTATTTTCGTAATCTAGATTTTTTAACTTGGCCTAGCAGCTAGATATCTAGCTAGATCTAATTAATTAATGGTCGCAAATCCGCTGCAAGCCAAAAACATTAAATTATTACATTCGTCATTTGACTTCATTATTTATAGGCTATTTATATTAATATATGTTTTTTTTTTAGATCTACTAAATTTAAATCTACTATTATATTTATTCTTGTTTCCTTTTGTCGATTAAACTTAAAAAATTAAAACATCAATTTACTACAATCGACTTTCAATTTATTTATATTTCAATGGTCAAATAAACTCTATTTACCGAAACTCAACAAACATTACCCGATAATTTCCAACGCTAAACTAAGGTTTTACCATTATTCAGTTATCTAGGCCCTATAATATTTGACACAAATATTAAATATATCACGATATCCGATAGGCCTATCATTATAGATAGATCTCTTCTAGATCTATCTTAAATAAATCTTAACAATGAGGCAACTTTTTCACACATTTCTAGATCTAGCATCGGTCGATTTTTTTTTATTTTACTTTTACGCACCTAAATTTTCCTAAAACTAAAACACGATTATATTTTTAAGTTTTTACTTTTACCAGCTGGGCATTGTTCATTGGTAATCTATCGTTTTGGGTACGTAAAATCGCCCGCGGCTATTTATGTACGAAAACGTTACCACATTGTCAAGGCTTTAATAGAAGTATATTGTCATACTTTTGTGTCAAATATTATAGATAAATGAATAATAAACCTAAATCAATGGCTAAATATATCGATATAGGCCAGAAATTAACTTTAAACAGCAGTGTCTGAGAGCAAGATTTGCTATATAAACAGCAGCCATTTGTAAAATAGAGTGACTTCCCCCTGAATTTGGCGCTAAAAGCTTATAAAAATAAAACTTAGACAAGATGGCTGCTATAGTAAATGAGCATGATTGCATCTGTTGGAAACATCGCTAGTCTTCATTTATTACGGAAAAGTTTTAATTCAATTGTTTAAAAACAGGTACATAAATGAATCAAGGAAACATTTTTGAATTTTTAAAAACATAAATCCTCCTCAAAATGTGAAATAATTATTAAAATTTAAGGAGTCACCTGTTTTTCACATTACAAATCGCGGGCGATTTTACGTACCCAAAACGATAGATTACCGTTCATTGTACCTAACTACTACTACTAACTAACTAGATCTAGTATTAAAGTATTATTCTCTCTACACTAGTAGATTACAATGAGTAAAGTGATTCTAGATATAGATCTAGGCCTACTCCGGGAACTGGTTAGGCCCTACCTACATCTAAAAATTCTAAATTATTGTATGATATTCTAAACGCCGTTCAGTTATCGATAACAGGTACACCGAGATCTACATTACTACAACATTCACTAGGCTATGCCTAACAGTAGGAAAAATAAAATAGTCATAAAAACTCACCCCAATGACCGTAGTTTACATAATAAAAATACACGAATTAAAGTCTGATTAGATAATTTAATTATTTACTCTAATAATATTAACTAATCTCTAAGTCAAATTAAGTAAATAGTAAGTACTACTGAGTAGTCTAAGTAGTCTACATTGTTGATAAAAATAATGTTTAATGATTTGTTTCACGTGTTGAGGAAAAACTAAACGACAGAGTGACGCAAACCTAAACACCGAGTGTGCAATTTTTGATTCCGGTGTGACCATGATAACATAAAAGCCCCATTAAAAAGTACTACTAATATATAACATACAGATTTTAATTATACGTTATTAAATATACTCTAAAACATACACAAACGCATGTAACTAAACTGTAGTATTCTGCTACTTAATATGATTTCTCACTAAATCTGAGATTTAACTACAACACTTTAAAAATGTCGATGGCTACATGTAGTTTATATTAATCGACTAAATTAAAGTTATCTATATCACTAGCAAGTGTCGGAACGGATGCCTAGTCCATCGCAAGTGTCGGAACGGATGCCTAGTCCATCGCAAGTGTCGGAACGGATGCCTAGTCCATCGCAAGTGTCGGAATGGATGCCTAGTGCATCGCAAGTGTCGGAACGGATGCCTAGTCCATCGCAAGTGTCGGAACGGATGCCTAGTCCATCGCAAGTGTCGGAACGGATGCCTAGTCCATCGCAAGTGTCGGAACGGATGCCTAGTCCATCGCAAGTTTCGGAATGGATGCCTAGTCCATTGGAAGTGTCGAAACGGATGCCTAGTCCATCGCCTGTGTCGGAACGGATGCCTAGTGCATCGCCAGTGGTGTGCCGGGTTATCTAGTTCATCGCCAGTGGTGGGCCGGGTTGTCTAGTCTGGCACAACGCTTCTAACAACAGAATGGTCACATTCACAGACCCAATTTTGGAAGTTTTTATATTGTTTTCCCCACCCTTGTTTGTAAAAAGCTCCTACATGGCCAGTACAAAAGAAGCAGCTGTTTCTATCCGCCTAAAGGACCAGTACAAGAAAGCAGCTGTCTCTACCCACCTACAGGACAAGTACAAGAAAACTTTTTCTATAATGTCTCCCGCCAATGATACAAACATCAAAAAGGAGAAAGACTTTATTTTTCAATCTGTTTCAGAGCCTTTTGTCACAAGGAAGGCACTACTTATTTTTTTAGCTAGCTTCACAAGATTTTTATTTGAAAAAAAAATATTTATAATTATGTATAAACAACCTTGCTATTTACACAATTTAATAATTCTTTCAGTTTATTTTTAAGGAAGTATATAGCACATAGTTGTATAATCTTGCAACTCATCATTGACAATACTCTTCCCCTTCCAAGTCTTTGATCAGCTATTGGACTTAAAACCAACCAGCCGTTATCACCAGGTCACCGCCCTCAGCTAGCTGATAGAGGGATTTCTAATCCTTTTAATGGTTATTTGCCCTTTTGAATTGTAGTAATATTTTAAAAATAAACTTCATTAGCATAACCCAAAGCTAACCCCACGATCTATACCCAGTCACTCATCCCACACTATACACACGATTTACCATACACCGAACCACACTCATACCAAAACTCACACCACCTCACACAGTACGACACCATGAACTACACACCTAACCAAACCCCCACACAACTCCGGCCCACACGTCAACACACTCTTGAACGTAACCCGACATCCTGAACCACAACATCGCACACCACACCCACAAAAACACAACACCCCACAATGCAGGGGCGGAACTACAGTGCCGCCAGATCCCGCAATGCGGAGGGGGGGGGGGGGGGGGCAGGCCGTTCGTTTAGGGGCCCACGGCAGAACATAATCAATTTTTTAATAGTTAAAAAAATAATTTTCTTGTAAAAAACAGATCTACTACAGTAGTGATGTACTACAGTAGCTAACACACGCTGTTTCGTAAAGGAAAAAAATATATATAAGCTACATGAATTGTATTATGAAAGATAGGCAAACGTTCAAACCCCTTCCATGACTCATTTCCCTTTTTAAATAGTCAAATATGTGTGCTCTTAAGAAACTTTTAATAGATTTGCACTTAAGAAATTTAAAAGCAATTACTTCTCTTAATTATTTAAAACAAGTTAATTAAAAAAGTCTAGTGATATTTATGCGCAATTTCCTTATGTTATCTAAAAATAGCTCTGACGTATAATGCTGGGGTGCGTTCAAGCTAGAAGAACAATCGGTTTGTAGGTGTTTATGTAATTTTAAAATTTGTGACCGAACGAGATGATATTTTTGAAAACTTTCTTCGGCAATATTGTTCTAAATTATGGCAGGAATCGATTGGTACATGTTTCAAGTCGCTAAGTGGTCTGGTTGCAGAGATATGGGCCAAAAACTGAATTTTTTCGAGGTTTTTTGGCTTTTCCGGGAAATACATGAAAGAAACCCGGAATTTTTATGGCCTATGCTCATTCTCGTAACTTGCTTAACATAATTGCTTTTGGAACTAGTCATCGATATTGCTTCGTTGAGGAGGAGATACGACTTAAAGCCCGGACACACATTCATCCATACATTCATCCATCCATTCCCAGAAATGACGAGTTAATAAACGCAATTCTCCAGAATGGAAATTGCGCTAAAAAACATAATAAAGAATTACATAGTACAAAAAGGAAATGTATTAAAAACTAATAATGTAAATACATAAAAACATAAAAGTAAACATAAGGGGAGAAACCATTACACATACAAAGCTTTCATGCTTCATATTCTTTTGACCGACTTATAAATTATAAAGCACTACGTCAGACATCAAAACACAGAATTTCAAAACAGACTTAATAGCACTCGCACAAATGATGTGTTGTTGTAACATATTTTAATTAATAATAAAAACTAAATTTTTTAATGTTTCCAAGTTTCGAATAAGCCCGTAATGAGTTTTCAACGTTCATATTTTCGTATTTAGTTTATATATATATATATATATATAATTTTTTTTTTTGCGGGGTGGCCCTTTATTTCTAGTTCCGCTACTGCTACAATGTATATTTAAAACCCACTGTCCAGGATTCATATCACTTTACATTGCACAACCCACATCTCAGCCGCGCTACCTACATGATCTACAACCAGTTACTTATCCCATACCATCCCAATACACCACAGCCTACTCCACTATACACAAAAACCTCTCAACACACAGAGTAGACCAAACCCCTCCCACCCGCCCCACATCCCAGAGGCGTAGCGGGGGGGGGGGGGGGTACATATGTCCCCAGGCGCCGACTGTAGGGGGCGCCAAAATGGGTTGGACAAAATTAAAAGCTTTATAAAAGCATAAATATTTTTTAAAAATATATGGGGGGGCGGGGGAGGAAGAGGAATTGAAAGTTTGTCCCCGGGCGCCTGGATGGGTCGCTACGCCTCTGCCACACCCCCAAACCACACCACTCCATTTTCTCACATAACTTCAAGAACGTTAGTATGAGTCAAGATGGTCAGCACGTACAGATGTACTGGATGAACATGTACTTAAATACCTTAAGTAAAGTAAGCTTTAAAACACTGTGGGTACGACAAGTTTGCGATCGTTTATAGTAGAGTGATCGCTTGCATTATTGTGATGTATAGCATTTATTTTCTACTTTTTAGTTCAATCAGAAAACGTGAGTTTTTAAAAACTTTTTAGCGCACTTTCCTTACAGGAATTGCGATTATTAACTCGTCATTTCTGGATGGACGGATGGATGGATGGATGTGCGCGGCTTTAAGTCGTATCTCCTCCTCAACGAAGCAATATTGAGGACTAGTTCCAAAGCAAATATGTTAAGCAAGTTCCGAGGATGATTGTGGGCCAAAAAATTCCCGGAATTCCTTCCTGGATTTCCCGGAAAAGCAAAAAAAAAAAAAAAAAAAAAAAAAAAAAAAAATATCGAAAAATGCGACTAGAAACATTTACCAATCGATTCCTGCCATAATTTAGAACAATACTGCCGAAGAAAGTTTTAAAAAATATCCTTTCGTTCGGTCACAAAAAATTAATTAAGGAAATTGCGCTTAAATTGTCACTAGACTTTTTATTAACTTGTTTAATGATAATTATTTTCTCCTTTTTAGTCTTTGTCTGTTTGTTTGCATTCAAACCTTGCTATCGATTTTATCTTCTCGCATTCACTTTTTTTTGGGTAAACGAAGACAACTCGTAAAAAACACGTGCCTTTTCTAATCGACGTTTCTTCTGTGTTGCCGTTTCTTTCAAACCATTCGACCATCAACATTCTACTTCCTGATCAGTCAGATTTGCATAGGTTTGTACACAAACACCGCGTGACCATTACTCAGCCAATTGCGTGCTCGCCAGAAGAGGGAAAGTACCGAACCTTGTTTTATCAAATTACAATTACTAGGTTATGTCCCTTTTTTACAAGCTTTTATTTAACTCACTTCCTCGACAGTCTGTCTGTCTAGACGGAAACGCAGGAGTGAAAATTCGGACAGTTCTACTTGACCGATACGATTCACAGTTGGCACGTGGGTCAAGACATGAAGACAATGCAATCTGAATCTAAATTTGACTTAATTGGATGCCTAATAAATTTTTTATGAATTAATTAAAATTTGGACCGAATTAGTAGGCATGTCTAGCCAACCACACCACACGCGTCATCACCTTCAATAGCTGCGCCATCACGTAATGGCTGCGTTCAAAAACCATTGCGCGCCTACTGAACGTGATAAAACATGTAAAGTACTGGAAAAAAAATGCATAAAAAACGTTTTAATAACAAGCTTTTATGTAATGATGCACTAAAAAGTAGAAAATAAATTATAGACTACTATTTAAATAACTATAAAGAAAAGCGTGGGTGTCTTCCTTAACATTAGTAAAGGTATCCAATAGATACTAAAGTGACCCACGCTTTTCTTTATAGTTATTTAAATAGTAGTCTATAATCAGAGGCGTATCCAGGTTTTCGTTGTAGGGGGAGCGAAAAGAGCAAAAAAAAGGCGCCGAATTTTTAACACGTTCTATAAACGTGTATTTTATATATATATATATATATATATATATATATATATATATATATATATATATATATATATATATATATATATATATATATATATATATATTTATTTATTTATTTATTTATATAATTACTAGCTGTATGTCATTACTTCGCTATGATGTAAAATAAATTGAAAGTAGCACTCTGAAGAAATAAGAAAACACACAATGTAGGCCGACAAAACAAAAATTGTATCAATCTAAACAAAAAGCAAACAAAATATACACATACTACAACCAAAAACAATGAATGTAACACAATCTGTTTTGTAATTCTTGTTAAAAAATTCTTACATAATAATTCCTGGGAAATTATTTAAGACAAGTGAAATAGGGGAAATAATCACTTTCTTAATATAAATATGTACATATCTACACATTTAATTATAAATGTCAAAACAAATAAATAATTACTTTAGAATATAATGAAATTATTTAACACAATTTGTGTTAACAAAATGTTTTTGTTTATAATCAGAATTAAATATATCGCCATCATAAATGCTAAAGTATTACAGCATAATGAAAGTTTTTTAAATCAGAGTTGGTATAAAACAACGCTTTTCGATTTCAAAGAAAAACATTCGGAATAACAACCTACATTTAACTAAAGATCGGTCTTTTAAATCCGATCATATATTTTTCAATTAACTACTGCTTTTTTGTGTTCTTTAACGAAATTTTTTTTAACATAGTGATAGGTATGGGTTAGATCACTGTATTGCTCAAACACCTTTTTACTGTCCGGTCACTTTAGGTCAACTATCCAACCCAGTGTATACCTAGGTGTGACATTAATGTCGCTCTGCACAATTGTGGTGGTGAGGTGTGGGGGAGGGGGGGGGGGAGATAACGAACTCAGAGTGAACATAGCGTCAGTTTTTAGATGACTGTTCTAAACATACATATATATTACACATGTATACTGATTCAGAAATAGATTTAAATAAGTAGCAGTGGTATTATGACAATATTTTTTTCTACAGAGGGGTCCATGGGGGAGGAGGGTTGTAACTGTTTCATATAATTTGTAATCGTATCACTATCGCCATAACTGTAATAATACTACTACTTCATCGTGATGACGTTGTTGAACTTGTCAAAATTTCCCCACCACTACGCAGCTTGCCCATAAGTAAATTTAAATAGAGGTGTCACATCAGTTGTATTTGTTTCTGTATTGTAATTTTCAAAAAATTAATCACACGATTTAAACTGTATATACAAAGTAATTATGTGTGAAGTTTTATGTATAACATTTTCTAATGCAATTATTCGTAAGCAAATACATTATACAGTTGCCTTAAACTTAACACCCCTATTGCCAAGTAGTACTAACGGTAGAGGTTATTAAAAAAAAATACCAATGCATCGTAATGGTTATTTTTAGAATGGCAAACTGATGCAGCTGTTAATACGTGTTGTAAACGTAGACACTACTGGACTAGTACAATAATGCTTAATTGCTGCATGATAAGAAATCTTGTGATTTACATAAATCTAGATGTGCCGACCAAAAATATGTTTTTTACAAATATCATTGTTTAAAACTTTGAGTTTAAAAAGTTTCCAAAAAGGCGCCACTTTGCTGAAAATGGCCAGAGGGGGAGCGGCCGCTCCCCCTGCACCCCCCCTGCGTACGCTACTGTCTATAATTTATTTTCTACTTTTTAGTGCATCATTACATAAAAGCTTGTTATTAAAACGTTTTTTTATGCATTTTTTTTGTACAAATCAATAGGGGTCTAAAATGATCAATAAAATTTTTCCATGGATCAATTTAGTAATAATAATAATTGAATATTGTATTGTCATCAGAAACAAAGCTTCCCTGAAAATTTCAGCGCGCGAACTAACTGGGAAGTGCCCGAAATTTCGATCGCAAGATTTGATTGGAAAAACAAACAAACAAACAAACAGACGCGAAAGCAAGTTAAAGAAAACGTGGGAAAAATAATCTTTGAAGAACACAAAAAGCAGTGGCTAATTCAAAGATGTCAATTATTCTATGTTGACGGCACAATCGCGTTATAAGCTAGATCTATGTCATTTAACCTTTAAAACAGATGTACTTGCTTGAACAAATTGGTTATATTGCAATGTCTACTTACTACTTTGCTATTAGAACAAGATATGTAGATTTAGATCTACACAAAAAAATCTAGATCTAGATCTAGAAAGTTTTTTTCTCTCGTTAGGATAGACTATGCTTATCTCTAGATTCTACATTGATGTTTGATTTTTTAGTCTACAAAACCAAACGTCAATTTTTTTTCTTTCGTTTCTTGTAAAAATAAAAAATTTAAACTATCATGGTGGCGTCTGTAACTAAGTAAATGTAAACAGCTATAAGTCAGGTAAAGTTATTATTATAACACAGTTGAAAGTAAGTTCATTGGTAAATACAGAGTATTGCGTTAAAGTCTACATGGATAATAATGATTTTAATTTTTAATTACTTATCACAGCTCAGTAAAAATGTTATGGTGGTCTTTTCACTTTTCAGTTAACGTTTTTTTACGCTTCTTTTTTTATTCTCTTCTAAAGACTTGTAACTGGTAACTTACTAACTTTCTTTGTTGTTAGTTCTATTCATCGTTTTGTGACCTGACCTGGTTTGTGGTTAGTATTAACTTGTCAGCTCTGCCAACGCGTTTCTGGAATAAATGAAAGTCTCTTTTATTCTGTGGTGGACTGTGGATAGGCCTAGTGAATTTTATAATTATATTGAATATATATTAATCAATTATATAGGGAGGCCTATGCCTATAGGCCTATTATATTTAATTATAAGTTTATAAGCCTGCTAAAAAAATACTAAATAAAAAGTAATAAAAAGCAGGAGTAGGTCTAACTAACTAACTAATATTAATAACTAGATCTATATACTATACTAGACTATATTATATAGGGCCTACTAACTAGTAGCCTAACTACTAGTTACTAACTAGAATATTATAGCATTTTTAGGTAATCTATCATTTTAGGTACATAATTCAGCAGAGGCTAGTACTAATATGTGAGAAAGGTGGCTGATTAATATGGCTTTGGCTTTAATTATTAATACAAGTAGATATTTTAGTAAATTAAATTATTTTTATTATATTTTTGTGTCAAATATAATTATATAATAGATAAGTGAATAATAAACCAAAAGCAATGTCAATATGTTGAATATAGGCCAGAAATTAACTTTAAACAGCCTTGTTTGCATTCAAGATTTTTTATATTATTATATAAACAGCTGCCATCTGTAAATCAGAGGCGTAGCGACCCCTCCCGGCGCCCGGGGCGAACTTTTAGTTTGGCGCCCCCCATATATATATATATATATATATATATATATATATATATATATATATATATATATATATATATATATATATATATATATATATATATATATATATATATATATATATATATATATATATATATATATATATATGCGTGTGTGTTAGTGTGTGCGACAGTCTGGAAAAAAAATTAACAATTACGCTGATTGTCGTTCCCTAAAACTTCACTTGACGCCAATTAATTTCCCCTTAAGATGCGGAAACGAATAACACGTAGAAAATCAAAAGAGCTTAGAACAGTGGGCTCCATCGAACCCGAGAGGTTTGGTAATTCAGTCTCAGTGCTTCCGCGGAGGTCAAGACACACACCCGACTCATAGGATTCACGATCGGATTTTCTCATTGTAGACGATACAACTATTAAGGAGGGTTCGGTGATTGCGCATATGAAACTGGATGGGTTCGGTACTCCAAAAAGTTAAGAACCACCGCTTTAGAGTGTATTTTGTAGAAGGTGCAAGCCTTATTTGGTCTACTTTTGGTCGTATCTTTAGAACAATTTCGATAATAGTAGGCCAATATTGCAATTTTGAATTATCAGTTAGGTTGAACAAAGTAATAATCAGTACAATATACTAATTTTCTTCTCTTTTAACATTTTGGCAAAGAGTGTCGCTTCCCATCCACCCGCTCCGACAGTCTGCTAACTCTTTTTTATGTTACACAATCTTAAAATACGCTTTAGTTCAATGGGTTTCTTTTCTAGGCGATATCGGTTTATTCCTTAATCCGGTGTGAATTTTTCCGATTTTAGTCTTCGAAAAAGCGCCGCCCCCCCCCCCCCCCCCCCCCCTCCCCATCTAGGAAAGCTGGAAAGCGATTTTTCCGGCCACTGTTTCTTAAGGATATACGTTTTACAGTTATACGATCAAGGTAGAAAACAGTTAAATCAGTATGCAAAGGCTCTCAGCCGTTACATTTCTTTATTTTAACTGTTTATAATTCAAAACTGCAGCTTAAAATGAGCTTTTAATTTTTTTTTCTACCCCTTTTGGCGCCCCCCTAGGGTCGGCGCCCGGGGCGGCCGCCCTCCCCGCCCTCCCCTAGCTACGCCTCTGCTGTAAATTAGAGTGGTTTCCTCTGAATCTCTAGCTAAAAACATGAATGAATGTTTGAAACATTTTTGTAACTTTTAAAACATAAATCTTTCTAAAAATGTGAAATAATTACAAAAATTTAATGAGTTACCTTTTTTTCACATTACTAGCCTCAGCTGATTTTACTTACCTAAAACGATAGATTACTAATTTTTATATAATATTTATATACTTATTATATTAATATATCTCATATAGATCTATGTACTAAGAAGCCAACTACTTTACTACTTCTTACATTTAGTAACTAACGTAGTTAGTACTAATAGACTAGAATAGTTAGGTCTAACTACTAGTAGATCTAACTAATACATAGATCTAGGCCTAGCAATTAAGCTAAAGCTGAATATTTAAGAAAAAAAAATAGGTCTAATATTATAAGTAATATTAATATTATATAGGCCAAGGCCTATGCCTATACTATAGTGAAACTAAATCATAGTCATATTAAGAATTAATTAATGCCTAATATATACTATTAACCAAATAGGCCTACATAAAAATAACTTAATGAATATTATACTAACTATTAACTTAAGTTTTACTTAAGTAAAAGTAGTAGTCAGTGGTGGATAAGTCAAAAGGCAAGAGAGCTAATTGTTAAACTTTTTCATTATCTTTCCCATCTGTGTCCTAGACACACAGGCAGATGAAGGGGGATAATGTGGTCAGCACTATGCCTTGCTGTCTTTGTTTTTCTAATGAAAGTCAGGTGCCCATCAGAACTGGGTGGATTCAGGGAAGTCCATCGGGTCATAGATCAGAACCAAGATCCAAACCCGAGACCTCAGGGCTAGCCAAATACTCTACCATTTGACCATGCCACACCCCCCCGTACAGTAAATATACAACATAAATAAATTTTCCATGTACATATTGTTGTTTCTTTAAGTTAGGTACCCATTAGAGCTGGGAGGACTCGGGTGATGTTCTACTGATTTGAACCCGGTTTCAAACCCGAGACTTCCAGGTTGGCAGCCTGAGTCTTGCACTCTACTGCAAGGCCACACTGTTCCCTTTAGACTTTTTACTTTAATAATTATTTTTATTGTAAAATTAAAAAAAAATTTCAATCACTTTGTTTTTATTACCTCTTCAGAGGTGAATAAACCAATCAATAAATGAATAAAGCAATCAATTATGTCAGTTAATAACTAGAGGTAGATCTATCTAATTAAGTCAAGTCTAATTATTTAGTTCCTAGCTGTTTAAAGTCATTTAAATTAAATTGGTTCATCCAGAATCAGGATAACTTGCGTGTTGTAAGTTTGAGGTTGGAAATCATCATGTCATCAGAAAAAATATTTATTATTAAAACAAAATATTTGTTTATAAATATCAGCCTACTTTTATTAATTTTATGGCACATTCACGTAGGCCTTATATATTTTAATTTTATATTTTAACTTAAGTGCCTAGTTACGCTGTTTAAAATATTTAAAAACAGCTTAGGGGTCGTCCATAAATGACGTCACACTCGTAGGGGGGATGGGGGTCTGTAATTTTGTGATGGTGTGTGATGGGAGGGAGGGGGGTGTTCAGATGGTGTACGTCACATTTTTGCATTATAAAAAGCATTGTTAGAAAACAAATTTTAGCCGTTATTTCTCGTTGTAGAAAATGGTTTAAATAAATTGTAATAGGAATTGATCAAAATACTCTATGTTGACAGAATTCTGACAAGATTTTGAAAAAATATCGATGTTTTAAGAAAAATTCAACAGCAATTTTGAGAGGGATTGTATGCTGAAGTGTGACGTCATTTTAGGGGCGGGGGGTCTGACTTTTCGTGACGATGTGTGACAGAGGGGAACGGGGGGCGGTAAAAATTGTCAAAAAAAGCATGACGTCATTTATGGATGACCCCTTATGTTCAAATCCAATTTAGGGTAGGCTGCAGTATCTAGAATTCGACCTTAAATATAAGGTTGTCTCAGGTATTAACTTTGTTCATTACATATAAAATTATTAAAACCTCTAATATATTAATTTTGTGACTTTGAAAAAAAAAACAGAAACAATATAAAGATGAACCAAGTTAGATATATTCATCATGACTTCAAAGGCTGGAAGAGATCATTATGAAAATTCTCCTAAGCAAAGTACCGGCACTTCTTTAGCATCAACATCACTTTCAACCATTCCCAATAGAAGCAATGGCATTGTAAGAGAAAAGACAATCACACGTGCTGCATCAGCAAAGTACTACGACATTGCAAATACTATTTTAGGGGGGTCTGGTGATGTGGAGGAAGCTTTTATTACAGCTGCTAAGGTAATGCTGATAATCTCGAGAAATTAAGAGTTAAGTTAGTAAAGTTCCCTTTCGAACCTGACGGTCCATGGGGCAAGTGAAGTAGAGTTCACCTGTTTCTGTGACCTCTGCATATGAAGTGACAGTGTGATCAGCACTATGTCCAGCCACCTTTGCACTACTAATCAGAGCTGGGTGGACTCATGTATGTTTTACTTTCTTGAACCTTGATTCGAACTCGAGAGTTTCTGGTTATCAGTCGTATGCTCTTCCATTCAACTACTCTGTCCCTAAGAGTTAAGTAAGGTGTGAGTTTATTCTTTCTGTTAGTCTTATTTTTTATTTTCTGATCCTGTTAATAGTAGTCAGGGATTAGCATTTGCTAGCTAAAATAGTAATTGAAAAAAAAACAATCTTTGCTTCCATTTAGTCAATACGTATATAGCCTAAAATATATGAAAGCTAATAGTTTTTCTTGTAAAGCTGAATGCTGTACATCAGCGTACACTTGAGTGTTTTTGTGTGTTGTTAGAACTAAACTCTCTTTACAGAATGGTAACTTTAATAAAGCGGAGCAGCTAATAAAACAGAGAAACATTGGCCTTGACATTGACTGTAAGGATAAAAGGACAGGGAACACTGCCCTTATATGGGCAGCCAGGAGAGGTCATGTCAAGGTGAGTCATTAAATTAGCAATTAAACACTGTCTATTGATGACAGTAATTAACCTGATACCCATACACTTAGTTATAATTGTAGCCCATCCCTTTGATATCTTCTAGAAATTTGTGTTATGAAGGTAATTTGAGGTGAACTCTTTTTTTTTTAATATTTAAAGTTTTATACAATCTTTGAGGAGTTCACTTTCAAAACCTGCAGTCCACTTAAAAACAAATTAAGTGCCAACTTAAGTATTATATTAATTTTTGTTATAAAAGATACACTTTAAAATTGATCTTTGAATATTAAAAAATGGAAAATACTAAGATTAGTTAACAAGAAATATTTTTAGAAAGACAATGTCTAGAAAATCATTCTGAAGTGACTTATTATGTTTTGCAAAAGGACTGCTAATTTCATGATGTTGTAGGTTTTTATTATATATATATATATATATATATATATATATATATATATATATATATATATATATATATATATATAGATAGATAGATAGATAGATAGATAGATAGATAGATAGATAGATAGATAGATAGATAGATAGATAGATAGGCCTAGATATATAGATATATATAATTATAAAAAAAATAGATAAAATGATTTCTATGAATATCTGCAAAGATAATGTCCAATTTATAAATTTCATCAGATAATTGAGCTACTGCTGAAGAATGGGGCAGATACCACACTCTGCAACCACGAGAGTCAGACAGCTGTGGAGGTGGCTGCACCATCAGTGAGGACTGTGTTGTTGGACTGGGTTGAAACACACAAGGAACTCAATGAGAAGTTGCTGCTACAGGCAGCGTGGCAGGGGAATCTGTCAGTCATCAGTGAGATATTGGTCAGTTGGCTTGAATTAAGTTGGGTGGCTTAATAGGCATAATTAATTATTAAAAAAAATGGCTTACTAAAAATAATCTGGCTTAGTAAATCTTGGATTTTATGCCTAATTGTTTGAATGAAGTTTTACTAAAGCTTATCTATTTGATACCATATTTGATATTTTTTTTTTCTGAAATCATTTTTCTCCTTCGTCTTCATTTGTAAAGTTCAATGGAATTTCCACCATATAGATTGGAGACTAGATTTGAGCCTGCTTTTCTGTTCTTGAATTCGTTTCCTAGCAAGATCAATCTGCAAGGTTCTGGAGTTTTTCTCTCCAAGATGGGTTGCTGTCCCCAACTATTGAGCGTCATCTGCTCTGTGGCTCAAACTTGTGACTTTTTTGTTTTAGCAACCTTGAGCTTTACTGACCAGACCATTCTGACCCTTACTGAAACAATTAAACATAGTAATTTTCTAAATCTCTTTCTAAGCCTTAGCGCATAATATTAAACGAAAACATTGAATGTCAATTTTAACTATGTATTTTTTCGGAAAACTGGTATATGTTGTATGGATGTTAGCATTAGTTACCAATAAATAAAAATAATTGAATTGAAGATTCTTATTTCTGTTCCTAGACCTATAATATGTAAATAATTTTTCTTTTCTTAAAACTAATTTTCTTGATGGTATTTTTCATCTCAGTCTAGTAACTCAAGAAATCTGAATATCAACTGCCGCAATGCTGAAGGGTTCACTCCCCTGATGCTAGTAGCTAGAGATATGCAGCTGTTTGAGAGACTAAGTGTTCAGCTCAATAGGTACTACAGCCCAGTGCAGGTGGCTGAGGAGCTGATAAAAGCTAAGGCGTAAGTGCAGAGTTTTGTTCACAGTGTGATACTAATTGAAACTGTGTGTTATGGAAAGTAAAGGTGGCAGAAGATAGTGCTGACCACAATATGTAGAGGTCAAGAAACATTTGAACTCTATTTCATCTGCCTACTAGATAGCTAAGTCTAAATAAGAATCTTTATTTTTAAAATTACTCTTTTTAAAAAAATTGATTCAGGCTTACAGTTTAGTTAACCGTGCGTGCATGTGTGTATATATTTATGTATGTATGTATGTATGTATGTGTATATATATATATATATATATATATATATATATATATATATATATATATATATATATATATATATATATATATATATGTATAGACATACACACACACACAATTATATAGGCCTATATAAAACAAATACAAGAAAAATAGTCTGGTAATAGCATTGTTCTGCTATATAAAAAATCAATATACATTTAAGTTTGCTTGAAATTATTCTAGGTGTTTTTAAATATGCTGCTTTACTATAATTAAAATTAATGCTAATTAGATATTGTCTGAAATTCATTGAATGATGGTTAGAAAGATAATATTATTTTCTGTTTCATTGATATGGTGCACCCCTTGTTTTCTTTGATTTGATCTAATTAATGCAACTTTTAAATTAAGGGACATTCACATCACTGACCATGATGGCAGGTCAAGCTTGCATTACGCCTCCCAGTCGCACGCCAATTGTGCTGACCAAATGGTCAACGTACTCATATCTAAAGGGATGGATTTTGGTATGTAGAGTGGAGCCACAAAATACTCTCATATTAACATCTTTAGAGTCACAATTAAAGAAACACATTTACTGGTAACCAATGATGAGACAACCAAGCCTTAGTACTTGTGATAATGGTTATTTTATTGAAACATCTTTTTTTAAAAATAAAGTTTAAAATTTTTTTTGTTTGATGTACAAAAAAAAAGGAAATGATTAACTTAAACAATATAACTTTTAGAGTTATAGTTCTAAGCATTAGCCTTTGAAGAATGAATCAGTTTGATACATTTAAAGTAGAAAACACCAACACACATTCCTTATTCTACTTATAGGGCAATTGTTTCTATACGAATGACTTGTACCCTTTACATTTAAAAACATAGTCTATACATCAGTTGCTTGTATTATCCAAAATTGCATGACAAACATTTGTATATTAGTCTATTGTATACTCAAGATCTGCGAGACAAAAGTTTGTATATAAGTTGCTTGTACCCTCTAAGTTGCGGGACAAAAGTTTGTATAAAAGATGCTTGTACCCTCCAAGTTATGGGACAAAAGTTTGTATAAAAGTTGCTTGTACCGTCTAAGTTGCGGGACAAAAGTTTGTATATAATTTGCTTGTATCTTCCAGAGTTGCGAGACAAAAAATTGTTTACACCCATCCACCTGGCCGCGCAGCAGGGCAACACAAACACAGTGGCCGCACTGGCTGACAGTGGGTCCAATGTCAATGTGAAGGGTTTTGCTGGGTGGACACCTCTTCATGTATCTGTAAGTCATGATCTGTTATGTTGTAGGGAATTTTACCTTTGTATTTGTTTCTGGTTTTACACATGTTAAATGTATGCATTATGGAACTTTAATTTCACCTAAATAAAAAATTGGTTGAATATGTGTATGTTTCTTTAATTTTTCTTAACATAAATTCCTTAATCCTAAACTACACTACCTATTATCTAAAATTAAAAAGAAAGAGTAAAAAAATAAATTCTGCATCATTGATTACTCAACAGTCATACACACAATATTTTATTTAAAATTTTTAGAAACAAAACTAAAAGAATGTTAATAATTGTTGTTACTTTATTACTATTTCCCCCAGTCATATAACAATCATCAGCAAACAGTGTCAGCATTACTTGGTTACGGTGCTGACATAGCCATCACTGACGACCAGGGTCTCACACCCATAGAGGTCGCCAGAACAAAGAAAATGAAAAATTTGTTAAAAGAAGCATGGACAGAAAGCAACAGGACAAATAACAATGAAATCACTAATGGAAGCTCTGAGGAGGTGAAGAAAAAGGGAGGCAACCCAATCAAGAAAAAGCCTGAAGTAATATTTGATGTGAGTTATGTAAAGGGTAGCTCACAAACACTTAAAATTTTTTGACAATTTTTACCCACTCTACACATGATCACATGTAAATAAAAAAAAAGGTCATACCCCTCCCCCCATCCCCACTTAAAATGACATCATACTTGTTCGACCAACTCTGTTCTTTAGTTCAAGTAAGGGGATATAACCTAGCTTGGATAATTTCGCAGAGCATATTAATTGAGTTATGTCCCATTGCACATAAAAACTTTCTAAAAATGCACATGACCTTCTTAACCCCCCCCCCCCCCCCCCCCCAGTACACATAATCACAACAGTCCTCACATTGACTGTAATGTCATTTATTGATAACTCCAAACCCTGTTAGAAAATTATTAGTAGTAATAGATGATAATAGGACTGAAACATAATAATTGATTAATACTCATTCATTTTTAGAGCTGTGACAATCCCTTTAACATAAATTGATTTATGTTATTTTTTTTACACACTGCTAAATTTAAAAAAAAAATATTAATTGACAATGAAAATTTATATAGTTTTGGTTAAAAAGTAAACAAACTTTATTTAATAAAATACAATGATTACAATACCACACCTTTTTTTTTCTCAGGGTCTGGTCAATGCACAAAGCAATCCACCAACAGCTAAACCAAGCAGTAAGTCTCAGTTGAATATCCATTTCCATTCTATTTATGTAGGCTATATAAAATAGATTTTTGCTTTTATATAAGTGAAAAAAGCTGTTCCCTTTTCGCATCAGATGCTCCATGGGGCAAATGAAGTAGAGTTCACCTGTTTCTGTGACCTAGTGTTATGAATATGAAGGGATAGTGTGGTCAGCATTATGCCTAGCCGCCTTTATTTTTCCTAATGTGAGTTAGATACCCATCAGTGCTGGGTGGACTCAAGGACTTTCTACTGATTTGAACATGGATTCAAAATCAAGACTTTCGGTTAGCAGTCGAGCGCTCTACTACTAGGCCATACCTAGTTGTTTAAATATGCCTACATTCAAATTAACAAATAAGTTTATCCATGAACTCAATAAATGTCTAAATTAACCTAACAAAATAATGGACACAGAAACCAAGGTGCTAAATACTGTAGAGAGATGTAAACAGGCAGAGAAGAAAATACTACAAGAAGTTGAAGCTCTAAAGGCAGCCCATCCTGTACTCAGCAGGTAACAAGAGCTTTTATAAAAATCCTTGTCATTACAGCAGCTAGTTGCTTACACTAGGAACTTTAACAAATATACTTGTCATTATACAGCTAGTTGCTTACACCAGTAATTTTTATAAATATCCTTGTCATTACAGCAGCTAGTTGCTTACACCAGTAATTTTTATAAATATCCTTGTCATTATACAGCTATTTGCTTACACCTGGAACTTTTATAAATACCCTTGTCATTACAGCAGCTAGTTGCTTACACCAGGAATTTTAACTTTTACAAATACCCTTGTCTTTACTACAGCAGCTGTATTTGTATTGAATGGCATTGGAACATTACTAAGTTCAAGTTAAAAATTTCAAACATCTTTAATATATATATATGCCTACTTAGGATCTTTAGGTTATATGTGTAAAAATAAAAACATATAATATCCGACCATGAGGGCAAATTGCAAACCATTCAATTAGTGATATAAGTGTTGCCTAATTGTAAGTTAATTACAAACTGCTGACCTGTTTATGTGTGCTATATTCTTATAAGGTTTTATAAAGAAGAGGGAAAATACTATTGTCAAAATAATATACACTGTGTAACAAGTGGGGTTTGGTCAAGATTTACAGTCACGTTTAGGGTTATATTTAAGGCTAGATTTTGTATTAGACCATATTTTACATTACCTTTTGTACTAGACTTCTGTTTTAATACATGCTATAGTTTAGTTTAGCTAGTCCTAGGGTTAGTTTCTACTAAAGTATCATGCCATTAGATTTGGTATTTTAAGTCCAATCCATTTGTATCAGCTGACCAGCATTTCTCTCTCACCTCTCACCTCTCAGGGAATCAACCAGGATGCTGGGAACATCCCGCAGTAAAATTTTGCCCCAGATTGGCCGCAGCTCAAGTCCAGAGGCCGCCAGTGGCCGCGTGAAGCAAGCGGCTGGTCAGGCCTCCATCAGTCCCAGGAGTACGTTAGAGGAGGCCAGGAAACAGCTCATGTCACGCGGGCGCTCTGTCTCTGATATCAAACTGGGTAAGTTAAATCAAATTTCATTGGTTTTTGTGTTGATATTTCATTAGTTGGTGTGTCCTAGTTGCTTCATATCTTATATCAAACTGGGTGAGTTAACTCAAAGTTGATTGGTTGGTGCGTAATTGCATCATATCTTATATCAAACTAAGTGAGTTAAATCAAATTTGATTGGTTGGTGCATCCTAATTGTGTCATATCTTTTATCAAACTGGGTGAGTTAACTTAAATTTGATAGGTTGGTTCATCCTCATTGGAGTGATATAATCTGCCAGCATTTTCCAAATACAGAATCTAACAATTAAAGTATTACTTCAACAATAACACAAACCCAAAAATAAAAGACTTACCCAAAACCTAATAAACTATTAAATTAGCTTTTAAGTAAAAAGTATCCCAGTAAATAATTATATAATTAAATAATGTGGTAAACATATTAAGTGGAACACCCTAATCACAACTTTCTATCTAATTACAATTAAGTATGGCTGTTTATTTAAGTAATCCCAGCTGTAATAGTATGAAAATATGCCTTCACTGTTTTGATAAAAGAAAAAAATAAAAATAATAAAAATTAAATCAATAATTGAAACACGTATGACTTGATATCACTACACTTAATGACAAAACTAAGTCTTGTAAACTTGTAGGTTTAGGACTTGTATGACTTGATATCTATACACGTAATGGCACTAACCAGAGCCTTGTAAACCTGTAGGTTTAGGACTTGTATGACTTGATATCACTACACATAATGACACTAACCTGAGCCTTGTAAACCTGTAGGTTTAGGACTTGTTTGACTTGATATCACTACACATAATGACACTAACCTGAGCCTTGTAAACCTGTAGGTTTAGGACTTGTATGACTTGATATGACTACACATAATGACACTAACCTGAGCCTTGTAAACCTGTAGGTTTAGGACTTGTTTGACTTGATATCACTACACATAATGACACTAACCTGAGCCTTGTAAACCTGTAGGTTTAGGACTTGTATGACTTGATATGACTACACATAATGACACTAACCTGAGCCTTGTAAACCTGTAGGTTTAGGACTTGTTTGACTTGATATCACTACACATAATGACACTAACCTGAGCCTTGTAAACCTGTAGGTTTAGGACTTGTATGACTTGATATGACTACACATAATGACACTAACCTGAGCCTTGTAAACCTGTAGGTTTAGGACTTGTTTGACTTGATATCACTACACATAATGACACTAACCTGAGCCTTGTAAACCTGTAGGTTTAGGACTTGTATGACTTGATATCGCTACACGTAATGACACTAACCTGAGCCTTGTAAACCTGTAGGTTTAGGACGACAGAGTTCCATGTCAGGCACCAGTGGAGTGAGTGAGGACTTCTATGGCAGCAGGTTGCTCAGCAGGTTCTGAAAATTTTGTTTTTATTTGCTTACATTTTTTTTCTTTATTCTTTAAGTCTTAGATGTGAAGTGTCTGTTAATTTTCTCATTTTTAGCTCATTTATTTCTTTGATCATTTGCTTATGTAAGTCTCACTCAATTTTCTCATTTTGTTCTTTGATCGTTTGCTCATGTAAGTGTCAGTTAATTTTTCATGTAAGTGTCCGTTAATTATTTAAGTCTTAGCTCATTTATTTCTTCCATCATTTGCTTATGTGTCATTCAATTTTCTCTTTTATTTCTTTGACCATTTGCACAATAATTTCTCAGTTCATTACTTATTTATTGTTCTAATCTTTTGCACAATCTCAAAACAGTAAAAAATAGAAAAATATAGGCATAGCATAAAAAAATGAAATAAATAAATATATTATGATATGATTCGAACTTGAACTATTAGCTTGTCCATCTTGCAGTACAACTTGATCTAGTGTTTTTAGTTAAAATAAATTTGTATTTCTATTTCCAGAGGAGCTAATTATACTAATTAAATACAATTTTTAAGAACTTTCTTTATAATTAATGTATAAGTGAAAAAAATGTTTCGTTGTTCCAGATTTTCACCACCCACTGCAACAACTGGACACAGGCGATCAGATTCTGACCCCAGCACTCACAGTATGAGAGATTTGGCTGAGTCATGTGACACCATTCTACCCAATAGCAAAGGTTGGTTTCATTCACTGCTCTATGGCAGCCTTTACTTCCTACTCTCTAACACAGTATTTTGAAATAGTTTAGGTGACAGCTTTAGGTTGTCGTGTCCACCATCGCCATCATTCCCATCACAGCCACTGGGTAGAATGACATCACCCCATCTCAGCTGCTGGGTGGTATGACATTATCACTACCATCCCCATCATAGCTGCTGGGTATAATTACATCATCACCATCCCCATCATTAAAAATATTTCCTTCTTTTCAGGTCAGAGACAAGTTTTAACTAGTAAAGCAGTATCCAGCAGTAACAGAGTATCTCCAACTTCTCAGTTTTTCATCACACAGAAGAGTTCTGTTTTTGACAAGGTCTGTAAAATCACATCATTGATTTATGTTATAAAATTACTGTACATGGGGTGAGTGGAGTGGCCAAAAGGTAGAGTATTTGGCTTCTACCACAAAGGTCTGGAGTTTGGATCTTGGTTCTGACCTGGACTTCTAGACAATGTCAGTCACAATATATATTAGTAATAATTGTGTTTAAATCAACATTTTGTTTTTATTTACTCAGAAGTTCAGCCCAGAAGACGATGTATTCAGCAGCGTGGAAATCCCCTTTGAAATGCCTCAATGCCGCTCCATCTTCAAGGATGAATTTGTTCTGGAAGAGAGCCGACCAAAGGACAGCATATCTGGCAGTTCTAGCAGTCTTTCATCCCCATCCCCACGCGACTCCAGCACATTCCAGCCACTACGCCCCCACAGACTTAACGGGTCTCTCACAACACTGGTGGAGCAGCAGGCTAGCACAGATTTCACTCCTGTTGATTTAAGAGCTAGTCTAGAAGGAGGCGTCAAACCTTTAATAAAAAACCCTAAACAGAGGATACGCCACCGATCTGAAAATTCTCTGTCATCGTCATTAGATTCAGAAACTGAGAATGAATCTAGGAATAACACGTTTCTATCCAGAGCTTCTAGTTTTAAGCAACCAAAAACACCAGGCAACGAAACATCATCTTCGTTTGAGTTACAATCTAAAAGCCATAGTTTAGAAAATGTACCATCAAAGTTAGCAACACGAAGCACCCCTCCACCCATCATTACAAAAACAAGCCCAAAACCTCACAGCTTTTCCAATGAAGACCTTACATTACCTCACTTAAAAACTGATCAGCCAAATCCAATCCACCTTTCAGAGACTAAAGCATTAGCGCCAGATAAGGCATGTCAGACCAAACCAGATAAACCTGCTGTCAAAAACCTGGACACTGTTGAACCTTTCAGCGGCAAGGCTAGAATTCTCCCGTCATTTTCTTTTGACAACTGGGACATTTTATCAAAACAGAACCAGGATGCAACAGCTGAACATATCAACACAGGTATCAGTGTCTCCAAATCCATGTCATCCGTGTTAATCCATGGGTCATCCGAACCCACAGATCTTCATTCATCATCATCAGTATATGTTAAAAAATCTGGATCTCAGCAAGCATTAGACCCAAGTTTGACTGAACGTAAATCTGTGCGTGTGTCTAAAGAAGAAAAAAATGCCAGCAATGTACATGTTCACAAAGACAATCCTGAAAGACCAGTTTCTAACCAAAATCATATCAGACGCCAGCCTGAAAAGAAAGTTGAAGATAAAAGTATGAACCCTCAGCAAAAAATTTCCCAGCCCAATACTTCAAATACTAAAACTAAAATTGAAAATTGTGCCTCAAATACAAAACAAACATTAGTTAAAAAGGTAGTCTGTGTTGAAAAAACAATAACACATCTGAATGTTAGTAACTCACCTAAACCAAAGAGTAGTTCTAGATCTACAGAGGATGTTGTCAATGGTTCAGGTGATGTAAAGTGCTCTAGCACTGCCAGTAGTAGACAGTCTGTAACAAGCGTGAAGAAAACTCCAACCAAATCTCAAAATTTTACACCCAGTAAGCCAACAGAGGCATCTAACAAAAATGCTACTGGGCAAGTCAGCGACACAGCTGGCCAGGTACAGCATAATCTTGTAGCCAATGCAACAACTAAAGAAGTTTTACCCACTAATCAATTCTTAACTGCCAATAGTCCCCACAAAGCCAAATCTACTATACCACACAGTAAAGAATCTATCACTACTCCATTAATTGTCAACCCTTACGAGGAGTTTGATCAGCCCCATATCACCCTGATTAAAAATCCGCCTCAAGATGCTGTTGTCAAGCTAAAGAAATCCTCAGTGACAAAAACCAAAAAAGTCAGCTCGTCCAAGCGCCCTACATCAGGCAGCTCCAGGCAGTCATCAGCTGGTAAAAAGTCCAGGACCAAAGGCAAAGACCCCAAACCAGAGGCCGAATCAAGACCAAGAAGTGGTAAACGAAAATCCAAACAGGCAAAACAAAAAGCACAAGAAGAGCCAGATTTATCTGAAATTGCTTCCAAACCAGACACTGTTCTAATATCTGGGATAGGTTGGCAATTGTCAACTTCCTGTTCTGATGCAGCACAAATTCAAATCTCAAAGAAAATAAACATCGAGGCTAATGATACAGATGACATTGACAGTGGAGATGAGGGTCAAAGGTCAAGCAAGTTAAACCACCTAGAAAGTAGCAGATTTTTGGAAATAGCTAAAGACAAAATTGCAGAGTGTTCCCCTAGATTTTTGGAGATGAAACGACAAGAATCCCTCCTTGATGTCAAGCTTCCCTTTGCTGAGAACGATGGGTTTCCTCCGATGAATCTAGACATGACGCAAAAAACCTCATCTTATGAAGAGCTCGGTCACTCTGATCAAGACTCAAGCATCCGAACTAGGAAAGAACAAAAAATTTATCAGGAGAATTTTATCTGCGACCTAACGCCTATACCTGAAGCCTCCTACCTGTCAAAAACTGCCGACGCCATTTCTGCATTTGATAAAGGTTTTCACGGCAGTAAGTTATCTCTTCTGCTTGACGCAGAGGACCCAAGTTTTAAAAATGGTTTCCAGTCTTATAATTCCATAAAACGCATTCATAGCCCTGTACCTCCGGCAGCTGTTCCTGAGCCAGCTAATCCCAAAAACTTACACCAATCACCAAAAAAGAATCAGGACTCTAAAATGAGTTCCCGCAGTGAGAAAAAATTCTCTGAAGTTCAAAACCAGCACTTGAAAGACAAGCGTGTTTCTGATGAAGAAGACATAGATGAGGTGATTGAAGAAATTCTCTCCTCCACAGCGCCGTCACTGTCATCAGCGCTGAGGAACATGAGCACAAACTTTTCCTCTGGAGCACACACGCTCACCTATGGAGACAGGCGTCTGCTGGCGAGTCTAACCAGCTCACACTTTAAGTCCCCGTTTCATGCCAACATACCTTCACCCGAGGAGAAAGCTAAACTTGATGAGCCTATAGAAGATTTAAGCACTGCACGTTCTCAAAAATCTTCATCCGCTTATCCTCAGTTTTCATCCGCTTCTCATCAATCCCCATCTACAAACGAAACCACATCTGCTCATCAATCTCCATCCAGTCCTCATGAATCCATATCCAGTCCAGGTTCAATGGTACTGCAAGAAGAAAGTTTAGCACCAGGTACAAAGAAACACCAAGAAGTTCCAGAAAGTTCCATAAGGTCGAAGCCCCCGTCAACTCTGACAAAAGAGGAGATGGCGCCAAGACAGGCCAAGCTTGGGAGGTCCTCGTCAACACGTGAAGCTCGCAGGAGGAACAGAGAGCTGGTGAGTTGTTTGATAATTTAACATGACTTAAGTAAAGTTCCCTTTCAAACTTGACGGTCTATAGGGCAGGTGAAGTAGAGTTTTTCTCGTCAACACGTGAAGCTCGCAGGAGGAACAGAGATCTGGTGGGTTAAGTAATTTAACATGACTTAAGTAAAGTTCCCTTTCAAACCTGACGGTCTATAGGGCAGGTGAAGTAGAGTTTTTCTCGTCAACACGTGAAGCTCGCAGGAGGAACAGAGATCTGGTGGGTTAAGTAATTTAACATGACTTAAGTAAAGTTCCCTTTCAAACCTGACGGTCTATAGGGCAGGTGAAGTAGAGTTTTTCTCGTCAACACGTGAGGCTCGCAGGAGGAATAGAGATCTGGTGGGTTAAGTAATTTAACATGACTTAAGTAAAGTTCCCTTTCAAACTTGACGGTCTATAGGGCAGGTGAAGTAGAGTTTTTCTCGTCAACACGTGAAGCTCGCAGGAGGAACAGAGATCTGGTGAGTTGTTTACTAATTTAACATGACTTAAGTAAAGTTCCCTTTCAAACCTGACGGTCTATAGGGCAGGTGAAGTAGAGTTTTTCTCGTCAACACGTGAAGCTCGCAGGAGGAACAGAGATCTGGTGGGTTAAGTAATTTAACATGACTTAAGTAAAGTTCCCTTTCAAACCTGACGGTCTATAGGGCAGGTGGAGTAGAGTTTTTCTCGTCAACACGTGAAGCTCGCAGGAGGAACAGAGATCTGGTGGGTTGTTTACTAATTTAACATGACTTAAGTAAAGTTCCCTTTCAAACCTGACGGTCTATAGGGCAGGTGAAGTAGAGTTTTTCTCGTCAACACGTGAAGCTCGCAGGAGGAACAGAGATCTGGTGGGTTGTTTACTAATTTAACATGACTTAAGTAAAGTTCCCTTTCAAACCTGACGGTCTATAGGGCAGGTGAAGTAGAGTTTTTCTCGTCAACACGTGAAGCTCGCAGGAGGAACAGAGATCTGGTGGGTTGTTTACTAATTTAACATGACTTAAGTAAAGTTCCCTTTCAAACCTGACGGTCTATAGGGCAGGTGAAGTAGAGTTTTTCTCGTCAACACGTGAAGCTCGCAGGAGGAACAGAGATCTGGTGGGTTGTTTACTAATTTAACATGACTTAAGTAAAGTTCCCTTTCAAACCTGACGGTCTATAGGGCAGGTGAAGTAGAGTTTTTCTCGTCAACACGTGAAGCTCGCAGGAGGAACAGAGATCTGGTGGGTTGTTTACTAATTTAACATGACTTAAGTAAAGTTCCCTTTCAAACCTGACGGTCTATAGGGCAGGTGAAGTAGAGTTTTCCTCGTCAACACGGGAAGCTCACAGGAGGAACAGAGATCTGGTGGGTTGTTAAGTAATTTAACATGACTTAAGTAAAGTTCCCTTTCAAACCTGACGGTCTATAGGGCAGGTGAAGTAGAGTTTTTCTCGTCAACACGTGAAGCTCGCAGGAGGAACAGAGATCTGGTGGGTTGTTAAGTAATTTAACATGACTTAAGTAAAGTTCCCTTTCAAACCTGATGGTCTATAGGGCAGGTGAAGTAGAGTTTTTCTCGTCAACACGTGAAGCTCGCAGGAGGAACAGAGATCTGGTGGGTTGTTTGATAATTAAACATGACTAAAGTAAAGTAAAGTTCCCTTTCAAACTTGACGGTCTATAGGGCAGGTGAAATAGAGTTTTCTTGTTTCTGTGACCTCGGCATATGAAGAGATAGTGTGGTCAGCACTATGCCCAGCGGCTTTTACTTTCCCTAACGTGAGTTAGGTACCCATTAGAGTTGTGTGGACTCAGGGACGGTCTACTGACTTAAACTTAGATTCAAACTCGAGACTTACGGGTTAGCAGTCCAGCTCTCTACCGCTAGACCACTCCATCCCACATTATCATGGCTTAAGTCAGGTAAACAACATCAGAATTTTATTTTTATTAAAATAATTCAATCCTGTTACTTGGGTCACTGAAATTATTTGAATGTTTTTAATAAGACAAAACTAAACTCAAAACAAATAAATTTGAGAACAAAATAATTTAGTCAGGCAAACTGCTTTCTTTAGTTAAAATCAAATGAATTAACACATGACTTGAGTTACAAAAATAATTAAAATAAAAAACAAAAACTTTTATTTGAACTAAATTTATGTAACTTAATGCACAAAAATTACTTTATTTAGGGAAATGACTTAAATTTGACCTAAATTATTTGAGCTGAGAAAATTATGTCGACATATATATAACCAAAAAGACATTATTCACACAACTGCTACTGTTGACTGCAGGTGGTGAATGAGGAAGAGGCCAAGCATCTGGCCAAGGTGATCAACAGCTTTAAACACATGGAACTGCAGGCAACGGCAGAGAGGCCAGACGGCCAGCAGACGTCCATGAGAAGCCCTCACCGCGCCAGTAAATCCAGTCTAACAGTTGGTGACCTTAGCTTTGTGTCAAGGCCAAACTCCACAAACACTTCCTTCAGGTCAAAGGGCAGATTTCGTGAACTCAAGGAGAATGTGGGAAGCTCTGTTGGTAAACTGTCTGCAAATTCCCAAGTCAGTGAAGAAATATCAGTCCAGGTTTGTGATGTTTTAAGATGGTTGCACTAGATTCATAGTTAGCTGTTTAAAAAAACATAAAAAGTCTTCTTCTTCTCTTCTTCTTTGTTCTTAATTTTAGTGATGGAAGGGATCCCCTCCAACACAATTAAGTGTACGTGTCAACTGGTTATGCGCCATTGAGGCCATTTACTCTGATTTCAGCCTGCTTTTCTTTTAGGATTTGCCTTTGTCCAACTAAGAACAAACTACAAGGCAGCAGTTGTTTGATTTTGGAGTTGTCTCTCCTAGAACAATGTCCATCCCCAGCTAGCGAGCCTCATCTGCCTGAGGGTTCAAACTCGAGACTTTTCACTTTAGCAAAAATGAGCTTTACGAACTCAACCACGCCAACCCCTTACAAAAGCTTTATAATCACAAGCTTTTAAATACATGAGAAATAAGAAAATAAAAAAAAACTTGCCTATAATAAAAGCATTAATATAAAATAAGACATGTCAGAAATTTAATGAATGTCCAATGCTTTTACATAAGAAAATTTGTTTCATTTACCCAATTTCAGTGCATTTATTATATGAACCCAAAGCATCAACTAGGTTTATTGTTGAAAATCATTGAACTAGAATATGAACAGAGCCCTCTAATATCTCTATTTCTCTCTATTTGCTGTTCACTGGACCAGGAGGTCAGGCCGAGTGAGGCCGTAGAGCTGGAGACTTTGCTGCAGGACAAGTTCTCCACCACAGGGACTCTCACACACCCTGCAGAGGTATGCTGGTCTATCTCATAGCATTGTGATAGGACTCTATTTACAGCCATGTTAGTCTGCAGGGCTCCATACAAAATAACCATGGTCCAGGGGTAGATGAAGTAGAGTTAATCTGACAAACCCTGCAGAGGTATGCTGGTCTGTGTCATAGCATGGTGATAGGACTTTGACACTATTTACAGCCATGTTAATCTGCAGGGCTTGTATTAAAAAAAAACCTGGGTCTATACTGGTGGTCCATGGGGTAGATGAAGTAGAGTTCATCTGTTTTTCTGACCTCGGCATATTAAGGGACAGTGTGGTCAGCACTGTATCTAGCCTCGTCCAATCCTTGATGTCATCCATCCAATGACGTCATTTCCCTCCTGGCACAGTGCCTTGCAATATTGTTTTTTTATATTAATTGGCTTTCTGATCTTGTGACATGCCCATACTACCTCAATTTTCTAGTTTTGATGATGCTCAGTAGACACTCGAAGTTGACCAATTGCATTAGTGATCCTTACCTAGACTTCTTCATTAGTTATGTGATCTCTGTATGAGATACCCAGGACTCTATTTTTAGCTATATTGTACTAAATCTCTACATAATGGTTTGTTCTAAAAATAATTTTAAGGTTTATTTTTTTTTTTAATTTGAGAATATTGAAAGAAAGATTACAAGGTGTTTGAGTAAATAATATTTTATTGCAGAATTTCTACTCTTGTCTTTTTTAACTTGATGATAAGACATTGATAAAATGATAAAAGTGTTTAAGTAAATAATATTTTATTGTAGAATTTCTACTCTGGTTTTTTCTTCATCCTGAGAATTAGATATTGAAACAAGGGTTACAAAGTGTTAAGTAAGTAATATTTTTGTTTCAGAATTTCTACTCAGGTTCTGCTCGTCGTGGCAGTCTGGCAGGCAGTGAATGCGCCAGTGATGGCATCAAAGGTGGAGAGGACACCATACAGTGGAAGAAGGGAAATATTTTGGGCAAGGGAGCTTTTGGCACAGTGAGTCAGATTTTGTTATTTCCTGATTTGCCAGTTTGCACAGTGTTACACTCTCTTGACTTGGTAGTTTTTTTCTTTATTTCCTGTTATACCACTTTGCATTATAGGGACCTACTTAAAAAAAAAACTTATTAAAAAAGAATGACTTCTGGAAGTTTTGATTGACCTGTAAAATAATGTGCTGACCACACAATCTTGTTTGATTACTTGCTCAACTTAATGAGATACCCCTGAGTCCATTCAGCTTTATTAAGTTCCTGACTTACATCAGTTGCTGGACATTGGAGCTGTGTCCACAGAAACATTAGCCTCAGTAGGACTCAGTGCTTTTAAACTGAGGTCTTGTGTTAATTTCTGAGATTGACTGGATCCCTGAGTCTGTCCAGCTTTAACTGGTACCTGGCTCAAGTGGAGGGATAGTAAACATGGCTGGGCATAAATCTGACCACTAATAGTAACGTTCCCGTATTTAACCTGACGGTCAATGTAGCAATTGAAGTAGAGTTCACCTGTTTTTGTGACTTCAGCATACAACCACTATATCCCTTTAAATTCTAAGGCCACAAGACATGCGAGCTTCACTTTGAAAAGTGTCATAAGTTTTACTTTACTTTTAATTCTACCTTGAATGAATGTTTTGAAATGCAATAAAACTTGCAACCCTAGGTGTGGTGTGGGCTGACCAATGAGGGTCAGCTGATCGCGGTCAAACAGATTGAGCTGAACACTGTGGACAGGTCCAAGACACAGCACGAGTACGAGAAGGTCCAGGAGGAGGTCGAGCTGCTGAAGACATTGGAGCACACCAACATTGTGGGGTAGGTCATAGGCTGGGTCAGGTCAAAGGTCAGCTTATGTTTTCATGGTGGAGATCAGCTTATGTTTTCATGGTGGGGTGTGGCATGGGGTCAGGTCAAAGGTCAGCTTATGTTTTCATGGTGGGGTGTGGCATGGGCTCAGGTCAAAGGTTAGCTTATGTTTTCATGATGGGTGTGGCATGGGGGTCAATTCAAAGGTCATCTTTTCATGGTGGGTGTGGCATGGGGTCAGGTCAAAGGTCATCTTTTCATGGTGGGTTATGGCATGGGGTCAATTCAAAGGTCAGCTTATGTTTTCATGGTGGGCTGTGGCATGGGATCAGGTCAAAGGTCATCTTTTCATGGTGGGGTATGGCATGGGGTCAATTCAAAGGTCAGCTTATGTTTTCATGGTGGGGTATGGCATGGGGTCAATTCAAAGGTCAGCTTATGTTTTCATGGTGGGGTATGGCATGGGGTCAATTCAAAGGTCAGCTTATGTTTTCATGGTGGGTGTGGCATGAGGTCGATTCAAAGGTCAGCTTATGTTTTCATGGTGGGGTGTGGCATGGGGTCGATTCAAAGGTCAGCTTATGTTTTCATGGTGGGGTGTGGCATGAGGTCAATTCAAAGGTCATCTTTTCATGGTGGGGTGTGGCATGAGGTCGATTCAAAGGTCAGCTTATGTTTTCATGGTGGGGTATGGCATGGGGTCAATTCAAAGGTCAGCTTATGTTTTCATGGTGGGTGTGGCATGAGGTCGATTCAAAGGTCAGCTTATGTTTTCATGGTGGGGTGTGGCATGGGGTCAGGTCAAAGGTCAGCTTATGTTTTCATGGTGGGGTGTGGCATGGGGTCAGGTCAAAGGTCATCTTATGTTTTCATGGTGGGGTGTAACTTGGGGTCAGGTCAAAGGTCAGATTATGTTTTCATGGTGGGTGTGGCATGGGGTCAGGTCAAAGGTCAGCTTATGTTTTCATGGTGGGGTTCGACATGGGGTCAATTCAAAGGTCAGCTTATGTTTTCATGGTGGAGGTCAGCTTAAGTTTTCATGGTGGGGTACGGCATGGGTTCAGTTCAAAGGTCATATTGTGGGATAAGTCATGGGGTAAGTTCAAAGGTCATCTTATGTTTTCATGGTGGGGTAAGGCATGGGGTCAATTCAAAGGTCATATTGTTAAGGTGGGGCTAGTTCAAAGGTCATGATATTATTGTGGGGTAAGTCATGGGGTCAATTCAAGCGTCATGTTGCTTGATGTGGGATCAGTTCAAGGGTCATGTTGAGGGGTGAGTCCTGGGGTGAATTCCAGAGTCATGTTGTTATTGTGGTGTAAGTCATCGGGTCAGTTTAAAATTAATGTTATTGTGGGGTAGGTCATATGGTCAGCTGATGGGTCATTTGTTATTGTAGGGTCAGTCATTGGGTTCTGTTTAAAATTTATGTTATTGTGGGGTAGGTCATGTAGTCAGCTGATGAGTTATTTATTACTGTAGGGTAAGTCATGGGGTAGGTTGAAGGGCTACCTTGGGTTGTAGTTCAGAGAGTAATATATCATGTTGTAACTGTGAGGAGCTTGTCATGTAATCACTGAGAGGTGCAGGTTGTGTGTTGTTGAGTGTAAGCCATACTTTACTCCACTAATTGATGTTTAAGTAGAATGTAGTGTTGATAATTGTTTGTTAATTTCCCTATTATAGCTTAACTTATCTCAAACCTTTATTAAATCCAAAACCCAGTCTCAGTTAGATATAGATGTTCTCAGACCTCCTTTATTAAATCCAAACCTCTGTATCAGTTAGGTATTGATGTTCACAGACCTTATTAAATCCAAAACCCAGTCTCAATTACATGTTCATGTTCTCTAACCTTTATTAAATCCACAACCCAGTATCAGTTATGTATTGATGTTCTCTAACCTTTATTAAATCCACAACCCAGTATCAGTTATGTATTGATGTTCTCTAACCTTTATTAAATCCACAACCTCTGTATCAGTTATGTATTGATGTTCTCTAACCTTTAGTAAATCCAAACCTCTGTATCAGTTACATATTGATGTTCTCTAACCTTTATTAAATCCACAACCCAGTATCAGTTATGTATTGATGTTCTCTAACCTTTATTAAATCCAAACCTCTGTATCAGTTACGTATTGATGTTCTCAATTCTCAAACCTTTAGTAAATCCAAACCTCTGTATCAGTTACATATTGATGTTCTCTAACCTTTATTAAATCCACAACCCAGTATCAGTTATGTATTGATGTTCTCTAACCTTTATTAAATCCAAACCTCTGTATCAGTTACGTATTGATGTTCTCAATTCTCAAACCTTTAGTAAATCCACAACCTCTGTATCAGTTACGTATTGATGTTCTCAATTCTCAAACCTTTAGTAAATCCAAACCTCTGTATCAGTTATGTATTGATGTTCTCAATTCTCAAACCTTTAGTAAATCCAAACCTCTGTATCAGTTATGTATTGATGTTCTCAATTCTCAAACCTTTAGTAAATCCAAACCTCTGTATCAGTTATGTATTGATGTTCTCAAACCTTTAGTGAATCCAAACCTCTGTATCAGTTAGGTATTGATGTTCTCTAACCTTTAGTAAATCCAAACCTCTGTATCAGTTATGTATTGATGTTCTCAAATCTTTAGTGAATCCACACCTCTGTATCAGTTAGGTATTGATGTTCTCTAACCTTTAGTAAATCCAAACCTCTGTATCAGTTAGGTATTGATGTTCTCTAACCTTTATTGAATCCAAACCTCTATATCAGTTACATATTGGTGTTTTCTGCAGGTACCTCGGCACCAGTCTAGAGGACAACATAGTCAGCATTTTCATGCAGTTTGTCCCAGGTGGTTCCCTGGCTAGCATCCTGGCCAGGTTTGGCGCCCTTGATGAGTCTGTGTTTAGACGCTACACCAAGCAGATCCTAGAGGGCGTCAAGTACCTGCATGACAACGATGTAATACACAGGTGAGAATAGGCTTGGTGTGTGTGTTTGTTATGAGCTTTTGTTGGTAGTTTCTATGGTGTGAATCAGTTATAGGCTTTTGTTGGTAGTTTCTATGGTGTGTGTCTGTTATGGGCTTTTGTTGGTAGTTTCTGTGGTGTGTATCTGTTATGGGCTTGGATATATTCTATTGTAAACTTTTTCTCTGCTTGATGAAATCATATACATATTATGAAATCATAACATTTTTTTTACAGTTTGGCCACTTAAATTCACCTTATTTAGTGCTTCATTTTGAGACCTTATAAAATAACATACTTATTATACTAGTAAAAAATGCCTGCTGGAACAGAAATTACAGTAAAACACAAGTGCCATGGCTTACTAAAAACCATTTTTTAAACATTATTCAGAGTTTTTAATTTTTGATGAAGTATAACTATTTTTTCAGAAACAAAACACTTATATTTTTGGTGAAAATTAGTCAATAATTTTTTGTGCAGCCCTTTAATCTATTTGGCGAGTTAAAAAAAAATGTGTTTCCACAGGGATTTGAAAGGCGCCAATGTGATGCTGATGCCCAATGGTGTGATCAAGCTGATTGACTTTGGCTGTGCTAAAAGGATGTGCATCAACCTGAGTATATCTGAGGCGGAGGTTCTCAAATCTATGAAAGGGACCCCGTTCTGGATGGCGCCTGAAGTTGTCAGCGAGACTGGGCATGGGAAAAAGTCAGATATATGGTGAGTAGGTTCAAGTAGGTTTAGCATGTGAGTGAGTAGGTTCAAGTAGGTTTAGCATGTGAGTGAGTAGGTTCAAGTAGGTTTAGCATGTGAGTGAGGGTGGGCATGGGAGAAAGTCAGATATATGGTGAGTAGGTTCAAGTAGGTTTAGCATGTGAGTGAGGGTGGGCATGGGAGAAAGTCAGATATATGGTGAGTAGGTTCAAGTAGGTTTAGCATGTGAGTGAGTAGGTTCAAGTAGGTTTAGCATGTGAGTGAGGGTGGGCATGGGAGAAAGTCAGATATATGGTGAGTAGGTTCAAGTAGGTTTAGCATGTGAGTGAGTAGGGTCAAGTAGGTTTAGCATGTGAGTGAGGGTGGGCATGGGAGAAAGTCAGATATATGGTGAGTAGGTTCAAGTAGGTTTAGCATGTGAGTGAGTAGGTTCAAGTAGGTTTAGCATGTGAGTGAGGGTGGGCATGGGAGAAAGTCAGATATATGGTGAGTAGGTTCAAGTAGGTTTAGCATGTGAGTGAGTAGGGTCAAGTAGGTTTAGCATGTGAGTGAGTAGGGTCAAGTAGGTTTAGCATGTGAGTGAGTAGGTTCAAGTAGGTTTAGCATGTGAGTGAGGGTGGGCATGGGAGAAAGTCAGATATATGGTGAGTAGGTTCAAGTAGGTTTAGCATGTGAGTGAGTAGGTTCAAGTAGGTTTAGCATGTGAGTGAGGGTGGGCATGGGAGAAAGTCAGATATATGGTGAGTAGGTTCAAGTAGGTTTAGCATGTGAGTGAGTAGGGTCAAGTAGGTTTAGCATGTGAGTGAGGGTGGGCATGGGAGAAAGTCAGATATATGGTGAGTAGGTTCAAGTAGGTTTAGCATGTGAGTGAGTAGGTTCAAGTAGGTTTAGCATGTGAGTGAGGGTGGGCATGGGAGAAAGTCAGATATATGGTGAGTAGGTTCAAGTAGGTTTAGCATGTGAGTGAGTAGGGTCAAGTAGGTTTAGCATGTGAGTGAGTAGGGTCAAGTAGGTTTAGCATGTGAGTGAGTAGGTTCAAGTAGGTTTAGCATGTGAGTGAGGGTGGGCATGGGAGAAAGTCAGATATATGGTGAGTAGGTTCAAGTAGGTTTAGCATGTGAGTGAGTAGGGTCAAGTAGGTTTAGCATGTGAGTGAGTAGGGTCAAGTAGGTTTAGCATGTGAGTGAGTAGGTTCAAGTAGGTTTAGCATGTGAGTGAGTAGGTTCAAGTAGGTTTAGCATGTGAGTGAGGGTGGGCATGGGAAAAAGTCAGATATATGGTGAGTAGGTTCAAGTAGGTTTAGCATTTGAGTGAGTAGGTTCAAGTAGGTTTAGCATGTGAGTGAGTAGGGTCAAGTAGGTTTAGCATGTGAGTGAGTAGGGTCAAGTAGGTTTAGCATGTGAGTGAGTAGGGTCAAGTAGGTTTAGCATGTGAGTGAGTAGGGTCAAGTAGGTTTAGCATGTGAGTGAGTAGGGTCAAGTAGGTTTAGCATGTGAGTGAGTAGGTTCAAGTAGGTTTAGCATGTGAGTGAGTAGGGTCAAGTAGGTTTAGCATGTGAGTGAGTAGGGTCAAGTAGGTTTAGCATGTGAGTGAGTAGGGTCAAGTAGGTTTAGCATGTGAGTGAGTAGGGTCAAGTAGGTTTAGCATGTGAGTGAGTAGGGTCAAGTAGGTTTAGCATGTGAGTGAGTAGGGTCAAGTAGGTTTAGCATGTGAGTGAGTAGGTTCAAGTAGGTTTAGCATGTGAGTGAGTAGGTTCAAGTAGGTTTAGCATGTGAGTGAGTAGGTTCAAGTAGGTTTAGCATGTGAGTGAGTAGGTTCAAGTAGGTTTAGCATGTGAGTGAGTAGGGTCAAGTAGGTTTAGCATGTGAGTGAGTAGGGTCAAGTAGGTTTAGCATGTGAGTGAGTAGGGTCAAGTAGGTTTAGCATGTGAGTGAGTAGGGTCAAGTAGGTTTAGCATGTGAGTGAGTAGGGTCAAGTAGGTTTAGCATGTGAGTGAGTAGGGTCAAGTAGGTTTAGCATGTGAGTGAGTAGGGTCAAGTATATTTAGCATGTGAGTGAGTAGGTTCAAGTAGGTTTAGCATGTGAGTGAGTAGGTTTAAGTAGGTTTAGCATGTGAGTGAGTAGGTTCAAGTAGGTTTAGCATGTGAGTGAGTAGGGTCAAGTAGGTTTAGCATGTGAGTGAGTAGGGTCAAGTAGGTTTAGCATGTGAGTGAGTAGGGTCAAGTAGGTTTAGCATGTGAGTGAGTAGGGTCAAGTAGGTTTAGCATGTGAGTGAGTAGGTTCAAGTAGGTTTAGCATGTGAGTGAGTAGGTTCAAGTAGGTTTAGCATGTGAGTGAGTAGGGTCAAGTAGGTTTAGCATGTGAGTGAGTAGGGTCAAGTAGGTTTAGCATGTGAGTGAGTAGGTTCAAGTAGGTTTAGCATGTGAGTGAGTAGGTTCAAGTAGGTTTAGCATGTGAGTGAGTAGGTTCAAGTAGGTTTAGCATGTGAGTGAGTAGGTTCAAGTAGGTTTAGCATGTGAGTGAGTAGGGTCAAGTAGGTTTAGCATGTGAGTGAGTAGGGTCAAGTAGGTTTAGCATGTGAGTGAGTAGGGTCAAGTAGGTTTAGCATGTGAGTGAGTAGGGTCAAGTAGGTTTAGCATGTGAGTGAGTAGGGTCAAGTAGGTTTAGCATGTGAGTGAGTAGGTTCAAGTAGGTTTAGCATGTGAGTGAGTAGGTTCAAGTAGGTTTAGCATGTGAGTGAGTAGGTTCAAGTAGGTTTAGCATGTGAGTGAGTAGGTTCAAGTAGGTTTAGCATGTGAGTGAGTAGGGTCAAGTAGGTTTAGCATGTGAGTGAGTAGGGTCAAGTAGGTTTAGCATGTGAGTGAGTAGGGTCAAGTAGGTTTAGCATGTGAGTGAGTAGGGTCAAGTAGGTTTAGCATGTGAGTGAGTAGGGTCAAGTAGGTTTAGCATGTGAGTGAGTAGGGTCAAGTAGGTTTAGCATGTGAGTGAGTAGGGTCAAGTATATTTAGCATGTGAGTGAGTAGGTTCAAGTAGGTTTAGCATGTGAGTGAGTAGGTTTAAGTAGGTTTAGCATGTGAGTGAGTAGGTTCAAGTAGGTTTAGCATGTGAGTGAGTAGGGTCAAGTAGGTTTAGCATGTGAGTGAGTAGGGTCAAGTAGGTTTAGCATGTGAGTGAGTAGGGTCAAGTAGGTTTAGCATGTGAGTGAGTAGGGTCAAGTAGGTTTAGCATGTGAGTGAGTAGGTTCAAGTAGGTTTAGCATGTGAGTGAGTAGGTTCAAGTAGGTTTAGCATGTGAGTGAGTAGGGTCAAGTAGGTTTAGCATGTGAGTGAGTAGGGTCAAGTAGGTTTAGCATGTGAGTGAGTAGGTTCAAGTAGGTTTAGCATGTGAGTGAGTAGGTTCAAGTAGGTTTAGCATGTGAGTGAGTAGGTTCAAGTAGGTTTAGCATGTGAGTGAGTAGGTTCAAGTAGGTTTAGCATGTGAGTGAGTAGGGTCAAGTAGGTTTAGCATGTGAGTGAGTAGGGTCAAGTAGGTTTAGCATGTGAGTGAGTAGGGTCAAGTAGGTTTAGCATGTGAGTGAGTAGGGTCAAGTAGGTTTAGCATGTGAGTGAGTAGGGTCAAGTAGGTTTAGCATGTGAGTGAGTAGGGTCAAGTAGGTTTAGCATGTGAGTGAGTAGGGTCAAGTAGGTTTAGCATGTGAGTGAGGGTGGGCATGGGAAAAAGTCAGATATATGGTGAGTAGGTTCAAGTAGGTTTAGCATGTGAGTGACGGTGGGCATGGGAGAAAGTCAGATATATGGTGAGTAGGTTCAAGTAGGTTTAGCATGTGAGTGAGTAGGTTCAAGTAGGTTTAGCATATGAGTAGGTGCTGTGTGGGTCTATGTCATATGGGTCTTTGTAGCATGGGTCCATTCTACATGGGTCCAATCTACATAAGTCCATGCTATCTGGATAGTGCTGTCTCATTCCAGGAAATACAATTTGCAGGAAAGAATGCTGACTACACAGTTTATTTACATGGCAACTTCAGATAAATAAATAACCTTCATCTTTCTGTAAATGCTATCAAAACTTAATGAATACTTTCACTTCTGGTTGGTAGAAAAGGCATTTAAATTAGATACCACAGAGTGTACTACATATACACTAGTATATTTATAGCTTGCATAGAACATCTGTATTTGCTTAAATGCTAGTGGTATAATTGTACAATTTAAAAGAAATTGTTTTGAAAATAAATCGAAATCTATTTTTTTTTCTTTTAACAGGAGCATAGGTTGTACTGTATTTGAAATGGCAACTCGCAAACCTCCATGGTAGGTTTGGGTTTATTTAAATAATTTATTCTAACAAGTACTCCATATCCAGGTTCTACCCAGTGATAAATTATGTAACTAACTATTTGATATTGGTACAATATTTTAAGGTCCCACATGAACCCCATGGCTGCAATATTTGCTATAGGATCCCCTAATAGACCAGTGCCAACATTAGATGAGAAGTTCTCACAGAATGCCAGAGACTTTGTATGCCAATGCCTCACTAGGTAGACATTTTTTTTTTATTCTCTTCACAATTATTTACATTAAATTGAGGTAGATTTTAATGCATTTTTGTTTTTATTTTTTAAGTATACTTAAATAAATCTTTTACTCATATTTACTCATTTAAAGAAATGAATTATCTTGGTCTTGTGTTAAATCTCTTGTGGTAAACCTATGGGTCTTTCTTTTTCTTTTTCGTTCTTTACTATAACATTGAAGAGGATTTCCTCCTACACATTTAAATATTACGTTTCAATTTGTTTTGTGCCATATGGCTCGTTGATATCAATGTCAATCAGCTTTTCTTTCTGGATTTGCTTCCATAGCCATTGTCTACCCAAAAACAATTTGCAAGGCTGCAGTTGTTTCTTCTTCTTTATTCTTAATTTTAGTGTTGGAAGGGATCCCCTCCAACACAATTAAGTATACATGCCAACTGGTTATGAACAAACTACAAGGCAGCAGTTGTTTGATTTTTGGAGTTTTCTATGCTAGAAGAGTGGCTGTCCCCAGTTAACGAGCTTCATCTGACAGAGGGTTCGAACTCAAGACTTCTCTGTTTAGCAACCATGAGCTTTACTGACTCGACCACGCCAACCCCCTACAGTTGTTTAATTTTGGAGTTTTCTATCCTAGATGGTTTACTTCCCCTAGACAGCAGGCCTGTTCTGCCCTGGTTCTGACTCTGCTTTTGGAGTTTTAGCAATCCCATGCTCTCCATCACAACCACACATCAATGTATCAACCCTTGAGAGTTTTGTGTTGTTTTCCTTTTGTTTTATGAAAGTTCTTGACAAATCCTCGGCCCAAGTCTTTGGCACAAAAACCTTGTTAAATCATAGGCACTAATTTTTGGCACAAATCCTTGTTAAATCATAGGCTCTAATCTTTGGCACAAATCCTTGCCCTCTACTCATTTACCTAGCCAGTTAATATGATCTGGTTTGTGCCCTTTAAAGACAAATCATTGAAATCAAACTGTGATTCCAGAGATCAAGATGCCAGACCAAGCGCTGCTGATCTGCTGGACCACCCATTTATCTCAAGAAAACCAACTCGAAGATCATAAGAATAATTCTAGAGAATCACCAGCAAGTCATCAGCTGTTGGACCACCCATTTATCTCAAGAAAACCCACTAGAAAGTCATAAGAATAATTCTAGAGAATCACCAGCAAGTCATTAGCTGTTGGACCACCCATTTATCTCAAGAAAACCCACTCGAAGATCATAAGAATAATTCTAGAGAATCACCAGCAAGTCATCAGCTGTTATTAGAATTTATAATGGCATTATTTGATTGTCTCAATTATTTATAATTCAAGCAGATTTATAAGACTTATGTCAAAATATGAGTCGTGTCATTGATAGCTTACATCAGTTTTCTACTTAGAACATCTTCTCACTTGGGCCAAATCAAACATTGCCAAATCTATTTATAAAAGGCTTTTTACATTATGTTTTTAATCGACCATCCCTTGCATCTAATTTGTAATAATAATTTTACCAATAATTTGAATTGGTGTCACCATCTCATGCCATCACAGCTATTCCATCATCCCATAAAACATTTTCTGGTACAGAAGTATGTGTTGTAATTAAAGACGAGCATTGCAAGACCTAACACTAAAGAGCTAGACTGCTAACTTAAAAGTCTTGATTTTAAATCCGGGATCATCAGTAGAATGTCCTTGAGTCCACCCAGCTCTGATGGGTACCTTACTCATGTTAGGGAAAGGAAAGGGGGCTGGGGATAGTGTTAACCACACTATCCCTTCATAATCCCAGGTCTCTGAAGCAGATGAACTCTACTTCAAATGCCCCATGTGTGTTGAGCATAAATGGGAAAACAAAATTACTAGCAGTTATTGTGTTCCAAACTACCATACACTCTTTAAACCACAGGTTAGCTTGTTGTTATACTGACAAAGGCCTATGGTCAGAAAACCATTGTATTCATTTATCTTTGTTTCTTTATTTGTTTGCTTGTTTGTCTGTATGTCTTCAGCCTGTCTTTATGTTTGTTTATTTTAAACATGATAATATTAATGCCTATTCATTTTATGTTAGAATCTCAAGTATTTTGATTGAATTATTTTACACCTTTGATCCATGTTTTCGGGAACTTAATTCTTGTACTTGTTTCACTTCTTGTTTATGGAATCATACTTTTTAGTTTTCTCATAGTTCATTATGCAATATGTTTATTGTATACAGTTTTGCTAGTAGCATATAAAGAGCATTGTGAATGTGTTGTTGTTGTATGCTGTGTTTAAATGTTGATGAGAGAGTAGAATTCCTGTAGAGGCTTATGATTTCTGTTATTGGAAAAATTGTTTAGAAAAATCAAAGGTGAACATGAACAACACAGAAATGTTATTCATACCTCAGTAAATACAACTGATGTTTGGTGTTGATCAGAATCAACCTAAATAATGTCAGGTAAACAAAAATAAATGTTGGAAGCCATTTTTTTTTGTTTGGCTCACGAAGAGAGAAGTGGTCTGGCAATTGTCTTGATAAGACATTTATGGCTTTAGTGTTTCACATAAGGTTAGAGTTAATTTCTTGTACCTAGAAATTCAGAATCTTTGTTTTTAAAAAAAGTATCCAAGCATTAATTACTGGCATATTATATCAGTGTTTAATATATAAAACAAATATATATATATATATATATATATATATATATATATATATATATATATATATATATATATATATATATATATATATATATATATATATATATATATATATATATATATATATATATATATATATATATATAATACTGTAACTATTTTGGCATTTTACACTGTCAGAGTGGTGTTTGTGTGAGGCATTTTAAACATTTTATACTGTGCTTAATTCTATTTTGTATTTTTTTAAGGCTAAAAGTAGTAAAACTCTTCTGTTTGAAAGTATCAGGACTGATTATATAACAATTAATAGTATTAGCAATACTTTCTCATGAGCAAGTCAGAAGTTAATTATGTACCAAGTCTTCCTGGGAGTCTAATTTCCAGTCCAGCATATTTAGACTAGTCTGTGTCTTCCTGTTCTATTTATAGCTATTGTTTACATGGTGCCCCTGGATATTAACATATAAAATTTAGATAAAATGTTGTCCCTCCCGTAGACAATAGTCTAGTTCTATGTGTATCAGTACATGTGTATGTACACTTACATGTACATGTATGTGTATATGGAATAGATTATCCCATATGTTTTCTAGCACTGTCCATATCCATATAATTTTAACAAAAACAAGTACTAATACTTTTGTAAACTGTATACTATTTTTTTGTAAAAAAAAAAAACGGATATTTTATTTAAAGTTTTAATATTATATATTGTATTAGAATGTATTATATGTTCCTCATATCTATTTTACCATATGTGGTTCTATGTAATCCATTTAGAGCAATATGTAAGTGATGCTGCTGAAAACATATACTTTATCTGTGTACAAGAACACAACATATGTTTTGTGTATGAAGCTGCTGATTATGAAAATACTGCTGGTTTAAAGTGTTTGCTGTATTGAGTTTGCTGTGATTGCTTTTATTTGAATTTGTGTGATATTAACTTATTAGAACTACCACAACACAGTTTTGTAGGCAGGGGCTGTAACTGGGTGTGGGGAGGGGGCAAAATCAAGGTTTTCTCACATTAAGTTACACCTGCTACTTTACATTTATAAATTTCAAAGTTTTCATAAAACCACAATTGCACATTTTTTAAAATCATATCTGGATATATATGTGAAAAATTATTTTAAAATCCAAGTTATACACTACACACAATCATATTTTTAATGTTTGTACCTGATATGTATAAGATATATTTTGAAGTTATTAAGGGAAAATATATTTTTTCATTGAATCACATTGTGTAACATTTACATCTATATAAAACCTTCAGTGGTTGATCTTTCAAATGTTAACCATTCATGCTATTATTTACTGTTTGATGCAATGTTAACTCGATTTTCATTTGTTAACTTTTAAATATATATGTTCTAATATAGACTTGTAGGGCAAAAGACTGCTGACAATTTAACTCACAAATTATGTCTTGATGTAAAAAAAAAAAGTATCTAATCTATCATGTTTAATAGTATCTATTTTGATACCGATTTGTCAATTGTTTTATGGTTATGTTTGCACATACCTAGTATGATATTATGTACATGTAAATATAATACATAAAGCAGATAGAATTAAGGCTGTTAGATTAGTTCAATGTGATTTTTAGCACTTTGGAAGATTCAAGAAATCAGAATAAAATAAATGTAACTGTTAAATGATTATATATATATATATATATATATATATATATATATATATATATATATATATATATATATATATATATATATATATATATATATATTAAACAGTATAGGTCTATAACTTAAGTAGGCTCTAGAGTGTCCTTTTGTACCTATAAGATTGTGTAAAATTATAATCAACTTGAAAACTCTATTTATAATTTGTACAAAAGTGTTTGAAATAAACTTGGAAACAAAAACACTATTTAAATTAAGGGAGACTTTGTTTTCATGAACCAAATTATTTAGAGGAGTGCTCAAACCAAAGTATAGGTCCTTCTGCACTTGTCTTGAGTTAGACTACAGAAGAATGTGGGCACCAGTCAGCCCACAGAATAATGTGGGCATCAGTCAGCCCACAGAACAATGTGGGCATCAGTCAGCCCACAGAACAATGTGGGCATCAGTCAGCCCACAGAACAATGTGGGCATCAGTCAGCCCACAGAACAATGTGGGCACCAGTCAGCCCACAAAACAATGTGGGCATCAGTCAGCCCACAGAACAATGTGGGCACCAGTCAGCCCACAGAACAATGTGGGCACCATCCCACAGAACAATGTGGGCACCAGTCAGCCCACAGAACAATGTGGGCACCAGTCAGCCCACAGAACAATGTGGGCATCAGTCAGCCCACAGAACAATGTGGGCACCAGTCAGCCCACAGAACAATGTGGGCCCCAGCCCACAGAACAATGTGGGCACCAGTCAGCCCACAGAACAATGTGGGCACCAGTCAGCCCACAGAACAATGTGGGCATCAGTCAGCCCACAGAACAATGTGGGCATCAGTCAGCCCACAGAACAATGTGGGCACCAGTCAGCCCACAGAACAATGTGTGCACCAGTCAGCCCACAAAACAATGTGGGCATCAGTCAGCCCACAGAACAATGTGGGCACCAGTCAGCCCACAGAACAATGTGGGCACCAGTCAGCCCACAGAACAATGTGGGCACCAGTCAGCCCACAGAACAATGTAGGCACCAGTCAGTCCACAGAACAATGTGGGCACCAGTCAGCCCACAGAACAATGTGGGCACCAGTCAGCCCACAGAAAAATGTGGGCACCAGTCAGCCCACAGAACAATGTGGGCATCAGTCAGCCCACAGAACAATGTGGGCACCAGTCAGCCCACAGAACAATGTGGGCCCCAGCCCACAGAACAATGTGGGCATCAGTCAGCCCACAGAACAATGTAGGCACCAGTCAGTCCACAGAACAATGTGGGCATCAGTCAGCCCACAGAACAATGTGGGCACCAGTCAGCCCACAGAACAATGTGGGCACCATCCCACAGAACAATGTGGGCACCAGTCAGCCCACAGAACAATGTGGGCACCAGTCAGCCCACAGAACAATGTGGGCACCAGTCAGCCCACAGAACAATGTGGGCATCAGTCAGCCCACAGAACAATGTGGGCACCAGTCAGCCCACAGAACAATGTGGGCTGCCAGCCCACAGAACAATGTGGGCACCAGTCAGCCCACAGAACAATGTGGGCATCAGTCAGCCCACAGAACAATGTGGGCATCAGTCAGCCCACAGAACAATGTGGGCATCAGTCAGCCCACAGAACAATGTGGGCACCAGTCAGCCCACAGAACAATGTGGGCACCAGTCAGCCCACAAAACAATGTGGGCATCAGTCAGCCCACAGAACAATGTGGGCATCAGTCAGCCCACAGAACAATGTGGGCACCAGTCAGCCCACAGAACAATGTGGGCACCAGTCAGCCCACAGAACAATGTGGGCACCAGTCAGCCCACAGAACAATGTGGGCATCAGTCAGCCCACAGAACAATGTGGGCATCAGTCAGCCCACAGAACAATGTGGGCACCGGCCTACAGAACAATGTGGGCATCAGTCAGCCCACAGAACAATGTGGGCATCAGTCAGCCCACAGAACAATGTGGGCATCAGTCAGCCCACAGAACAATGTGGGCACCGGCCTACAGAACAATGTGGGCACCAGTCAGCCCACAGAACAATGTGGGCACCAGTCAGCCCACAGAACAATGTGGGCATCAGTCAGCCCACAGAACAATGTGGGCCCCAGTCAGCCCACAGAACAATGTGGGAACCATCCCACAGAACAATGTGGGCATCAGTCAGCCCACAGAACAATGTGGGCACCAGTCAGCCCACAGAACAATGTGGGCACCAGTCAGCCCACAGAACAATGTGGGCACCAGTCAGCCCACAGAACAATGTGGGCACCAGTCAGCCCACAGAACAATGTGGGTATCAGTCAGTCCACAGAACAATGTGGGCACCAGTCAGCCCACAGAACAATGTAGGCACCAGCCAGCCTACAATGTGGGCACCAGTCAGCCCACAGAACAATGTGGGCACCAGTCAGCCCACAGAACAATGTGGGCACCAGTCAGCCCACAGAACAATGTGGGCATCAGTCCACCCACAGAACAATGTGGGCATCAGTCAGCCCACAGAACAATGTAGGCATCAGTCAGCCCACAGAACAATGTGGGCACCAGTCATCCCACAGAACAATGTGGGCACCAGTCAGCCCACAGAACAATGTGGGCATCAGTCAGCCCACAGAACAATGTGGGCATCAGTCAGCCCACAGAACAATGTGGGCATCAGTCAGCCTACAGAACAATGTGGGTACCAGTCAGCCTACAGAACAATGTGGGCATCAGTCAGCCCACAGAACAATGTGGGCACCAGTCAGCCCACAGAACAATGTAGGCACCAGTCAGCCCACAGAACAATGTGGGAACCATCCCACAGAACAATGTGGGCACCAGTCAGCCCACAGAACAATGTAGGCACCAGCCAGCCCACAGAACAATGTGGGCACCAGTCAGCCCACAGAACAATGTGGGCATCAGTCAGCCTACAGAACAATGTGGGTACCAGTCAGCCTACAGAACAATGTGGGCACCAGTCAGCCCACAGAACAATGTGGGCACCAGTCAGCCTACAATGTGGGCATCAGTCAGCCCACAGAACAATGTGGGCATCAGTCAGCCTACAATGTGGGCATTAGTCAGCCCACAGAACAATGTGGGCACCATCAGCCCCTCCTGTCTTTGAGTTCAGTCCACTATCAAACGAGATGCGAGCGTCACGGGAGCCCTCCCCCCCCCCCCCGAACGCAATGAAATTTATATAATTTATATAGAAAATATATACCCCCCCCCCCCGGAGAAAGTCTACCCCCCCCACCCCCGAAAATTTCAAGTGCCCACCTGGAGATAAAAGTCTGGAAGAAAAACTGATTCTGTAGTGGGATGTAGCATGTCGTGCTAGGTTGCTTTTTGTGCCAAGTTCTTTTCAGAAGGCTGGTCTGTTATTAACCATGGTGCCCACAGGTTTTAAAAAAAATAATAAAAATACAACGAACATAGTTGGAGTAAAAATGAGATGCCGCATCAGAGTGTAGGCCCAATTTCTCAGGTCCAACTTCATTGTTCCCTAAATTGTTCTATGGCTCTGATGAGGGACAACATATTTGGTTGAAGTTGTAATGACCCTATGAGTATTAGTGTTTAAGGTCGTGGTTTTTAAATTTTTCTTAAAATTTTTGTTGTTGTAATCTCTGAGTTCACTGATGTCTGTGACGCTGAGAGAAAATTCTGGGCAACGTTTCAAGATTTGTGTAACCTTACACAAAATACTTAAAATCCCCCAAAGGTAATGTAGCTTTTCAAATTGCTTGGTCGATAGACAAGAATGGGACACAAAGACTAATGTCTAGAGAAAACAAAGGCCGATGCCAAATAAGGAAAACAAAGAAGGATGTAAAAAGGGGTAAAAAAAAAAACAGATGTTAAATAGTGAAACACTCGCGCTAAATAATTTTCAGGTACGTCATTGATTTTTCAGTCATCGCAGGTTATATTCCTAATAAGAGAGTGGGTTTCGTATGAAGTCATAATTCCTTTGAATGTAGGCCTATAGACTAAGTAGGCAGTGCACTTTTTTTTCTGTCATGCAAAATATACATCGCAGTCTACTTGAAATATTTTACATGTATAATTTGCACTCATCATCTTTTTTTGCCTTTCGTGCCCACGACACACAGATTTTCTTCCAGGCATCTCTTCTGGGGACTTCACCCCCCCCCCCCGAAAGTGCCCCTCCCCCCTCAACCCCCGGAGAAAAAAGTCTGGAAGAAACACTGCCGACACATGGGGGCAGACGAAATAGAGGTCATCTGTTTCAATGACCTCGGCATATGAAGAGCTAGTATGGTCAGCACTATGCCCAGCCGCATATGTTTCCCTTAAGTGAGTCTGGTACCAATCAGAGCTGGGTGGATTCAGGGACGTCCAGTAAACACGAGTCTGAACCAAGATCCTTCGAGCTAGCAATCAAACGCTCTAGCATTCGACCACATATTGTGCATGTGTTTCCCTTGACATCAGATTTTGTTTTCCCCATAATGTGCACTAGTGTTTAAAAACGTTCACGTTAAACTAAATGAATTATACATTTAAGTCTGAATACCAAAATATTTTTTAGGTATTTAGAATGAAGTACAAATTGGCAAATTTGTCGCTTGCTTCAATAATGTCCTGGCAACAATATATTCAAATAAAAAGAAATAATCTGGAAAAAATAATAATAACAATTCTCGGAAAATAATTTTATTTCATGAGCTTTGTCTTTCTAGAATTTCATACAATTTATTGTCTAAATATAGGGAGCATTTTGAGAGTGGTAATCATAGAAAGGTTTTTACACGTCTAGTTAGTCAATTTATAGAAACTGTTTATACTAGTTTATAGATTTCTGTATGTAAGCCTTTTCTAAGTTCGCCTTTCGAGTTTTTAAAATTAAATGAAACAATGTTTTTTTTTTTAGATTATGTAAACTTCCCTCTTTCATGTATCACGAAAAAAAATTTAGATCACGAAAGAGAATTTGAATCAAAAAATCTGTTCTGATTTTATTCCTATAAAATCAACCCAACACCAGCCATGTTTATTGTTTACGCTTGATTGGTTCCCTTGGCGACGACGCTGCTGGTGTTATCTGATTGGTCGTCTCGGCCTCGGCCTATTCTTGGCCTGGGAACGGCTTTGGCTTCCACGAAACGTTCGGGCATTGGCTGACCCTGGTAGTTGTATCTGGACAGCAGGAAGTCATTGTAGTCGCTGGGGGAGAGGGACCGTCTGTAGCGGCCGCCTCTGGGGGCCGGGCGGTAGACGATCTTCCGCAGAGGGGGGAGGAAGTCCGTGGGGATACCATCGTCGTCGTCACTGTTCAGGGACCTGGGTGGAATTAATTAAATCATTTTCTTTTTTAAAAAAAAAGATATTTTAACAGCGTATTTAAATATTTTTTTAAAAATTTAGTCATTATTGTTCAGGGACCTGGGTGGAATTAATTAAATAATTTTCTTTTTTTTTAAAAAAGATATTTTATCAGCGTATTATTTAAATTTTTTTTTTAAATTTAGTCATCATTGTTCAGGGACCTGGGTGGAACAAATTAAATAATTTTCTTTTTTTAAAGACATTTTATCAACGTATTTAATTTTTAAAAATTTAGTCGTTATTGTTCAGGGACCTGGGTGGAATAAATTGAATAATTTTTTTAAGGCATTTTATCTTCGTATTTAATTATTTTTCAATTTAGTCGTCATTGTTAAGTGACCTGGATGGAACAAATAAAATAATTTTCTTTTTTAACGACATTTTATCAGCGTATTTGATTATTTTAAAATAGATACATTTTTGATTCAGTCGTCATTGTTCAGGAATCTGGATATACTAAAAAATAACTGGTGTAAAAAAATTTTTTTTTTCTTTTTTGTAAGACATCTTATCAGCGTATTTAATTATTTTAATTTAGTCGTCATTGTTCAGAGACCTGGATAGAAAAAAAAACTATTCTTTTTACAAAGACAATTATCAGCGTATTTAATTATTTTAAAAAGATACATTTTAAAATTTTGTTGTCATTGTTCAACGACCTGGATGAGATGAATAACCTCTTTAACCTTTTTTTTTTAAAGTTGTATAAGGCATTTTATCATAGTATTTAATAATAATTCTTAATTTTAATACTCTGTTTATTGAGATGAAAACCCAGAGAATAATGTTATATTTCATTAGCTTTTAAATGTAGGCTTTCTTTTAAGACACTTTTCGATTCCTTGGAACTCTCTAGTTTTTGAAGTAACAGAAGATGGCAATGTGTACAAATCTTGCTCTAACTAGAGATCATGGGCAACCCATAACACAGAACTCAAGAGAACCTTAGCTAGATGCCTATACACTATCAGGGCAGAGGACTCCGGAGCGCCTTAGCTAGATGCCCATACCTCATCAGGACAGAGGACTCCGGAGCGCCTTAGCTAGATGCCCATACCTCATCAGGACAGAGGACTCCGGAGAACCTTAGCTAGATGCCCATACCTCATCAGGACAGAGGACTCCGGAGAACCTTAGCTAGATGCCCATACCTCATCAGGACAGAGGACTCCGGAGAACCTTAGCTAGATGCCCATACACCATCACGGCAGAGGACAGCAACGAGCTTTTTCTGACTTCCCATTCACCAGTAGGATTGACAGAAACCAAAGATGATTGAAAACACCATCAAACAGGAAGAGTAATGACATACCCTCGCCTGACTGGCCTTGACCTAACCTTTCACCCCAACCTGTTCTTATGCTTGACAAGTGTCAGCTAATCTTCTAGCACTTCCGTTCTAGCCATCCTTACCCAAGCCTAAATCTTTTCCTAACCCCCTTCATTCTATCAAGTAGACTCAACTTTATCTAGCTTCACCGTAGTCCGGCCGTGCCCGGGTCTAACCCCACCCACCCCTTACCCCACCTCAGGTGTAGCACGTGTCAACTCACCTTCTGGCGGCGCTGCTGTCCCTGCCGTACCGAGGGAGGGGAGGTTGACGCCTTGACTCGTCTCGCGGGATCTCGAGAAGCGATTCTAGGAGAGCCTGCAAGTCGTTGGGCGAGATGACGTCATCGGCGGACGAGCGGCCCAAGCGCAGCATGGGAATTTGACGTGTGGCACCGCTAAGACAGACATATCACATGATTATTTGAATTACACATACACACACATATATACACTGCAAGACTTGGTGGTATTTAATGATTACATGATTATTTGAAACACACATACACACACACATACATATACATAGCAAGACTTAGTGGTATTTAATAGTGATTTATTTACGCTGTTTTGTACGTATTCTTTAACTAGTTCAAGGGAGAAAGCCTAAACATAAGGGCTTAAAAATAAGTGCACTTTTAAACATTGAATTAATATTTCCCCAAAGCTTTAATGATGATGGGGTGATGATGATAATGTGTATGTGTGTGTGTGTGTGGGGGGGGGGGTGGGGGTATTCCAAGATTTGTTGGCTTATTTAAATGGAGTCACATATTCTGATTGCCTTCTGGTTAGGTTTCTGTAGCGGATTCTATTTTTCTATGAAATAAGTTTAATGACCTTTGTTCAACCCCAACCTGTAGGATTAAGATGCTAGCGCAGATCTTTCCAGCCTGGTTGAACTCCCGCTGATATAGCTCTGGGGGTCATGCTACAGTTTACACTCCCGCTGATATAGCTCGGGGGGGGGGGTGGGGGGGATGCCTGGAATTTTACACTCCCGCTAGTATAGCTCTAAGGGTCATGCCAGGACACTCCCGTTCCTCTGGGGGTCATGCCAGGACACTCCCGCTGCTCTGGGGGTCGTGCTGGAAACACGCTGCCAACCCCCAAACAGGGAAGGCCAATGGAGACTTGGAGGCGCACAGCAGAAAAACAACAGACAAAGGCAGAACTATCTTAGGGGACTGCCAAGAAAGTTGCCAAAGAACGACACAAATGGAAAGAGCTTTCTCTGGCGGAATTGTGTATTTTGGGCAAAAAGGAAAAAAAGGTAATAACAGACTCTGCTTGATTCTAAAAGCCAGGAAACCACTTACCTACTGAAGGCGTGTTTCTATTACGATTGCGATTTAAAAAAAAAAACAACAAATTGTCAGGCTAGTATTAAATAGACTATGGTTTTCCAGGGTGCGTAAATCTTAGAATCTATTCGTTAGCCAACTAAAAGATTACAATATTACGAACTCAGTCAGACATTTTGTAAAGCTGTGACGACTTACCGTTTGCCTAGTCTGAGCATCTGCAGCCCTCGCCCTAGTCTCAGCATACTCCATCCTCTTTTGCTGACGTCATCGTCGTTGACGTCATCGTCCGTGAAAGGGTCTGTTTCAGCAGCTGTGTAGCCTGGGAACAAGACACACCGGGACATTCAACAAGACACACATGAGACATTCAAGAAGACACACATGAGACATTCAACAAGACACATGGGACATTCAGTAAGACACAGGGACATTCAACAAGACACATGGGACATTTAACACGACACATGGGACATTTAACAAGACACAGGGACATTCAACAAGACAAACGGGATATTCAACAAGACACCCATTGGACATTCAACAAGACACATGGGACATTTTGAGCAAGACAACCGGGACATTCAACAAGACATATGGGACATTCAACAAGACACATGGGACATTCAAAAAGATAACCGGGACATTCAACAAGACACATGGGACATTCAACAAGACAACCGGGACATTCAACAAGGCACATTGGACATTCAACAAGACACATGGGACATTCAACAAGACACATGAGACATTCAACAAGACAACCGGGACATTCAATAAGACACGTGGGACATTCAACAAGACACACCGGGACATTCAACAAGACATATGAGACATTCAACAAGACACCGGGACATTCAACAAGACACAGGGACATTCAACAAGACACACGGGGACTTTCAACAAGAAATACAAGAGGGAAAGGGTTGTCTCTCATGCATTTACTTTCACCTCTCGACATTATGGACAACACCTAGATTCTAGATCCTGCAAAAGCAACGACTCACTGTCTTCACGCCATTGGCTGGGATTTGTAGCACATCCACATAGCGGATGTCTGTTTACCCCAAGAAATATGATGTACCCCTTAATGGGAATGGTTGACATTCTACGGTTAAATTTCATTAGCTAACTGTTAAAGTAAACATTTCTACAGTAATATCTTGCAGTTAGTTCTCAATAATTTACTTTATATAGTGAACATTATATAGTTAGCATTCTGTAGTTTACTTTCTCCTGATAACTTTCTACAGTTAACTTTCTATAGTATATCGACAATTCTAGGGTTGAAAACGCAAACCTACACTTAACATAGTGACAGCAGAAAAGTAAATTTCGTTTAATATTTCAAAAAAATTTTGAGCATTATATTTTGAATTTTTTGTACTATTATTTAAAAAGAATATGTGTTGGTTCATTGCAGACGGTCTATAGAAGTGGTGAATGTTAAGGGCGGCCTTTTGTACGTGTAGGCCTACTCGCATTTGGTCGCCAAATCCCAAGGGACGCTACCCAGTATATTTTGAATGTAACACGGAAGATAAAATAACGACAGAGTCGCGTCCCTTGATAACTACTAGCCTGATAATACGTTGGCGGAGAGTTCAATGTAAGATGAGAATGTTATATCGTAAAGTTAATGTCGCGAAGGGTAAGATGGTTTCTAGCTTGCGAACATGCGCTTATGAACGTGAATTTAGCACAAGTGATTGAGTCATTGTATATGTTAATGTCGTATAATTCGCTAATGTCGTATTCGTCATCATCATTTTCATCATCACCATCACCATCGTCATTCCTGTGAGCCCCTTGTGGAGCATATGAATGCAACCATCGGGGCGAATCCGGCTGCTTCTGCATCACTGTCTGGTGATGTTGCTAGTTGCTTTACACAGGGTGGGTCCAATCCGTCGCCATTGGCGCTTTTGTAATCCTTTGCCAATGAGGTCTTGGCCAGTTTTCTACACAGTTTGGCATTGGTAATTTTTTTCAGGGGCCAAATGATGTTCCATATGCGGCGGAGGCGTCCGTTGATGAAAGTCTGAAGTTTGTTGTTATTAGTGTTACACTCCACGTCTCAGAACCATAGAACAGATTTCATACTGCTCAGTAGATGATGATGTCGTGTTACTAGTTGATGTCGTATTACTAGTTGATGTCGTATTACTAGTTCATGTCTTATTGCTAGTTCATGTCGTATTATTAGATGATGTCGTATTACTAGTTGATGTCGTATTGCTAGTTCATGTTGTATTACTAGTTTGATGTCGTATTACTAGTTTGATGTCGTATTACTAGTTGATGTCGTATTACTAGTTGATGTCGTTTTTGAAATTTGCAAATAACAAAGCAATCCAATATATCCAAAACACAGTGGAGCTATTTCATCCGAATCTGCGTGCCATCTAAAAGATATTATCCTTCTACAATGTTTATCCCTGATTCATACTAGTGTTCAAATCCAATGTGGCCTTACATTTTGAGCACACGAAGCAGGCCTACATTATCTAATTAAATGGTTTAATTACATCATACATTTTTAAATATAACCTTTTTTTCATTTGCACTGGTTTATTAGACCTGGAGACGTGACCTGGAAGAAGACACCAAGAAGATTGGATACGCCTGGGGACAGTTGGAGAGACTAGCCCAGGACAGAGACGTCTGGAAAGCTCTTGTCAACGGCCTATGTTCCAGTAGGGACGACAGGCAAACATGACATGACTGGTTTATTAACTGGTGGAGTAACATCTTTTGGCTATGAGCAACATACAATGCAAATCTGTCCCTTGGTTTGAAAGCTCCTGCCTGTTTAATTTTTTCTTGATCTTCCCATGAACTAGTGGGATACTTTGTCAGGTGAATTTCAGCAAATCTTTTGAGTATACATTTCTAATGTGACTCCACCAAGTCAAGTTGAGATTCAACAACAGAAGAATCACTCAGCATCACTCAAGTCTTTTTTTTTCTCTATAATATTTAAATTTTGTTTTATTCATGGTGATTACCATGTACTTGAGAACACGTTTCATCTGTGAGAATGCCATTTTGACCCAGAACAATCACATCGCTATCGACCACAACTTCCTGACTTTTGAGGAATTCCCATTTTTCATCAAGAAACGCAGAATCAGTTGGCTGGATATATGTGGCTGCTTCTAGCATTCTCTCTACGGGTATCACCACCACATCATTGGTATTATCAGGATAAAGTTAAAGTAAAGTTTCCCTTTCAAACCTTTCAAGTGAAGTAGAGTTCACTTGTTTCTGTGACCTCGGCATATGAAGAGATAGTGTGGTCAGCATTATGGCCAGCCACCTCTACTTTCCCTAACGTGAGTTAGGTACCTATCAGAGTTGGGTGGACTCAGGAACGATCTACTAATAGGACTTGAACCCGGATTCGAACTCGAGACTTACGAGTTAGCAGTCCAGCGCTCTACTGCTAGACCACTCCGTCCCTTATTATTAGGATATGGCTAAGCAAACCCGTACATGTTCATTAGATGGAGGTTAGAGACGTGGCCGTATGTGTTGAATTTCTTTTCACCCTTTTTAATTACCCTAGAGGTGACAGTTTTAAGTGCCTCCTCCACAAAAGTCAGTTTACCATTGTTTTTGGTAATGTGATTCAAAGCATCCGCCAGTGGTACAACAACTGGGGGTGACATGGTCTTTTCTTCTTCCTCATCTATTTCATCATCACTTCCCTCATCCTTCTCCTTATATTGAAACTCCGTGAAGCTATATGCCATAACAAAAGCAACAATTTTTTTTAAACAGATCCAGATCTCTCTTGTCCCCACTCAACTGATTAGGTGTATAAAAAATGGAACAGCTCGTTTGTTATAGACATCTTGAATCATTTGTATGTCCCTTTCGACAGAGGTATCCATCCCTGTTCCTGCCAGTAGCCGTTTGACCCCTGAATCCTCACAGAACATGGGCAAGTTCGGAGACTGGAAATCTGGAAAAAAGTTGAGGTACGGGCCCCAAAAGGATGAGGGATCATTCTTTTCATGTAACAAAGCAATCAATAGCGGGGTCCATTGGTTGGTTGCTGATAAATTGGATTTATCTTTTTCTTTAAGGTCACTGATGGCGGAATTCGCTGGTGTTAGTAAAAACGTTCTAGGAACTTGAAACAGGCAGTAGCTTTCTGCAGTAGTGTAGCAAGGGGGGGGGGGGGGGCGGGGGACATATGTCCCCTGGCGCCGACCTTAGGGGCCGCCAAAATGGGTTGGAAAAGTAAATTGAAAGGTTGAGGGGGGTGCAAATCGAAAGTTTGAGGGGAGGGGGTGCAAATCGAAATCCTGATGGGGGTGGGGGTGCAAATCGAAAGTTTGAGGTGGGGTGGCAAATCGAAATGTCGAGGGGGGTGCAAATCGAAAAGTTTGTCCCCGGGCGCCGGGAAGGGTCGCTACGCCTCTGGCTTTCTGCTATATCTTCAACAGCAACCACCCCATACTCGGCACAAGATCCTTTTCTTCTTACTTGAACTTTAGGAGAAATATTAAAGTTGTTCTTTTCACGACATTCTTAAAATTCACAATACAAAATTTCTTTTTTGCTTAGTTTTCTTGTTATCGGGTTCATGCTATCGCTTGATTTAAATATAATCAACTCAAAAAAAATCCTCTGTTTCTTAGTCTGTCGGTAGTTAGTTTAAATTTGGATTAGGGCCTATAAAAATGTATTTATAAAAAAAACACACGGTGTTTTAAAGAAAACAATTAGCCTACAGTTAATATAACAATTAATTACAAAAGCGAATAAAACTTCACCCAGATTTTCATGCGAAGGTTTAAAATATCAAATATTTATTCACCTTGACAAAACTTACCTGCGAAAATAACGATAAGAAATAAATAAAGGCAGTTTGATTTGATCGTCGACATGGCTGGTTGTTTCCCTTGAGTTTGTGTTATCTGACTTGTTACCGAGACAAAATATTTTTTTTTAAGCGAAAACCAAGTTTAAAAATGTTCTGTTTGACTTCTCTACCTGCTCACAAACCTGCCAACCAGAAAGACTGACTGACCAATCTCCGCGCGGTTTATAAACACTCGCGCCTCCGGTTTACGGCTGTGACGTCACTGGCACGCCGGAGAAAGAACGGTTTTCATTGGCTGACGATTAACGTTCGGCCCACGTTTTGGCGCGGTGTCATGATTGAAAGGGAAAAATGAGATGAATAAATGTTGCCCACTCAATATCCTACACATTGTTTTTTTATTTTCCTCCGTGAATCACATAAAACTATATCGTGACGTAAAAGCAGAATCAAACTCTTTAAAAGCGCGTTAATAAAATTTAAGATCTTTAACACGTAAGTATCAAGCAGAGTTTCTTCCAGGCATCTCTTCGGGGGGGGGGGGGGGGGGGGGGCGGTAGACTTGCTTCGAGGAGGGGGCAGTTATGCCCCCCCCCCCCGAAGAAAGTCTACCGCCCCCCCTCCCGAAAATTCCACCCGCCCCGCCCCCCCCCCCCCCCGCCGGAGAAAAAAGTCTGGAAGAAACACTGGTATCAAGGGGAAAAAATAATTTTATCTATCACCAAAACTGGCACATTTCTTGCTCAATTGGACTGTTTTCTTTGCTCAACTACCTTCTTATATATAGATTTCATAGGATTTAGACAAGTAAGCACGTAATATATATATATATATATATATATATATATATATATATATATATATATATATATATTGGTATATATTGGTATATATTGGTATAGCAATACATTTGATTTTCACTTTTAAGATCGATAAAATAATAATTACAAGCCTATTGTTATTGCGTATATTGCAGCGTAGGCATTAAAGTGTCTACCTATGTATGTAGTTGTATTTTGCGTTTTGCGAAAGAATATTCATGTATGAGAAATCAAAACAAAGCTTCAAGTACTTTCCCTACAACCAATGCACCGATAGACTCACCAGCAAAACATAAATTATAACGTAACCTAAAGCAGGTCGGCCATTACGATGACGTTATTCTTACGCTACCGTTACAACCGTTCCACGCATGCGCAGTCACGCTAGGCTTTTCAAACGTAAAAAAGTTAACAACCACAAAAGACAAGTTCTTGGCGGACATTACGCCGTCAAATCCAGGGACACCTCGTCGGTGTCGTGCCTGACGTAATCCAGCAGGACAGTGGCTATCGATTGGCGAGATGGCGCGCCGATAAGTCGCCAGGTATGTTGTTGCGTTCATCCTTCTCCGCGAAGCTTGCACTTCCGCCCTTCTATCATAAAGCGGCATCCGGTTGTCGTTCCGTTTTACGGTCGGTGTTTTGCGTGTTCGTTACAAGGTGAAGGTCGTTTATCTCATCTGTTACGTATGAAAGAAACCACTTTTAATTTTTTTTCGTTTTTTTAATGCGCGTAAAATACATGAAAGTATTGGCGTTACTAGGTGGGGTGGAGCCGGGCCTGCCACCCCACTCTTCACAATTAAAGCGAGGAAGATTACTTCGTTATGTGTTGATTGAACAACGATGTTTATGTTGTGTTGTTTAGTGGATCCTATGCATAGTCGAGTGGTAGACTGCTCGGATGCCAGCATCAAAGTGTCGAGTTCGGATTTTGTTCCTGAATCGCGATTGCAAGAATTATCTGAGTCCACCCAGCCCTATAGGGTACCTGACTCACGATGGGGAAAGGGGAAAGTAAAAGCGGCTGGGCATAGTGCTGAGCACACCATGCCGAGGTTAAGAAACATGAAATTTAGTACTTTAGTTCATCTGCCATAAGGATCGTTATGTCTGAAATGGTAACTTTACATAGACGTATCAATTTAGCACATATGCAAATTCAGGTTTTGATGAGAACGCCTTCAAAAAGTTTAGCATAGCTTTACTTCAATATAGGGAGGAAGTAAAGTTCCCATTCAAACCTGATAGCCTTTGGGGCAAGTGAAGTAGAGTTCATCCAATTACGGAGAATGTGGACGATTGGTAGAGTTTGAAATCTCTAAAACCAATGCCCTCGAGACAACTCAGCTCAAATGAGTACCCGGGTCAATAATGGTAGGTAAATTCTCCTGATCACAAATATAAAACAGGTAAGCTCTACTTCTTCTGCTCCACGGACATCCAGTGGTGTCTGAAAAAAAAAACAACCTATAGTTTTGATCAACTTTGCAACAAATATTCTGGCGGCTTCCTTGACAATCGAACACTTTCTTTAAGTCAGGTAAAATAGCTCGCTCTCAACAAAGTTTTATTGGTATGCCATATTGTTCTGATTTCAAATTTGTAGGAACAATTTTTACTCTGTATATCATGTTTAAACTCAAGCCTAATTATTCTAGATGTCTTAAAAAATAAATTCTAACTTTAAATAAACAGGAACACGGAGTTCATGAACAAAACTGCTAGGATCTACGTCATACGCAAGCACAGACTATTGGAGATTCTTCCCGCGTAGAAACACCCATCCTTCATTCCCTAATTCAATTACGTCACTTCCCTCTGTCAAACAACACCAAAAAATAAACACAATTTTATATGACCTTAATTCAATTCATATTGGGGCTCAACCGTAAGGATCTGTTATGCCCTAATTAAGCGCCTGGTCCGATTTGAAAAGTTTTAAAAATGCACTGTCCGGATTTTACATTTTTGTAATTTTTTTTTTATTACAATCTAGTAAACATCAACCCGTTTAACAGCTGTCGTGATTAATCGGAACCGACTGTAAAAGTTTTTTGTTAATTATCGAAAGTAAACTTTAAAAATTTTTTTTTGGGGATTTTAACTGAGTTTGTAAAGTAATTTTTCAACGAAATCAAACAGATCTTGTGTCACTGAAAGTAGGAGACATGTTTATTTCGCGACTAATAATATCCCATCCTATTTGGTAGGCGACGACCTCCTTCATTAGTTTCCTAAAGTGGGATAACTCTCCACGGTTTATTGAATCTTTTTCCAGGCAGGGGTCCGGCTAGAGGGAAGGCAATTTCCGGCGACTTTGTCATGGCGTATGTCGACATCCAATCAACCAATGGCGTTGCGTGGATGGTGGCGGCTGCGGGACTGCTTTGTTATCCCCTCGCAGACGACGGTGACGTCATGCGGGGAAAGAAAAATGCGTTTGGGTTAGTCGTGCGTTTTTATAGTGGAACTGGCGTCAGTTATATTGGCCAGCAGCTCAAGGGAGATTATCTGCCAGACGAGGGGAGAATAGTGGATAAGGTGAAGGAATTGAAAGAAATTGGGAGATGACAGTGGCGTAGCGAGGGTAGAAAGGGGTAACAACTTATCAAATGTGAATTTCTGGAGGGGATATTGCGTGTCTAACACCAAAGCAGGTTGATACGCCTCTGAAAATATATGTTTAGATAAAAAAATAAATTAAAACTTGGGTTAAAACCTGAAAGCGAAATTTCGTACTTAAAATAGCATCGATATGAACTAAACTTTAAACTTTTTAATAAATGGTACGATGAATCAATTTAAAAAAAATACTACTCCGAGATTTTTACATTTATTTTAATTATCAGGTTGATTGATTTTTTTTTTTTAATTATTAGAGGCTTTCTGATCTATTAGTTTTGTTTCTTAATGTATTGTATATTATATGCCATATATGAAAGGCATATAGAATGTAATAGGGTATGTATGAATTATAATATAAAGGTCTATAAAATTTGATAATTTGATACGAATTATATTGAACTAAACCAGTGGCGTAGCGAGGTCGGGTGTCACCCGGTGCGGCACTTAATGGTGTCACCCCCCCCCCCCCCCAGAGGCATAAAAACCTTCCCAGGGACAAACTGTCAAATTTTCGATTTGCACCCCCCCCTCGAGTTTTTCTCTATATATTTTGCTATTTTTTGCCTTGGTGTCACCCCCCTAAATGGTGTCACCCGGTGCGGTACGCACCCCCCCCTAAACTAAACAAACAGTCGTAACAATATCAATGTTCCAAAAGCTCTTTTTACCTAGAGGATAAGTTTTATTTCTTATGAAAACATTTGAACACAAACATTACAATTATATGACTACTATTTTAGATACCGTACTAATTTCATCAGATAAAATTAAAGTAATACCCACACGTTTTTTTTTATTTCACGTGAAAACACTTGGAAACATGGATGTGCACTTAATTTCATACATTCATTCACATCAGGATTTGAGACTGCCTATAACAAAAATATTTTATAGGCACAAAGCTGATAACGTAGAAAAACATTTGCGTTAGTTAAACATTGTTTATTGTAATGTCCTTATAACCCATAAAATCAAAATCCTCCTTTGGTTTGTCTCGGGCTGTCATTTCCCACCACCAGTGCTCCACGGGGATGTTGGTGGGGATGACGTCATCTTCTAAAAATTGATAGGTACTCGCCCATGTCTTCAAATTTTTATCGAAACCGACAAGTTCTTTGTCCACTAAATGGTAGCGTTTTTTTAAAGGATCAATTCGGCGACGTCTGGAGTTTAGTACCGGCACGTCTTCAAAGGCTTTGGTGAAAAACTCCAGTCCTGATCTCATGTGGCAGACCTCTGTGGCGTTGAGAACACCACCAACAGCCGCAAGATGACTTGACTTGTGGTATAAAGCGAACCGCAGTTGGTGGTCGCGGGCGGCAATTTTTCTGGCAACAGAGGTCGTGTATGTCTTCAACTGTGGAGTTGACTGCAAGAGTTCTTTCAAGTCCAGATGGTCCCCGTGTTCTTTCATCAACGACAACGTGGTGATGCTGAGGTTGACGTAGAACTTCTCCACGACCTGCATGCAGATGGCGTGTTTTAATATACAGCCGTTCAGGTGCCGCCTGGAGTCTAGCAACATTTTGGCGAGTTTTGGAACAATTTTTGCAGTAACCTGAAATAAACGAAACAAAATTAATAATTATTAATCTTAACATATATTCTGAAAATCAAGCTATCAAACAAAAATAAATGTCTAAGCGAATCATTTTTCGCTTGAAGTGTTGTAATGATGGGTGTTAGGGCTGGTGACAGAGGCGTAGCGACCCTTTCCGGCGCCCGGGGACAAACTTTTAATTTGCACCCCCCTCAAAC